ATGCCTAGCCACAGGGAGGTTAAGGGACACCAACCTTGGTTGCTGTTGACCCCTCTGCAAACACTTCAACTTGTGGTGTTTTTCCACCTCGGAAAATCCGACCTGATTCAACAAAAAAAAACCAGTCCACAAATCCAAGAAACAAAGCCATAAAGTTTCGACCGGGGGGGCGGGGTGGGGGCCCGCAACTTTTGGGTTAAGTGCCCAACTAAACCAGCTAAACACCTAAAAACCTCAACCGGATGCCTGGATTGGACCCACCAAGTGAGGAGGCCAAAATGGGAAAACCAAAAGGTCAGATCCGGTCGATTCGCTTTGAAAACAAAACTCGTTTTTTTGTGTTTGTCCTGTGTTCGTGGAGTCCTCAAATATGTCCCCTAAAAGCCTGGATGCCAACTCAACACCTAAAAGCCACCTCAAACCACCTAAAACCCAACCAACAAAAACCTAAACACCAACTAAACACCACCTAAACACCACCTAAACACCCATTAAAAGCCCACCAAACACCAACAACCAACTCCCCCCGCCCCCTATCCCGCCGTTTCCCCCGGCCGTCGCCTGTGTAGATCTCCGCCCGCAGCGCCTCCATCTGCCGCTTCGCCTCGGAGTCCGCGACCCGCGCCGCCGCCAGCGCCGCCTGGTCCTCCCGGAGGCCGCCTGGCGCTTTTTCTTCGGCACCGATTGGCCCAAAGTCTGAAGTGCTGTCTCCCAAATTTAGACAACACACATGGGATTTACACAAAGTTGGATTTACACCATTTACACCGTGTCTCCAAAATTGGAACACCATTTACACAACAAATATTGGAGGAGCGAGAACTGGGCGTTGGATTACCGTTTCCGCCCGCCCCGGTTTTTGGCTCTTTTCGGTCTCACCCGATTGGAAAGTCTGGAGTGAACAAACCAGAATACCAAGAAACCATGGGTTTTTTTGCCACATTTTCCTCGTCCTTTTTTTTTTTCCTTTTCGTCTATTCCAGTAAGGGAAGCTGAGGGACCTAGCAATTTTCAATCGATGCCCTAAGGTTGATCCAATCCAGGTTGCCACAGGGGATTGGAACAACAACCCCAGGTTGGAACAACCTGTCGTCTCTAAGGGGCGATGTTTCCCTAAGGGTCACACCAAAGACCAGCCATCCTTACTGTTCAACACGAACCAATCCTAAAGCATAGCCCCTATTGGAAAGCCACTACCAAGGGGAATCCTGTCGTAACCCAAGTAAGGATAAAGGATTGCCTTTGAACAGCCCAGACCTTACCATTATCCAAGTCACCACCCGCGAATTCGTAGGGACACAATCCCGATGGCTGACGTTGATCAGCCACTACAAAAGGCGCCCAGTTCCAAAGTCTTCTGAATGGCCTTGGGGGTCGTTGACCTTTCCCCACGACCTTTACATACCCAGTATGTACTTGCGCGTTTTGCCATGGACAAATATTTAGCATTTGACGCTTGGATTGGTATGGAAAACCAGCAACGGGGTTGCTTGAACTGCTGATTGCATGACAACAGTGATGGCTATTTACAGTCTGCAAGAGTATCCAAAGTGCCAAAAAACCGGGCTGTGGGAAATGGAATCCACTTCTGTGACACCACACACAGGGCCAAACCTCTCAAAGACTACCCCTCTCCATATAAAAGGGGAAAGATTCCCAAAAGTGTCACCAGCAGGGCTCCCAAAGACCAAACCCCCCTATTACGGGTGGATATTTTTAACAGTATCACAGAAGTGGTTGGATGACCCCCCCCGGGATCAACCACAACCCTGTTCAAAAGCGACGTGTATCTCTGGAGATTTTTATCCAAGGTCACCGGAGACCCCACGGCCGAGCTTCCAGCGCCGGACAGCTTTCTCGCGCGGGGACCCGGGGCCGTTTTCAGCGCCAAGTCCAGATGCAGCATGCGGCGAAATAGCTCAGGTTGTATGGGTGTCTCTTGTTTTAGGGGACCCCCTGTAATTTTATCAGTGTTGCTTTTGTTTCCAAGGTTCTCCGGCAAAACCACCAAACAACAGGATACCCTCAAACAAAGAACGACACGCCCCTATTGTTACAAGGGATACCTGTGAATGTGAGCCCCTGGCAATCAAAACCGACGCTGGCCGGCCGGACTACTATAAAGGTCATCCCGCAAATGGAACAAACTAAGAACCCTGGCCCTGCCAAGGAAACTACGACACTTCCGATCGAGCGGATTGACCAAACCAAAGTAAGCTGTTTGCTCTGTCCCCTGGTGGTGCCCTTTTACCTTTTTTTGGAAAGGGTTCCCCTACTAAAATAGACTACAGTGACTACAGAAACCTGAAGAAACACGTTTTTTGTTGTTCCCCCCGTTTTTTTCACAGACATATAGCCCATGTTACCCCCAAATAGTTGAAAAGTTGTGTTTTTAAGAGGTAAGCGTAATGCCCAGGAGCTGGGTGTAAGACAATCGGATAAAACCTCGATGAATTGGGTGTCTTCCAAACAGCCTGTCACCTTCGCCGCGCCCCGCGCCTGTCAGCGTGTTCATGGGCGAGTGGGCCAGGAAGAATAAACCTAGGGCTTTCTCTGTTCGCCAGGCGACTGGACCCAGTGGAAGAACAACCAAAGCGAGAAGGACACTTGAAAAGAAGGCAACACAAAACGATTTGAATCCAAACTGCAGTTTCCACAATGACTCCACCACCTATTGTGAGCTGCTTTCCCCCGAATCGAGCTCGAACCCCATAGGACATGGAGTTGGCAGATCTGATCAGACCAGACATTTCGAGGGAAAGAACGACAGCCCCCTGTTCACCCATCAAGTTCAATGCGACGCATTGAGAGACCCGCCGCACGTTTTTTGATTGGGTGCACGTTTGTGGGAATTATGTTGCCAAATTCAGGATCCCGTGACTGTGTTGGAGTCCGCTTCAATTGAATGTTGTCTTGGAGGAAAAACAATCCGGACAAAAACACACAGGCCAGGAAAACAGAGCAAACAAAATCCGGGCAACAATTAAAAACTATTTTCTTTGAAATGGTCCCCAACCCATCAAACTTAGGATAACTTCTTTACAAAAAGTAAGTTGGCGAAGAGGCGCACAAAGGTCACCTTAAAAAGAAACGTTCTTCCCAACAGCTGCAAGCTTGGGGTCTCTTCCTTGATAATGTCTGGAGCGGTTTGGGGAGGTTCCGGAAAGCTTTTTGGGGTTGAGTTTTTGTTTTTTTTAATGCAGTATCATTTATTTAGTTATTTATTTATCTGTTGATTAATTTCTGTCTGTTTTCTTTTCTTTTTTGGGGAGGGAGGTACTGAAATTCCCAAATCAAAGCCTTTGCTTTTACCTTAAAGGGTGGTTCATCTCAAGCTCTTCTCAGCTCAAAGGGTGAAGGGTCGAAGTCGAACCCAACCTGCTAGGTTTTCCACTACAGAGTGCTCGCTGTCTCCACGAATCGGGGGGGGGGGAACACTAAAGCAGACCCAAGATCCACATGACGCTGCGCCGGGCCGTGGGAAATGGAATCCACTTCTGTCATACAACAAAAAGGGCCTAACCCAAAGATTCACCCCCATAGTAGGGGAGCGTCCCAAAAGTATCACAGAAGTGGTTGGATGATGTTCGAGTGATCCCGAAAAACCCTGGAAACCCCAATCAAACGAGGAACAGGTTGAACCCGCCGGGGCCATAGCCATAGGGAGGAAGCTAAAGGGAGGAAGCTAAAGCCTTCCTCAACGCCCTCAGAAAAAGCGGGGGGGGGGGGGGGGTACGGTAGCATTCGAGCAAACCTAAAGGCCACCGCACCAGCGGTACAACTCAAAGGCCACCGCCGGACCGCCGCTCGTGACGTTTCTCTCGCCAGGCAGCTAAGAGCAGAAAGGGCCCCTGCCACAGGCAGAAACTTGCCCCATGACACGTTCGCGATGCGCTCCATCGCGATCGAGGCGCGCGGCGCGCCCGAGGCGCCAGGCGCGGTTCGAACGTGGGGGGGTCTGGTCCTCTTGAATGCTTGGCTTCCTGTTGGTTTCGTATCCCTCAAAAGGGGACCAAGAGAAAACCGGCAAAAAACCCAGCACTACCTCAAGGGTCCTCGTTTTGGCTTCACCCACGGCTCGCATCTGAAAAGAAACTGTGGGGGCCTTGCAATGGACGGGACCCGGGATAGCATGGGCAAGGTGTGTGTCGACTCAGAGTGGATTACCTAATTGGAAGGTGACAGAAAAATCCGAATGTCGAACAGAACGAGTTGCTCAGGTCCCAAACCACTCGCTGAGCCTGGTTCATGCGATGGGGGGAATGCGCATCCATCTCCATTCACCCCCCTGAGCCGAAAGAAATTGCATCGGCCGAAAGAATCCAAGCGATGCCATCCGCGCCATCCGCCTCCACCCAAAACCCCCAAAGTGGCCATAGAGAGGCCTGGACCTTAGCCCAAGTTGCTTCGTGATTGGTGTAAAGCAAAACTCACTTATCACGTTATGGCTTTCCTTGAGGGCTTTGTTTTATGTAAGATGTGAAGAAACCAAATCCGTCCCTCTGTGCCTTCATGCAAATAACAATTTGGTGTTTTCCAAACGTAAGCCACGGATAATATTAATATTTGCCCGAAAGGGTTTTGTGAGCATTTCTTGCACAAATTGGGGTGTACCCGCCCGCAAGCATTCCGACAGAAAGGACATACTAACATCAGTGTTGGCTGGCTGCCTGGCGGTCTAGGATGTGGGCTCGACTGCTGAACATGATGATCTGCTGATGTGAGCAGCCGGACAGAGCTTAGAACCTGGATAAAATCATGAACGCTTCTAACAAACGGCATCAACACCGCAGTTTCTGCCTCAAAGCACCAGGACCAAAACATGTATCTGGCTCTTTTTGCCAGTTGTGGACTTGTTTTAATGCGGATCCATCGAACTCGTGTTGAAGGTCCAGCAGAAGCCCCAAACGCTCCAAGGGCCACCCGACGCCTCCACCCGAAACCGACCGTCGAGCGCAACCGCAACCGAGGCGCCGCTCGCTGCGCGCCGCGCGCCGCGCCTTGTCCTCGAAGACGCTGAGCTCGGGGCTTGGGAGGCCGCGGCGGAGGGTCAAGAACTCCTCGACCAACCGACCAGACCCCCCGGGACAAACCAAGCAAGCAAGCAAGCAAGCCATTCAAACCAACCAATCAAACCAACCAAACAAACCAACCAAACCAACCAAACCAACCAAACCAAACCAACCAAACCAAACCAACAAAACCAACCAACCAGGCAACCAAGCAACCGACCAAAATTTGATTGTTTTCAGTGAGAAATCAAGAGGGGACTTGGGAATGAAACTCCTCAGATCGGAACAGTGGCAACCAACCAAAGACGGTACCAAATGGGCGACCACCAAGTGGGCTTGAGGTGTATTAGGAGACCAATCAGGCCACCAACCCACCCATCAACCAATCAACCAATCAACCAGGCAACCAATCCAGCCAGCAGTGTTGAAGGTTTTCAGTGAGGAATCAAGAGGTGACTTGGGAATGAACCGGAAGGGGATTCCAATCAACCAACCAACCAACCAACCAATCAACCAATCAATCAACCAATCCAGCCACCAACCGGGAACACTAAAGAAAGCGCTAGGCCTTGGACCCCTCCTTCCGCCTTGAAAACCCACCAGGGCCTGTGAAAAATAATCTTTCTGGACATGTTTACTCCGCCCAAATTTGGCCGCCGCTGTGAGCCTCTGGGATTGTGTTTGAAGTGTAAGACCAAAACAGATGTCCCAAGATCCCCTGGAACCGGCTTTGAGTGTTGAAGAGTTGAAAGGAGCAAAGCGCCTCCAAGATCCCTTCGAACACGCTACCAAATGAGGGTTACTTCAATCTTAAGCAATTGCAATGTGGTTGCATCAAACACGTAGCGCACGGTCGGATAACATTTTATCCTCTGGTGTGGTATTGCAAACACGATGCTTTTGCAGCCCTACTAATTACCATGAACTTTTTTTTTGAACGACACACCAAGCACACTCAAGCCATACACAAACTGAAAAGGAACCCCAGACCATATCAACAACCGCCACTTCCAAAGGAATCTCCTTTGCAGGATCCTCCTTTGTGAGCATGTGTCACTTGTGGGGGACCCCCCCCCTTCGCCCCTTTCAACGGCAGCGGGCTTCCTTGTGGATTCCCCGACCTCCCACAGCCCCAGCCCATTCCACAGGACCCCCCCCCTGAAAGTTCCGAGCGGAGTCGAACAAAACGCCAGCATGTCCCATGTAGGGATACCCAGATGTGGGTTGCTTCACCCCTCCCACAAGGGTCCCTTCCACCCCCCTTCTCAGCTCCCTCCGGATCCATCCTCGTAGCTGGTGGTCTCATCGATGCTCGCCGCCACGTCCAAGGCTGTCCGCAGCTCGGAGCGGCGAATGGCCTGCGATGCCACACCGGTCCCTGTGGTTTTCTAGGCTTCTCCCGAAACGATTCATTCCCAAAGCCGTTGATTCGTGAGAACTAGCAAGATATATGGGTGTGTTTCTTGGGGGACGTCCAAAATCGTTGCTGTCCTTTTGCTGTTCTTTTCAAGCCGCAAAACGAAAGGTGGTGTACCCTCAAACACCAAAGAAGGGGTACTCTTAAATGCGGGGACCGCCCCCCCCCCCCCCACAGATTGGATTGTGGTTTTCCCCCTTACCTTTTGGGTTTTCCGTTTAAACCAAAGGAGGGGTACCCTCCAAAAAGAGATGCACAGCATGGCTCAGTCCGGCTGCTAAGAACCAGCAAGATTCCCCACTGAATGCCTTTTGCTTCTGGCCCAATGCCCCCTGCCAGGCCCCCCCAAAAGAACAAATGCGCATAAATACCGAATTCGGAACACTTGACATTGAATACTTCAAACACCCTGTACATTTACCCCAGGAAAAGAAACACACAAGGCCCAACTAGTTTCTTGGTTGCCGCGAGGCGTGACCCGGGTCATGGGCCTGACCTAAGGAGGGAATCCTCCTCTCAAGTGTGGATGACCATCCGTGTGTGTGTGTGTGTGTGTCTAGGTTCTCCAGTAGAGAGGTTTGAATAAGGGCCTTCCTTTTGTCTGCAGTCTATTTTACCAGAGGAACCCTCCCCCAAAAAAGGGGGAAAGGGCACTACTGGGGGACCTAGGTGTCTTTTCTTAAAGGGAGCCCCTAGAGTGGGTATGTTGTTTTGGTTTCCCTCTAAAACCATCCAAAAAGGGTACCCTCAGAAAAAGACACACCCACCACTCGCAAGTGCACGAGCCATAGCGAGAGCCGTTGCGGCATTGCACGGGTGGCGGTTTTCAGGGATGTGACGTTCTCATGCCTCAACAAATTTATGTCGACTTCGGACTCATCCAAATCGCCCTGATTTCAAATCGGTGGTTCCCTTTTGATCGGGCATTGTCCTCCGGAATGATCTGAAGTTGACACTACTTCCCAGGCTTCAACACAAGTTTGTAGCAAACACATGTATTCGAAGCGGTTTAACTATGGATGGCTTGTATGGAAATGTGTACCTTCCAAGCAGCTTGCGTACAACCCCCCCCCTTTCAAGCCTTCCCCGAGTTTCCAATCGTTCATGCGGTCCATCTTTGGAGACCTTGAGATGGGAATCAGATCGGAGCAAAATTTGGGGCCAAATGATCCGGACGCCAAACTTAGTTTTGAAGTCCCAACGGGCCGAACACGAGACGGCCCGTCCCAACTTTTATCCCAAACACTCATGGATCGGAGGTTCGGCGACCATGGATTTGAAAGGGATCTGTCTAACAGTCTGCGTGTCTGCTGCTACAAGATGAGTGACGCATGATGGCTGGCTGTTCCTCAGGAACAGGGGGAAAACACTTCAGCCTTGGATACATTGCCTAAGAAAACCAATTTTAAACATCGGACGCACGGCTTGTTCGGGCCAAACAACTCTCGCGACGGACATCAGCGAACCTGACTTGCCCTATGTTTCCATTGGCAATAAAAGGACCAATTTGGTCTGTTATTCTTTGGGGGTGGTGGTAAAGGAGGACCACCACCATTTTGGTCCCCTAAAAAGTGACTCGCCCGTTTTGTGCCTTTGCAGATGCTCTTCCTCGCGCTTCAAAGAACAAGCGGAAGCCCTTCTCCGGCCTCAAAGACGTTGCAGAGCGGGAAGCCCAGTTTGGCCGCCTCGCGGGAGACTCTAGGTCCCCCACAAAGGTTGGGTTTAGGGTACCCAGCTTTTTTCCCCAGCTGAAAGCTTTGGGTCTCAGCCCAGATCCGGGGTCCGGGGCGGCCCTGAGGTAAGGTTTTACAAGGGTTTTACCAGGGTTCCACGAGGGAGCACAAAAAAGAGCACCGCATGCTTTTGGGGATATCACCTGAGTTTTTCTCTGTAGTCTAATTTTGTAGGGGAACCCTCCCACAAAAGGGAGAGACCTAGGAGACGAAACGACCAGCCACGAAGGCCAGTAGGCCATGCCAAATTTGGGTACCCTTCTTGGTTGGTCTTAAATGGAAGAAACACCAACCATATTAGGGGGGGGTCTCGTGTCTCTGATTTTCAGACACAGAAACTTGGGCTTCCGGCGGCTCCCGCGACGGGGCCGAGAGCCGTCGCAGCTTGGAGGAGGCTTCAGGCGCTAGCCCGGCCCTTGGTGCCATGGTTTATAGCCCCAAATCCCGTCCCCCTCCCAACCCCGTTGGTTTATAGCCCTCAGGTCCGTTGGAGGTGCCACGGCTTGAGTTTCCCCTTTGAGGGGCGCGGTTAAAAGAATGAAGCCCAACAGGTGCAATTTTTCTGCCACTCACCGCTCAAAGCGCCAACTCGAGTAAGGGACCTTCATCGGGGCACCTTGCACCAAATCAGAGAAAGCTCTAGCTGCGATTTCTGCGATAGGACTGCGGACATATGGCTCAAATGGCACCTGGGTAAATGGAACCAAAAACTAAAACCTGCGGTTTGCCCTAGCTCCTTAATTTTGAGCCACGCCCATAATATGGATTGAAATGGAATGCGCAAAGTTGCCCAGTGACCTTGACAGTAAAAGGCTCACTTGCCCCCCATGGTGTCGAACCCACCAAACATGGCAAAAGTCTGCCAGTGAACGACAAGGACATACACAATGTCGATGCTACTCCGCTCTGGCTCCGTTGCTGCGCCTTTGTTCCCGGGCAGGCCTCTTTATTGACCAGGGGGAGGGGTCGAAAAAAAAAGAGAGTGGGGGGGTGACAAAAAGGGGGGGGTCAAACTGAAGGAAAGGGGGGTCAAAAAAAGGAGGGCATGGAGGGTCAAAAAAAATGTATCCCCACAATTCGACCTTTTGACCTTCATGGTCGCGAAAGGTGAACCTTATGGCTCCTTTGGGCAACTGACTTCTGCTCTCAGCACGTTGCTCTGAGCTTCTGGATGGACTTTTAGGTACTTGCCTGTTGCGCTGGCAAAAATTAAAATCAAGCTTCGTGGCGGAAGTCATATCAAACCGTTTGAGCTTTGTCCAGTCATCCAGCATTTCAGGAGGGGGGCGGCCCCCCCATGATGATCGAACAAGTGATGTTCAAAAAGGGGTGCAGCTGAATCTCTGCGCAGTCAGAACACCGCAGCCCTCCCCATGAAGACCTTTAGCAGCCCCCCCCCATGATGACCGGAGGAGCGATGATTGAAATAGGAGCAAAACAAGTAGCGGGGGATGATGTTCGAAAAAGTGATGATTCAACTAGGGGCAAAAAATAGTGGGGGGGGGGGTTGGTTCAATTAGGGGTGCGTTAAAATTGAAAGGGGGGTGGCGAGGGGCAGAGGATGCTGGGAAGCAAAGGCCAAAAACCAACTGGGAAAGCAAAGGATGCAAAAGGCCAAAGCCAGAAAGCCACCAAAAACCGCAAAGCCAAAAAACCACCTGCCGGAGAGGAACTGGTAATGTGGAGGATGCGAAAAGCCAAAGCCGCAAAAGCCACATACATCCAAAAAAAGCTGTTTCAAAGCCAAACAGAGAGGAACTGTGAATGCAGAGGATGCGAAATGAAAAAGCCACAGAAGCCACATAAACCCGTAAAAGCCACAAAAGCCAAAAAAACCGCCCTGAAAAACCAAAAAATCCTTGAAACAACTGCAAACATCCTTAGCAAATGGCCCTCCATTCAAAAAGGGGTGCAATGAATCCTTCAAAATTTGCTCGAAGACTCCACATGTCCTTGGCCCGTGTTTCAAGATGGCTGTGGGCCGTTGTTTCGACCGTGAACATTTATCCTTTGGAGTTCGGTAGTGAGGTGGCAGTACGCTCACGCAACAAAATCAGGGGGCATTGCCCCAGCGGTTTTGTACGCACGCCCGCCCGACCTGAACAAGGTGCTGAGTCACATCTCGCTCTCCGACCGCTTCTGAGGCCGCAGACCCTGCGACCGACACTGTGTCGTCAGTCGCACGGACTGTGTCCTCAGCCACGCTCGCCGCCGCGCTCACCTCAGCAAGAAAGGACGCGGCCTGCGTGGCTGGCCCCGACCTTGGAGGCTGTCTCCGTATCTTTTTCTTCAAGTGATGAGTGAAAAAGGGCTGCAGCTGTGCACAAAAAGGGGTTTCTGAAAAGTACCCCATGATGATCGAAAAAGTGGTGATTCAAAAAGGGTCGAGATTTAATTTAGGATTGTTGTGTTATTGTGAGATGCTCTTTGTTTTCCGTCTTGGCTAGTAGCATGGTGTATTTTACAGCATTTTCTCACGACATGTACGTATTTTACACTGGCCCGTCAACATCATAAGCATTGCTTTCAACATCCCCTGCGTGTCCAACCAACATCCCCAGCATCACCAGCAACTCCCCCGGAGGGGCAAACAATGTAAAGAAGAAGCGGAGGTCGTGTCACACCAACATCCTTTGCATCACCAGCAGGGCATCACCAGCAGGTTGTGGCTCAGGGCAGGCTTCAGGCAGGCAACTTGTGTGGCCCAAGGCTCGAAGGAGATATTGGGCAGACTTGGGCTAGCTGCGGATGAGGTTGGTTTTTTTTGAGCTTGGGATTCGCAACATTTTGCCTCATTTGGCGAAGCATCTTTCAAGCACTATGGAGCGACGCCAAGACCTTTAGCAGCCCCCCCATGATGACTGGGGGAGTGATGATTGAATTAGGGTCTAAAAGTAGCGGGGGACGGGGATGATGTTCGAGTGCTGATAGGGAAAGTAGCTGGGGGGGGTTGGTTCAATTAGGGGTGCATTAAAATTGAAAGGGGGGTGGCGAGGGGCAGAGGATGCAGGAAGAAAAGGCCGAAAACCACCTGCCGGAGAGGAACTGGTAATGTGGAGGATGCGAAAAGCCAAAGCCGCAAAAGCCACATACATCCAAAAAAAGCTGTTTCAAAGCCAAACAGAGAGGAACTGTGAATGCAGAGGATGCGAAATGAAAAAGCCACAGAAGCCACATAAACCCGTAAAAGCCACAAAAGCCAAAAAACAACCGCCCTGAAAAACCAAAAAATCCTTGAAACAACTGCAAACATCCTTAGCAAATGGCCCTCCATTCAAAAAGGGGCGCAATGAATCCTTCAAGACTCCGCATGTCCTTGGCCCGTGTTTCAAGATGGCTGTGGGCCGTTGTTTCGACCGTCAACATTTATCTTTTGGAGTTCGGCAGTGTCTTTTAGAGTTCGGCAGTGAGGTGGCAGTACGCTCACGCAACAAAACCCAGAGGGCCTGTCGTGCCGGGGGCATTGCCCCAGCGTTTTTGCACGCACGCCAGGTGCTGAATCACATCTCGCTCTCCGACGGCTTCTGAGGCCGCAAGGACACAGACCCTGCGACCGACACTGTGTCGTCAGTCGCACTGACTGTGTCCTCAGCCAAGCTCACCGCCGCGCTCACCTCAGTGCCAAGAAAGGACGCGGCCTGCGCGTGCGTGGCTGACGTCTCCGCATCTTCCTCCTCCTCCTCCTCCTCCGCCTGGCAGGCCACTCAACACGCCTTGCGCGCATGCCGGCCACATGGTCAGCGCACCCGCTCAAGCGCGCATGCTCAAGTCCACCCGCTCAGCGCTGCACACATGTTTGCGTGCCAAATGGTAAGCGCACTCGCTCCGCGCCTGCCAGATGGGAAGCGCACCCGCTCATGCGCCCGCTCAGCAGGGTCAAAAAAAAGTGGGGGGGTCAAGAAAAGGAAGCCCAAAGGTCGAACATGGGAGAACCAAAATGGGAGAACCAATGCCTTGTCAGGTAAATATGGACCACAATGGGAGAATCAACGGGTCAAAAGGTCGATTCGTTTTGAACAACTGAGGGAAACCAATGCCTTGTCACAACGTTCCCAAGCAGGAACACATAGCTCACTTGTTGTAACTCGAAGACCCGCACCCATCGGGTTGGCAGAAAGCATTTAACTGCGCTGTCCCCAACTCGCCCGCTAACAGTTTTAAGTTTTAGGGGGTTAAATGGAAATCAGCACCAGACACGGAAAGGCTACAAAGCTAAGGGGATGGCTTGGAATCACCCAGTTACATCAGACATTGTCTCCAAATTGGAGGAACCCAAAAGTCGGCGCGTTCACTTTAGCTTCCCTTTAAAACCTATCTCCAAAACGGTGCCAGCAGGAAACCAAGACCCGGATGTAGACTATTGCTCCTCACAGAAAGAGGAACCTGCAAGCCTGATGAAAGCATGATTTGCTTGCAACCTGACACACAAGCAAACAAACAAACAAACAAACAAACAAACAAACAAACAAACAAACAAACAAACAAACAAACAAACAAACAAACACGGGGGAAGCAAGCTAACAAACAAACAAACAAACAAACCAACCAACCAAACAAGCAAACAAACAATCACACAAACAAGCCCACCAAACAGAGCAGAGCAGAGCAGAGCAGAGCAGAGCAGAGCAGAGCAGAGCAGAGCAGAGCAGAACAAACAAACAAACAAGCTAAGAGCTAAGCCAAGTAAGCTAAACAAACAAGCAACCCGACCAAGCATGGAACAGAGCAGAACAGAACAGAAAAGACAGACAGACAGACAAACAAACAAACAAACAAACAAACAAACAAACGCGACAAAACAAATAAACAAACATGCAAACAAACAAGCACACAAAGCAAACAACACAAACCACAACAAACAACAAACAAAAACAAAAACCACAACCCCACACCCAATAAACAAACATAAACACGAAAAAACAAACAAAGAACAACAACACACACCAAGCCAAACCGCCTTGGTTGCCTTCACTCTCTGTTTTAGCACCTTTTTCACACAGCAAGCGATGCACCCGGACACCCGACTTTCGAACCGAAGGCCCATCGCTCACTTTCCCGGGCCCCTCGCCGACTTGAAGATTCGCTGGGGCCCCGGTTTTTTTCTTCGTAGGACATGTCTCAAGCTGTCTCTGATGCTGTGCCAAAAAGGCTCGGAAGGAGTACCGCTCACCGGCGGCCTGGAGCCCACACCCTTAAGCATCCCGGAAAAGTTGGGACCCAAAGTTCCGAGCGGCTCCTCTAGTCTTTGCGTGTGGATTTTCCTTGTCCAGGTGGGCACTTGACAAACTAAAACGACACATCGCTCGCGGATTGCGGCTTTGCCTCGAAGAATTGCGCCAGGTGCCTTGCGGGCGAGGCGTTCTGGGCAACAGGAAAGCATCAACCGCCCGGGCAAGGGGGACGTTTTTTTGACCAAAGACCAACGGGGCCGAAGAAAATGGGAAAACGGGGCCCCAGCACCAGAAGGTTTGCAAACAAAGAGAACTTGGCGCCATCGTAAGGGACAAGGTGGCACAATTGAAAAAAGTCAACTACTTGGGGCTTTGAGCAAACAGCGAGGCTTTTTGGCGGGCCAAGGCTCATGACTTAACTTGGCTAAGGTACCCCACACCCCCATTCTAAGTACTTGGATGCTTGTAGTACCCTGTTTGAGGTTGTTTTGAAGGGAAGCAGAGCAACCAAAAGTGGAGACATATCTCATGCCGAGTTGCATCTCCACAGCATCCAGAGGCTCCTCTCCCTGGCTCGAACCCGAAACCGAACCCGAAAACGCAGCCCAGTCAGAGCTAAATGCGCGTGCTGTCTTTTAGGGGTATACCTGTTTTGGTATCCGTTTGGTTTCCCAAACGAACACATCACCGTGCTTTTCGGGGTGCTAGTTTTGGGGTTGGTGTAAACTCAACCAACGGGTATGCCCTATTGTGGACACATTCCCAGTAGCCTAATAACGCGTTTGGCAGAAACCCTTTTGGGGTTAACCGTTTTTGGGGTTAACCGGAACCCACCTGGTGCCAAAATAGGGGTCCGGAACATGCATCTTTTCTGAACTGGGACCCTGTTAGAGGTTGACCAGCTGGCAAGTGTTGGGTTGGGAACCCAGACGCAAACAAAAAGGGAAAAAGAGGACAGGCTCAGCTGAACTGGGCGTATCTCAAATTGAGCTCCAAGACGCCACCATTTGCTGGCGCTCGATAGGAAGAAAAACCATGAAACCCACTATTTGAAGGGAGCAAATCCCAGTTTGGACCAAATACCCAATACCCCGTTATAAACGACCCGATTTGACTTCTAGGACACCCACATCTTATGTCCCTCGAAAACAAGGGCACAACAAGTTGCTCTTGTAGGCCTTTCAACATGAAGCAACCTGTTCTAGCACTGTCCGTGAAAATACTCATGCTGTGCATGAGAAACTTCCACATTTGAACCTGGGCACAAAACTTTTGAACAAAATCCGGTCGATTCGCTTGTTTCCGGCCTTCTGGAGCTCCGGCACATCCTGGCGGCACCGCAGCACCAGGCCAAAGCCCTTCGACGCCTCGGAAGAGGACCGCCTGCGCTCGGCTTGCCGGGTAAACGCCCAGAAACGCCCAAAAAGCGGCTGGCTATACGGCGGACGAGCTCTCACAGTCCAAACTGACACGGTTCAGCCGGTCCCGCGGGGTCCCTTATGCCCGGATGTTTGGCATTGTTGGCCTGAGGCGAGACGTTTCATGAATTATTCATTTCAGAAAGCAGCATTAGTTGCTACTTAGATTTGCGTATGTTGATACATGTGAAATATAACATCATAAATATGTTGATGGCAACAATGTTGTTTGTGCATCATGATATTATGGCAAATTGCGACACACAAATCAAACACAAATGCGGAGTAGGAAGAATGTCCAACTGGCAATTTTCGTGGTTCTAAACTTTCATAAACATGCCATATGGGTTGCAACCCGAAAACCTGGTTGTGTACCCGACAACTCTGTTCGGAAATGTTCAACGATATGTGACAACCAAGGAGGCACAGAACTCGTCCCACCTGCCTTTTTTTCCTGAGAGCCACAAGATCATGCAAACAGGTTCATGTTGCTTTCTGGTCTTTTTCACATCAGGACCGCGTCATTGTTGTTGGCCAGGCGGCTCACAAACATGACAATGGTGGCTCAAGTCCCTGGTCCGTTGTGCTTTCTTTGGTTTCATTTTCGGATTGCCATACACACAGCATACCCAAAATATAGATTTTGGTTCACATTCACCCTGTCCAGTAGACAGGGAAGTCATCCAGTCTTCCTGGCGAGGGTGGCTCCTTGACCTTGCAAACGGTGGTGTATCACCACGAACCCATGATGATTGGAGACTGGCTATGTTCGGCCCTGTTTTATGACATATGTGTTCTCTTAGTTGCTTCATCATTGGTGGCTCCATTCAACGCATCCTCCCTTCTGAAATGGGGTTCCGATAGAAGGGTTGTGGTCGGAAGAAGAGCTGTGGAAATCGTAAAGCAGCTGTCAACGCAAGAGTGAAATACGTCCGATCTTGTTGGAGCGAGGGTTGTCAACCCGGGTGCCCACGGTTGTGGACAATAACCCTTTCTGCGATAGCAAAGTAGAAGTCCCCAAACGGGTATCGCAGTGTGGCAACCTGAAACCAAACTGCCACCCCTCTCGACTCGCCTGAAGAGCACTGCCAGGACCTGGTTGGGAATCACCGCCGCCTGGCGAGCGAGCCGAAGCGCTTTGCGCGCCCCGCGGCCCGCTTTTCACAAAACTCTGGCACCCAAACAAGGTGAAACCGAGGACGAGCCAAAGTGGTTTCTTTGAACCACGGTTGTATAGCTTGGAACCGGTAACCCCTGTAGAGAATGATTCGGAACTCTTTCTGGGGTTGGAATCCCATGTCTAGAAGCCACTCAAATAGAAGTCTTCCACACAAGAAGGCAACAGGGAAGTGGGCGGTAGAAGCCTTTGAAACTTTGAACTCGACTAAACTGGGCTGCCCTCGCCTCGGATCCCCCTGCTAAAAGTTTAACTTTCAGTGGGTCAAATGGAAACTACCACCAAACCACGAAACGGCTAAAAGCTAAGGAACCGGATGGCAGTCTTTCCCAGAGCGCAGTTCACAGGTTTTGCTCCAAAGCCCCGATCGTCCGAAGGGCTAGAAGAAGACGGGCCTCACTGGCAACGCGAAAACCCGCAATGCGACCCAAGATGACTGGTCCACCCTGGATTGGTCCGGCTTCCTTCCAGCCCTTTTCGGACTGATGTATATACTTCGCGGCATTCGATCCCAATTGGTTTATTGTTTTTGTTTTTGCCACTTTGTACATTGCCACTGAGAGATCTGTCAATTTGATCTTACTTGGTTTAATGCGCACCATTGCGCACCTAATTCACCACCCACGTCACCCCCGAAGGCTCCCAAAGAAAAAAAACACTCCGAGCCAGGCTTAGGCAGGAGGCCTAAACTGTGTTTTTTGTTTTTCTTTTCGATCACAGCCCCAAGACTGGGTTCTGCGTTGGCAAACAAGACCGAGTACCTGTAGGAGCCATTGCTACACAAATGTTTGCTCGAGCTTTCGTGGCAGGTAAGTGCGCGAGTAATGTTAAACACAAACACTCATGCAAGCGCACGGATTGCAGGGCAGAGCATTGGCGTTGCACACTTTTTGGAACTGCGCCCGAGTTGCGGAAAATTGCGCCCGAGTAGCGGGAGATTGCGCTCGAGTTGCGGGTTCGCTTTCTCTCGAGCACTTCACCCAAATAGTCCGGAGCACTTTTGTGTGTATCAAAGGGTCCTCCAGGTATCCATACATTTTGGTTTCTTTCTGAAAAACACAAAACACAGATCCATATACAGCCAAGGGGGCAAACCACGAGGTGCGCTGCAAGGGCCCAGACCGGAGCTTCAGTAAAGCGCGCCTCTGCGTTGAACCCGAAGTCGCTGAAACATGCCTGCAAGCTTGGTGCTGGTGGCTGCGAGCGGGACCGAAGTGGGGGGGTTGCTTGGCCAGGGGAACGGGGGGTTGAGGACCTACGAACAAAAAAGAACCCCCCCCCCCCCAAACCCACCCCCATTGATTCCTGCGCACCTGAGAGGAAAATGGACTCTCTGAAGAGCGGCTCATGAGGAAAAATGGACGTCGGGAGCAAAACAGGCTGAGCATACATGCTGCAATGTTGCATCTACGCATCGTTGAGACCTTGAAACTCTGTGCGTTGCGGACACGGAATGGCTGGTTGCCCTGTCATGCACCAGTGGTTGGTACTAATACCAGGCAGCATCCTGGTTGTGTTTGGCACTGTAATTAAACATGAATGTGACTTTGTCCAGACCTCGTGTTTCTCAACATTGAAATTAGCAAAAGCTAAGCCAAGTCTGAAGTAGGGGAATCTCCTGCTGTGGTGAGTTAATAATTGGGTTTCAGGGCCACTTTCTGTGATACGACATCCTCCCTTCCCGTTTGTTCCACATGATTGATTCTATGACTCGTTTCTTAAATAGGGAACCACCTCACAAAATGGTGGACATGAACCCGCGCCTAGATGTTGTCCACCACAGGGTCCCCTATTCAGAATATAACTTATATATTTATATGTATTGATTTATCATATATGTATGCACTAAAGTTAAACCGTAAAATGCTGTAGAATCCATCCCGTAAAGAATCTTGAAAGGGGGAATTCCCTGAAAAGGGAGGGCCCGAAACCATCCTCAACCAACAATGGACGAATACACGTCGCCAGCATAGCTGTCACGGCACGACGCCCCGCCAAAAACCTCCGGACCGCTCGATCGCGTCCCAAGCGCCCGACAGAATGAGAGCCAGCTCAACAGGTTGGCCCGCAATGTTGATGATGAAAGTGATGATGACGATGATGAAAAGGCTGATGATGAACACGATGATGAAGGAACATGATGAACAATCAATTGAAATAGTTGAAAAAAGGGAAAACATGAAACAAATGAAAACAAGAAGACAACAAAACAGAAGTTCAGGGGCTCAGGCTCCCCCCCCTCCTGGATCATCATGTTCATCATAATCATTCGGCGTGAAGGTGGAAGTGTACTGCTTCTTGTTGTGCCAACCGAGGGGCAGTCGCCATAGTGAGGGAGGCAGAGCAACTCAATAAATCCATCCCATGAAGAATCTTGAAAGTGGGAATCTGTAAAAAGGTGGCGAGGTACGCCAAAATTCTCCTCACCGTGGTCTGACTAGTTGGGGAAAGTTCGGGTATCCCAGTGGATCCGTTTACCGTATAACTAAGGGAACCACCCGATATCAACACCAAAAGCACAATAGCGAAAGGTTACCTACTACCATAAGTTCATTTGTTTAAAGAACCTGGATATGAAAGGTGATCACTTTTTGGGGATGTTTCCCTGCATTTTCCCTTCATCCCGTGTCCTGTAAAACTTTATCCTTGTTATATCTTGCCGTTTCTCCTTATCGAGGTTAGACCCCTTACTGACTAGCAATGGTTTCCAAACAAGGAACACCAAAAGGTCAAACGGTCGATTCGCTTTGAACAACTGAGCGGGGCTGCCCTCAGATCCCCCGCTGAAAGTGACTACCTTTTTAGTGGGTTAAATCGATACTACCACTAAACACTCAAAGGCTAAGGAACCGGATGGCTGGGAGCCACCAAGTGAGATAAGGGCACCTGGCTATGTTGGGTGTCGCTTCAGACTGGTGGGCAAAAGGCGAACGGATAAGGCTGGAAAGCATCGGAATTTCCATCACCTCGATTCGGCTGTCCTGTGGGAGCTGAATGTGTCCAGCTTCAACATCGTGAGTTGATGCCCAAGTTTTTTCCACATGTCCCGGGCAAAGGCAGAAGACTTGGTTGCATTCTGCTCCCCTGCTAAAAGTGACTAACTTTCGTGGTTCAATTCGGAAAACCCATTAGTTGGATCAAAAAGTGAAAGTCCTAACATCCCTTGGCAAAATGCACCAAAGAGAAGGCGTCCCCAGTGTTGAAATATGGACAGGATAGGCATCCGTATCAGCCTGGCTTCGAGACCTCCGGACTCTTTTGCATTCAACGCATGGGCCGGCCCAATCTGAATGATCACTTAGGTGGACCTCAAAAATACTGAAACCCTCTTCTTGGCTGGTATTTGAAGGACACCACAAGGAAGCCAGCCAGTTTTAACAGGAACACTCCCCTTCCATTTGTTTAAGCCCCCTGGAAAAATAAGAATATTTCCAGCAGTGCTAAGTTCCCTTTAAAACCAACAAGGGAATTTATAACATATTCTTAAGCAAATGGAAGTCACGGACCTAGCGATTCACGGACCCACAGCTCCACGCAGCATAGGCCACCGGCCTGCCCAGCATCCAGGCACTGGCCCTCTGCGTGCGTCAGGTCACTGGCGGGTTGCATCGAGGCGCGAAAAACATCTACCAACCTGGGGGTTTCTTTGCGAACACTACACTCCTTTGGATATGTCCCAGCGTAGACCTGTTGAGGTTTGTCTGGGATCAGCATTGACCTGACTCTTGCAGGGTAAAAAGGTTGAGGGCATTGCCCGGGGGTTTCCCCGCCAAATTCGTGAGCCGTCAATCCGGGCTTTGCTGAAAAAATGGCGAGATGGTTGGATGTTCAATTCCAAAATTTCCAAATCCAGAGAGAGTTACGTGGCGAAGCGATGCATGCCAACTAGACAAAACCCCAAAAAAAAAACGAGAAACACGCCTGAACTCGCTTCAAGCTATCTCGAACTCACAGGGCCCCGCAATTACCCCCGGGTGGATCCGGAAATCCATCAGGTTGCATTCAGCACTCTGGAGGAATGTTCAGATCTGGGATTTGCTTGTGTCAAACCCAGTGGATCCCAGCCCGGAGGCAACCCTTCCCGTGTTTTCCTCATGCAGCCGCTGGGAAAATACATCCGGGACCCTCAGAATGGGGCTGGTGTTGAAGTCTTGCCGGCGGTTTCCCGAAAAGAAATCAATCCAAAAAGGACATGTCCCTGCCATGTTGATACTGTTGGCCATGTACCACGAAAGAGAATGCCAGGAATTCCGTTCTCCTGAAAAACAATGTATCGCCACAAAAGGGAATGCCGGGAGCTCCAATGAGGATTCATGAAGTACATGCAACAATTCGTACTTGTCGTTCTCGCAGCATAAGCTAGGAATCTCGTGAGTTTGGGCAGCAGGAATCAGAATTTGGTGACAGGATACTGGAAATTGTGTTGCAAAAAAGGGTACCCTTAGGCTTCCATAGAGACTCTCCCAGGCGCCTCTCCTCTTTGTAATCCCGTGGGCAAGAAGGGCACGGATTTTGTAGTTGATTGCAAAGCTCACTTTTTCCCAGTTCGGACCTGAATTAAAAGGCGATCGCCTTTCTGGCACTTCACTCTTGATGGTGGACCACCAAGGAAAACCCGAAAAGGGCAATCTCAGGTCGCTCGTCGCCTTGGACAACTGAGACAGTCGAGCCCCGTACAAAAACGAAAACCACGGCACAGGAGGCCTGGGTGACATGCGCTGAGGCTTAGTCCAGGCGAGGAACATTTGGGCGCAAGCTTGTCAGGTGCAAGGGCAACCAAACACAAACAAATTGCGACCCAAAAGACAAAGAACATTACAAAGGAAATAACATGACAAGGAACTGACAAAGATACGCACACACACAGCTGTTCTTTATCCGTCGCCAAAAAACAAACCGATTTCCCATCCGTGTTTTTCTCACTTCCCGAGTGGATGGCCCAAACAAAGTCCAAACTTTTCTTTTCTTTACGACTAAGATGATCCAAGCCCAAACAGTCTTTTTTAGTCCAGGAAGTCAGGACTCAGGAAGTGAGTTTTGGAGGAAGTGAGTTTACACACAGTTCTTCTTGTCCCGTCCGTGTTTTTTTCGGAGATCCCGTCAGCTCCAGGCCCACCCGCCGGTTTTGCGCCTGTCGAAGAGGTCCAGGGCCACCGTGCGCAAGGCACGGCCCAGGCCTCCCACTCGGCGCCGGAGAGCTATAGCTTGCCCAGAAGCCATTCGCGGCGTAGGGTGGATGTCTTTGGTTTTTGATTCCGGGTACTTTGTTGGGTGCCATTTGTCACCTTTTTTGACGGTTTTTCTGGCAACCTCTTTATCTGAAAGTTTTGGGTTTCCATTCGGAGGTCAATTCACAGACCATTGGATAGCCTTTGGGGGGGTCTGGTTGTTGTGTTGTTTTTTTCGTGTGTCAGGTTGGGAACTCGCTCGTTGTCAGTTGGGACTTCGTCCGGTCGATGTCAGAAAGAACGCTTTCCAATTTGCGGACTCTGACTCCTGAACCCATCCATCCCAGAAAGAATCTTTCAGCGCACTTGCAAAGGAGAATCCCTGAAAGGGGGGAGTTGTGCCTTCTGATTGCTCGGGTTATAGCCGCCCCGTTCTAATAAGAAAGGCCAAACCCATGTGTTTGATGAGTTTGGGCCGTTTGCTGGTTCATCTATGGCCGTTAAGAAGCCATTGCCTCAATCCCAAAAACCAGGGTTGATCAACACCTTAAAAGGAACATGTGCTCCACAGTAACATTGGACATGGGCTGCAGGGGTGAACTCTTGTCGGAGAAATAGATGGGGTTCCCTGGTAATTAAGTCATAACAACCAATCCAAACCAATGAAACCCATTTGATTCTAACCAAACTAACCGATACAAATGACACCACTTGGACTTGGACCCTCCGGAGCACAGTGTTGAGGAGACCCCCAACTTCCATTTGCTTAAGCCGCCTGGCAAAAATGAAAAAAATGTCCAGCAGTGAATTTGTTTCTCTTTAAACCCGGGGAAAAGCAATCTTCATTTCAGCAAATCGAGGCCTTTCGTTGGGTTTTAAAGGGGGGGCACAAGGAAACTGAAGCGTCCACAAAAAAAAAAAAAACAACACAGCCATGCAGCCATGCTGCGGTTCTCAAAATGGAAGACCCCTTGTTTTTTGTTGGGGGGGTGCTTGCGAATGGGACACCAAATGAGTCACAATCAAACCCGTTATTGAACTGGTTGACCCAGAACCAAGCAAGGAAATGCGCAGGCGGCCGCAGCTGTTTCCGGCTGGGGGTGTCCCTTAACCTTCATCTACCCGTGTTTCGGTCGCACCTCGCCTGCCGGCGCCCGAGCTGCCAAGCTCCTGGGGCGAGGCCGAGGTCCCGGGACCGGGAAGAAAACCCGGAAGAAGCACCCGGTGTGCCATGGGAGCCCATGGTTTTTAGGGGGAAAGACCTGGGAATTTGGAGGTGAGTAAGATCTGCTCCTTTTTCTTCCCGGGTGGCTTGATGGGCCACTTGGATATTCTTGGAGGCGGCTGATGTTTTAGGGTGGCTTGAGGTGTCAGGGACGACTTGGATATTTGTCCTGTTGTCCACCAACCCCTGCTATCCCATGTATCACAATGGCGACACCCGACTTACTATGCAGGTTGAACATCCAAGAGCTTCCCTGCAGCTTACCTGGATCTTCGGCCAAGTTTTTGGTTGGCCTCTTGGGTTACGATCCACAAGTCGTGAGAGAGAAACCTGCAAAGGGGACTTACCTTGTGGGGTTTCACCACCAATGATTAGTTGGCTTGGCCTGCCACCCAAGTAGCTTTCGAATTTGGAATAAACGCCATCTTTCAGGCATGCGAAGGAGCAGGCAGCAGGGGTCCAACAGGCGGCCAACAGGTCACCAAGGGCTCAAAAGGAGTGAAGTGCACACACATCTTCAATTTGGATCTTTACAACCGCTCGGTTTGCTCCCTGAACTCACCTCAAGTGAGTTGGTCAAACTAAGTCCGACTTTTCATCGTTTACCACTCGAATCTTTGGGAGCGTCTTTTCGGTTAGGGGACCCTCCAAAATGGGTGGTTGTCCTGTTCTCCCTGTTGCTTTCTAGGGGAAAAAAACACAGTAGCCTCAACAAATCCCATTTGGGTGTGTCTTTTTGTAGCGGACCCCCAAAAAGCGTGGTCGTCCCCTTTGGTCTTTATCAAACACCAGAACACAAGCCCAACCCAAAGACCAAGACGCTCAATTTGTCTTCCCAAGAAGTGACCTGAGGTCCACTTTTGCTCAGGGAGTGAGTTCATTGCCTCCCTCAGGCCCGGTAAGGTCCCCGTTTCTACACCTTGCATGCACCGCTTGAGCTGTGCAGGGTATCCCTTGAAAAAGTTGAACCAACCAGGAAACCACCTCTGTCGGGGTCCCCTTCTCTTGACAAAGCCGTATCACAGTATAAGGTCCACGTTTCGAGGATAATATACGCGACATCAGGGGCCCTGGACGCCATGGTCATGGGAGTTTGGTCCCCATGTTCCGATTCTAATCTTCATCCGAGTGTGTGTTTTCTTCAGAAGGGACCCTTGGTGGGCATAATATGTGGGCATCATCATTTAGGTTGGAATTCAAGGCCACTTGAGTCACAATCAAAACCTGGTACAAAAATGGTGAACCCAGAACCATGTAAAGAAGTAGAAAGGCGGCCGCAACTATTTCCGGCTGGGATCGTCCCTTCATCTACCCGGGTTTTGATTGTGGCTCACTTGTGGTTGGTGGTTCCCTATTGAAGTTCACGGCCATTTCGCTGAGCGTGCCCTATGTTGCGCCCTAAGCTTTACAACTGACAGCAAAGGCAAGCAAAGACCCCAAGAGAAGGCTTGGGGATTACTCAGGTAGCTGGGCTTCTCCAAATTTATGGAGCCCCTGAAATGGTTTCCCCGTTGCTTCCCTTTCAGGCAAGCCCAAACATGGGCCGTTGCCATTTGCAGCGCCTTGTCTGCCAATTGGGTGTTTCGGAAAGTAAGGGCCGCTAAAAAACTGGTTCGCCTTTAAACTATCCCAAAGATCCTTCATTGTGAGAAACACCAACAACACGGGCGCCGGTAAGGAAACCTGGTTAACCCTTAGCTATCCAAAAGGTCCTTCATTCCATGCGAATCACCAACAACCCGCGCATTCTGCGCGCGGGTTGGGAACATGGCGGCAGTCCTGGCCAGCTGAAAGCTCTCTTCATGCTCAGACCTGGGCGTTGGAGCCGGTCGGTTGTGACACTCACTGGTTTTCCATTAGGGATCGAAAGGGTGAACCGGAAAGGGATCCCAACCTACCAAACAACCAACCAACCAAACCAACGCCCTAGGAAATCAAGTGGGATGGTGCACGGGGGTTATTCTCTGCCAGAAAAGAGGGCTTCCAAGCTGCCCTCACACTTCGCCCAAAGACCCGATAATTAGAATGTTTCAAAATCCGGGCGATCAACCGGGCGGTTTGGTGAAGTATGTCCGGAAAACAGAATCCTTTGTTTTGTGGTATCCAGAATCACCCTCCCAAAGGGTGTTTCCACTTGCTTTGGTGACAACGCTTCATGTTTCAAATGGGCAAACCCATACGGTATCAATGTCCTGCTTGCTTGCAGGCAATGTTCAGGTGGGGCACGCGGTACAGGTCCAAATCAGTTTGAATGTTTCGCTGTAGAATCATGACGACGACGATGACGACGATGTCGATTTGATGCTGATGTTGTTGACGACGACGATGACGACGACGATGATGTGGAAGAGCAGGAGGAAGAGCATGAGGATGAGGAGGAGGAGGAGAGCAGGAGGCTAATCCGCCGACCCCATGCCTCGGCATGGGGGCGGTGTGTTCGGTGTTGCTTTTGTTGATATGCTTTCTACAAGTTTAATGTGAGTTTAATGTGAATATGATTATGTATATATATATAACTTAAATGTCCCTTGGGGCGGCCCTTGGGGCTGGTTTCTACGTCGGCTGGAATTCTGGATTTCTGGATTTTTGGCTCTCTGGATTTCTGGATCTCTGGATTTCTGGATTTCCCCCCCCCTCCCCCCCTCCCCCTCCCCCCCTCCCCCCTCCCCCTCCCCGCCCCCCGCTCCCTGGCTTCTTTAGTCTTCCGTAGTCTTCCGGCTTCTTCCCGTAGTCTTCCGTGGTCTTCCGGCTTCTTCCCGTAGTCTTCCGTGGTCTTCCGGCTTCTTCCCGTAGTCTTCCGTAGTCTTCCGTAATCTTCCCGTAGTCTTCCGTAGTCTTCCGTAGTCTTCCGGCTTCTTCCCGTAGTCTTCCGAAATCTTTCAAGCTTCTTCCCGTAAATTTCCGCAATCTTTCGGCTTCTTCCCGTAGTCTTCCGATACTGTTTCGGGACCAAACAACGCGCGTGTCAGTGGTAGTCTTCCCCCACCCCTCCGCCCCCCCCTGTGTCTGTCTATGTCTGTCTACGTATCTGCGTCTGTCTTCGTGTCCGCGAAGACCCCCCCTGCCCCTGCGCGTCTGTCTGTGTCTCTTTGTGTCTGTCTGGGTCTGTCTGCGTCTGTCTTCGTGTCCGCGAAGACCCCTTGCGTGTCTGTCTCTGTCTCTTTGTGTCTGTCTGTGTCTGTCTGTGTCTGTCTACGTATCTGCGTCTTTCTTCGTGTCCCCCCCCCGCGTGTCTGTCTGTGTATTTGTGTCTGTCTGGCTCTGTCTGCGTCTGCCTGCGCATCTGCGTCTGTCTTCGTGTCCGCGAAGACCCTCCCCCCCCGCTGCGTGTCTGTCTGCGTGTCTTTGTGTCTGTCTGTGTCTGTCTACATATCGCGTGCTTTCTCTCGTCCCGGGCCGAAATTCTAAGGTGTGTGGGGGCGGCGGAACCAGGCCGCAGGCCATTAAATAATGAAGGAGAAGGATGAGGCGGAGGAGGAGGAGGAAGAGAACGATCAGGAGGAGGACGATGACGACGACAACGGCAACGATGACGAGGAGTATTGACCATGGCTGAAGGAAACTAGCTGCACGGCTTCTGCAGCAGGGACTAACAGAACCACAGCAAGGTCCTATGATCAAGGCTGGCTTGAGGGTCCAGGCACCAATTTTGCCCACCCAAACCGCCAGCGAAATTCGCCAGGCCCCAGGCGCCAGGATGACCCAAATCCCGTCCGGCAGCACAGCAGAAAGGAACCTGACAGCTGCCTATTGCTCCAAGCCCCTTGGTTTGACCAAGTTTGAATGCCTTCTACGCTTCATTTCTCGGCCTCCACCGGTTTTACGTGGAAGCCACCTCCCTCAAGCAACCCTTCATGTAAACCCTCCGGAAGTCTAGATGCTGGGGGTGGACGTTTAGCGGTGGATCCGACCAACCAGGACCTGTCTGAATTTCTGCTTTGTCTTTTTGCAAACCTGTTTGTAGCAAGTGGGAACCAAGCAAAAGATCCGCGCCTGTCCTGAGTGAATTTGCCAGAACAAGTCGCTAACCTTGTTTTGACCACAAGAATGGTCCAACCCCCCCAAAACTGGCCAAAGCCTGAGCAACGGAACCGAGGAACTGAGATAGACAAACTCATACCTTCAGAGAACTTCCCTTGTGCCTCAGTCAAGACCCCGTGAACTGGGTCTCGCTTTGTTTTCCTTGAATGGGCTTGTCCCAAACCAAGCTGTTTGTGAGTGGGAGCCAAGACCAATATGTGCGCTCCCAAACTCAGGGGCCAAAAATCCAACATGGGCTGCCTCCTCTCTGCTTCCCCTTTGCAAACCAACCACCGAGCCCACCTCTCCGCTGCAGCGGCCGCCTCTGCCGGCGAAGCGCCGGCCTCCTCCTGGCCGTTGGGTCCCAACGGTTTGACCTCGAGTTTTACTTTGGGCTGGGAAGAATAGCTCAGTTGCCCAGTTCGGACCCAGAACTAAAAGGTTCACCAAAATGGCACCTCTACTAAAAATGGTTGCCAAAATGGGAAAACCCAAAGGTCAAAAGGTCGATTCGCTTTGGACAACTAGTCAACCCTTTTGTGCGAGGGCTTTGGGCTTTGGCATCAGAAACTCTCATGTGCGAACCGCCCAACGGACATCAGAAAATCGCGAGTCGCCTGGTCCAAAAGGTGGGGTCTCTCCCAAATGAACCATAGACTGAGGGCAACTCAATAGCAACAGCTTTCTGGGCCACAAAGTCTGGGCCCTGCAAATGGACACCCTTCCTCCCACTAACATGGCACCTGGGTACCTGGAAGATCAGTTTCCTCTCTAAGAACCCCACGTCGGGTGCCATGGCAAGGTGGGAGCGGAGTGTGGCAACGTGGGATTGCCATGGCAACGTGCAAGTGGCAACGTCCGCGTGGGAGTGAGGGTACCAAATTGGGCGGCCTTTTAATCCCTTGGCCAGTGGACTGGTTTCAGGCTGTTCAGTCGCTCTGAGCCCCCGGCCGCGCAACGCATGGACACCCCCAGAGCGGAGTCGAAGATCGCAGGCACCTCCCCAAAGCGGGTTGGTGCCGTTGAATTGGAGTTGAGGTGGGTTGGGGTGGGTTGGGGTGGGTTGGCTTGGTTGGTTCTTGGCTGCCTGACGTTGTTTCGATGCCGCTCTTGCACTGGTTTGTTCAACATGTTGCGCAAATGTCTTAGGGTGGCTTGCTCTTCACCCCTGAAGGTCGTTCCACGTTTCGACCTGGAAACGCCCTGTTCAATGGTCTAGAACCCGGTTTGGCCGCGCTTTCTACGTGGACGTCACCGGTTCTTCCCCCCCAGTTAAAAAACTCCTTCTCTACCGCTCTTTTGGTGCTCTCCTCCAATCTTTTCACACCAAAAACACCCACCACTTCGCTAACCAAACCAAACCGGAAGGCCGGAAAGCCGGAAAGCCGGCCGCGCCTTCCGCCAAGTCTCCACCTGATGCATCCGACACACATCCCGACCCGCGGATCGATGTGGAGCTTGAAACATTTCGGGGAAGTAGGGCAAAAAAACCCGTTTGACCGCCGCATGTTTGACTGCCCAAAAACGGGATACGCCAAAACTGGGGGGGAAAGGGGGGAGGCTGGGGATGTTCTTGTGGTCTCCCTTTACATCAAATTTTAAAAAGGGTAGCGAGCCTCAACCGAAACACAACCCATGGGCATGAAGAACCCTGTGAGGGACACTTAGGTTGGGGGTCATGTCCATGCACCAACCACTTGTTGGTTCCGACTCCTGAAAGTCAGCTTGCCATAGAATGCCTGTGAAAAAAAAGCCGCCCGGCTGCATCGAGGGGAGTTGGCTTGCAAAAGTTGTTTCTTAAATGCATGTAACATTGCGCCCGGGGGAAAAAAACAACAACAAAAAGAAACCGAAAGGGTTGTCTAGACAGTTTCAACAAAGGGTTGGCCCGGCCCTGAGGCTCTAACACACCTCAGATGTTCCCTCATTCAGACTGGCTAAGCTTCATTCAGGCTTAAGGCTTTCAACTCCACAACGGCTCCAGGTGAGGCCCTTGCATCAACCTGTTTATTTTGTGTCGTTTTCCAGTTGTTGCCGACTTGTATGCAAGGCTGCAACAGGATCACTATTAGCATGCTTTGGGCAAGTGAGCTTGAAAACGTGTCAACCCCGCGCTTCTTCCAAGAAGACCAATGTTCCAGCCAAGTCTAAGCGGAGGTTGCCGCGACGGAGCCTACGAATGTCACGCTCGGAGTAATTCACTGAGGGTGGATTGAATGAGTTAGTTTCCTTCTCAAGGGCCCTGTTGAAGAACCAGCGGTTTATGAACCCCGAGCTCATTCCCAGAGCGTCCCTTAGTATGCTTTGGGGATGATTGGTGAGGTCCACAGGGGTCATGTAAGAAAAGAACCCAAAGCAGCAAGGGACCCTGAGGCCTTACGAGGGGTGACCCTAGATGAGTTCCAACGAATGGGGGTTCCTTTGGGATGCGATTGGAGCCCATTCATTAGCACACACGAAATGCATGGGGTTTCCTGATGTTGGCCAAACTTAGACCCCCCCCCCGCAAAAGGTCAGAATGCTTGCTTCCCGCAGCAACGTCTTGAAGGGTAAAAAGATGGAACACCCAAAAATAACCAGATGTTGGAACAGGTAAGCTAAGTCTTGCAATGTTCGAAAATAGAGATTCGTTTCTGGGCTGCCCTCAGATCCCTGCCAAAAGCTTAACTTTTGGTGGGTCAAATTCGGAAACCCAACTTTTAAACACTAAAAGGGTCTAAACAGCTAAGTTGAACCGGATGGCCTTCGGGAGCCAAGGAGTTTGCGGACGTCACATCCCTCAGCTCGGTGCCATTTCCTCCGGGGCTGTAAGCGCGGCGGCCGCGCCGCGTCCCCGAAGTGGGACACATCGGAGCTCGGGCAAACGAAGAAGGTCATCATGGACGGCTCCTAAAAGGCGATGCGGACTTAGCCCGTGGATATAAAAACCCATGGGAACTCACAACGGCGGGTCACCTAGAAGGGCTTGCCTGGGATCCACTGGGTTACGTGTCGGAGCTCGGAGCTCGGCCAAAAGCGCCTCTTTTTGTTCAGTTTCGGGCAGGTATATGAACCGTGATAAGGGGCTAACAAAAATTACAACAACTGAGCACACCTTGTTTTGCCTATGATCACGGGGTTTTAATTTCAAAGTACCCGCCAGCCCCACTTCAATTAGACATAGGTTCTGGGCCCTGAAACCGCTCTGCAACATACAAACATGCCTCTTGACTTTGGAGCAATCGCCAGTTTCTTAGGGTAGGTTGATGAGCTCAGGTATCTGGCCCTCCCCTTCCCCCCCTTAGCCTTACTCTCCTTGAACTGGCAAACATCCGTCATCCCCCTCCCGCACACCACCCCAGATATAAGGATGCCTAACTTCGAGAACAAAAAGATGTCTGTCCCACACCCAAACACGGTCTTCTCAAAAGGAAACAAGAAGGTCCCGATCAATTTGTTCTGTCTCCTCCCCAAAAGATGGGAAGAAAATACCCAACATGATTCAAACTTCTCACTTGATGAGTGGACTGGCCAAACAAAGTCTGAACCCAAAAGGGGAAGCTTTGCCTAAACCCTCCTTGTGTTGAAGCCATGCTATTAAACAACTATTGCTTCACTCTCTTCCGGAGTTGACGGCCCAAAAAAAACCAACTTGTTTACCACTCAGATGGTTTTCCCAAAAAGTCCAAAGTCCATGAGCTCAGTGAGCCTTACTGTTTCTCCCCCCTGACTGGGCCAACTGGGAGCTCAAGGCTCCCTGATGGAAAGCCAACTGGCTGATCACATTTCACCAGCCTGAAGACATGGATGGCAAGGTGCGGTGAGGGGGGCCATTCCCCGCATACATCGAACCGTTTGGGGTGAGGTGTGAGGTCGTGAGGTCGTGTGTCGTTGTGATTCACCATTCCACCAGACATTTGGATATCCTCTATCTGATTCTCTCATTGGCTCTCTTCCAACCACCAGCTTAAGTTGGAAGTGGCCTGGCTTCGCGTTTTCAAGCGAACAACTGGAAGCCCATTTGTTTTTGCGGCCAGCGTTTGAGTTGTGGAATGGACTGATCAAGAAAGTCTTCAGAGTGACATATTCCCAAGCACAAGACATTGAGAACTCCCAGACTTGGGTTTGTTTAACGACTGTGCAATCTCTTGTCTCACGTTCCACAAGAAAACCATGAATCCCAAACGAGGCATTCATGTGAAATGGTACTCCCACAAAAGAGGCCCAGAAACGTTTCATTGTGAAACGAGGGCTGAAAGAATGACGATCTGCGCGAACTCCCGGGCGTGGCCCACCCACCTGTGCCGGCGGTCCCTTGGTATCACAGAGAGTGGCCCTAACACCCTACTTCCCAGACCCATGCATTCATCCCAAGAGCATCTTCCTTTTCAAATTGATGATGTTTATCCAAGTCAGCAATCGGTTAGCCACTCGGGAAATTACTCCCCTTAGGATCAGCGCCAAGCAACAAATTGATTTAGGGTTCTACCAACAAGCTAGTAGAATTAGTAGAAGCACTTCCGAAAGGAACCAACAAGGTAGCGTTGGACGCGGCTTGTGAGTTGCATGCAACCTCACTTGGCCACAACTTACCAACTGTGGCTCGTGCTTCTTGTCTTCAGTTCACCATTTTCCGCTTGATTTGCAGGCAAACCAACGGGAACCCGCGGCCACTGGGCCCCGACTCTGTGATCTTTACAGCCAAACTCGGCCAACTTGGCCACGGAGTCCTTGTCCGTATCGGTGCCGGCCGTCTCCCAGTGGTAGGGCCGAAACCATTCCAGAAGCCACACCTCAAGTTGGGATTTCTGTTGGTTTTGCCTTCTTATCAGCAGCTGGAAGCTAGGGATTTTGGTCTCTGCCCAGATAGGCTGTGGGGTGGTTTGGGCCAGCTTTCAAGGAGGGTTCCGGAGGGTTCCAAAAAAACGACCTGGGCTTATAATTTCGTGTTTCTCATGCAGTTTCCAATGGCCCGTTGCTTTTTTCTTTCTGTTTTCCCTGCTGGCTTCCTTACGTCCCTGAAAGTGGGTTGCATTTCGCAGGGATGGAAGCATTACCTTTGTTTGCGACTTCCCTATAAATCAGTTTAAACATAATTTGGAGGTCGGGTTTTACTCACTTCCTGAGTGGATCGGCCCAAACAAGTCTAAACTTTGGCTTGCCACTCAAATGGTTTTCTCAAAAAGGATAAAGTCCAGGAACTCAGAGAGTGCGTTTATGGACCCACTTTCAACCCTGGATCGGGGTGCGTTGGAGCGGCAAGCTGACAGAACATTGGATGCTGCGGCCCGCTGGCCGAACCCTTGCGACAGCATTGGATGCTACAAACTCGCAAACTCGCAAATGCAAGGCACGAGCTGACGACTCAAAAGAGCCGTCTTTCAGCCTGCATTTGCAGCCCTCCGCCGAGCATACGTGGTGAAAGTCAAAGACTCTGTGCCATTGAAGTTCGGCTGCTTGCACATGGCACTGGGCAGGGCATCTGCATGTCCAGCTTGACATGGGCTTGCCTCAAAAACAGCAGGGATCCGGATTCATGAAAAACACCTGAACGTTGCAACTCGTAAATGGTGAAGCTTCCCTTTACTTTGGTTGCAGAATGGAGATCTTTTAAGGAGCCCTGAACAGGGAACAGCGAAGTTATGCCTCCCAAAACGGGATGTTTAACGCAGATGCAACCAGTGGAGCTCCGTGGCAAAAGCTAAGAAGCGGCATTCTTTTTTGTGGTTGGTTGAATTTAAAAGAATCGGAACCCAAAACCCCAAAAAAAGTGGGAAAACATGGGCGGAAACCACTGGGCAACTGATACTTGAGGCCACCGAGAGCTCATGGCTCGCCCAAGCGTCTGGCAACTAAAACTAGAAGCACAGGGATGCAGTATCCAACTTGACATGGGCTTGTCTTAAAAACAGGGAACACCAAAACACTTGACACGGGCCTGAAAAAAAGAGGGACCACCCAATACGGGCGGAGCTTTTTCTTGTGGCTTCCCCCAAAAAACTCGGATGAAACCAGGAGTTCTCCATCGAAAAACCCGGCGGCACCGCCAACATCAAAACGAAGGCACCACGAAGGCGGCGCTCTGCAGCTCGAAGTTCACTTCGAAGCCCAGCCACAGATGCGCCTGGCGCGTTTCCCCCTAGTCCTTTGAAGGGCGGGAGCCGAAGTGGATGTGTTTTTTTTTGGCTAAGACCCCTGGAGAAAAAAGACTTATTTCCAGTAGTGATAGATTCCCTTGAAAACCAACAGGGGAAAATATAAAGTAACAAGTATTCTTAAGCAAATGGAAGTTATCTTTCTGTCGGCTGTTCAGGGCTCCCTAGATTTCCCCTTAAAACATCACCCCCAAGGGACACTCACCTTTCATGGGCCACAAAGCTGATGGTGGTGGGCCAAAGGTATAAAATCTATCCATCTTCTTTTTTGTTGGACCCACCTGTTTCATCGGAAGAATGCGGGATGTTCCAGCTCGTAGATGGACCGCGCCAAATTAGTCATATCCCAGAGCAATTATGTCACAATGGCTGTTGCCAGAGGCAAACCAGTGTTAAAACTTACTCTAGTCATGTAACACCGTGAGGAAAGCATCTCAGTTTCTCACTTGCCCCCTTAGGGACCTGGGAATACGATTGACCCGTGGAACCTCGACTATATAAACTAGGTCCTCCAGATTTGAGAGGTTAGGATAAGGGTGCCCGATTTTTTTCTGTAGTCCAAAACTCCAAGCCCTGGGGAAGTTTTCATCTTTTACAGACATGCCCATGTTACCCCCCACAAGTTGAAAAAAGTCGTGTTTTTAAGAGGTAAGTCTATTTCAGTAGGGGAACCCTCCAGGGGAGAGAAGGGCGCTACTGGGATGCCCTGCAAAAAACAACAACTTTCTGAGGCTTTTGGTATTACACCCGGGAATTGCACTCAGGACAAAACCACCAAATTCATCCAAAATACCTAGGTTCCTTCTCTGCCAGTGATCTGCTATTCTTATTGGCTCCTTGTCGTTGCCTGAAGCTATCGTGAAAATGAAGCACGCACCCAAAAAACCTCTGAAGCTAACGTCACCTGGATTGCGCCTTCTTCGGAGTCACCCTTAACAGATCAATCTTGAAATCACATACGCATCACAAAAAGGGCGTGTGCCTTGAATTGCCATGGAATCCACCAGAGGGGCTCGTTTAGAGGCGAGGGTATTTAACTCGGTTGCTTTCTGCTCCCCTGCTAAAAGTTTAACTTTTAGTGGTTCAATTCGGAAAACCCATTACTTGGCAAAAAGTTGCTCAGTCCTAACATCCGTGGACAAAATGCCCAGAAGTTAAAAAGCCTACGGGTTTTGGAAGACTACCAGCCTCTTGAAACAGGCCGAAACGTCCTCTTCCATTGCTGGCGAAGGGGCAACAAAAATGCTCACCCAGGATTCATGAACTGGTTGACTTTGATCGGGGGGCGCTTGCGCCCATTTTGGGACTCCAACACATTTTTGGGGAGTTGCTCCTCCCTGTGAGTTCCGCGGGTTGACCCAGTCCGAGACAAGAAATCAGTTGGAGACCACGCATCAAATTGCGGAACCTCCCCATCCAGTAGCAGCTGGGCTGGCATTTCGATGTGCTCGAAATAAACATCCAAGAGGCGAACATTGGTGCCCGGCCTCCTTTTCTTGGGGGCAAAGGCCGACAGGGCTCTGGTTTTTTGACCACTGGACATCCTGAAGGATATTTTGTTCGCCATGGCAGATGGCTGTCTTCGAAAAATTGAGTGACTGCCAGCAAATGGGGGCACCGCCCACAAAAGAGTGTCAGTAAGCCGTCAGCCTAGCGCAGCGCTCACTTTGTGCTTCTTCCTTGGAACGTCTCCCCATCTTCCAGGGGGTAGCTAGAGCAAAATCATACCAAAAAAGCCCTGACTTGCTTATTGTCCGCCAGGGCACGGACACATCACGCTCCGGGCATGTGCAATGATCGATTCTACAAAGCAGAACATTGGCAAACAGCATGTCAATCATTTTGTTGTTTTCAGTGGGCACCTACAACGAAAACCGAAGCCATTTTCGCCCAAATCCTAAGAAAAGACGCGCCACCCGAATCAACTTGACAACATTAGAATGATGCCTGGAGCTGTGCCAAAAGCGAACGACCGACCCAAGGAGCTTCAGAAAAGCTGCTGGGCGTCAATCAAAAGCAATCTAAAACAGGAACTCGGGCCGGGCGAGCAAGCCAACTCCAACGTCCCACCAAAACTCAGGCTAAATGTCCTCGCAACTCGTGTTGGAGTGCGTTTCTGCTCTGATGACATGCCAAATCCTTGGCACCTAAGGGACATAGTTGGGCCCAGTGCTCAATTTCCAAACTGGAAAATGAGGGACGCCTCAGTAAGGACCTTCAACATGGGATTTGAAACTGCAAGGCGCATTTCATTTCCATTGCTCTAGGGGTTGCAGTTGAATCATGTCGCGGCCACCAAAGACAGCTCGGTTTCACATCAGCACCTCTTTGTGCCGACAACTGATTGGAATACGGCAGTACGTATATGATGTAGTATATCAACTATGTGCTTCGTTTGAGAAAGTGGTAAACAGTATCTGTGTATATGATGTGTATAAGCAGTACATGTGTATATGTGTGTGATTACAATATAGTATACTTACCCCTTAAAACTCCAAGCCCTGGGGAAGCTAATCTTTTACAGACATATAGCCTATGTTACTCCCAAAAAGTTGAACAGTTGTGTTTTTAAGAGGTAAGTATCTGAGAAAGCAACAGCTGTTCCACCCGCATGGCTTGATCACACCCTGCATCGCTGCACCACATCGCGTGAGACGTAGGGCTGTCCTGTTCCTCACTTCCCGAGATGGCCCAAAGAAACTGCATCCGCCCTAGCATTTAGGATCCCTCAATGGTTCAAGGTTGTGCAAGTACACCTCCTAAACACGCAGATCCCTCAATGAATCCCTCAACCGCATATTGTTGTTTGTGTTTGGGCGAACCCCCCAAACCAGTGGTTTCCCTTTGGTTTTGAAAAAAAGCAAACAAACATAGTGCCTTCAAAGGACGCATTTCTGTGGTCCTCGGGTCGGAAAGAAAGGACTCATCGCCCGCTAAACCGTCGCTGCGAAACTCGCCGCCGAGGAAATCTCAGCGCTGTTTGATCTGAGGTCCGCCGAAAGTCTTCTCCACGTTCTGCATGGCCACATCCCAGTTCACCTTCGAGCCACGCGCCATGTGTGTGTGTGTCTCAAATAGTCAGTGGATTCTCTTAGGGGATAAAAAAGGCAATTCAGTTTTGGTTTGTTGAGTTGAAAGGGGAAGCCTTCCCAAACAAAGGGAAAAAAAAGAGCGCCACTGGGCGTTATCCTTTCAAACTTTCCCTTGACACACTTATCACCATCTGGGGATGGGGATACAACCCCCAACCTGACAAATGGGCCAAGTTACATGACTGTTCTTGGGCAAGAAAAAACATCTTTCGTATCATACACATATTCGGTGCCAACGGGGTTGGAAAAACTCAAAACTTATCCATGCCTTTTCGATCTTCCAGTTGACGCGGAAGGGAAGATACTGAGTAAGTGATATTGCGCGTAGTAGAGAATTCGATCTTACAACAAATGCCACGTCACACCTCCAACTCTCCCACGCTGAACCAGGACAAGGGGGGGATACTTCCCGATACGGCCAGGCATTGTAAACACCAACCTAGCTCGATCCAAGGGTCAAAGGATGCCTCAAAAGGGAAAATTGTGGGAGGAGGCGGGCTACGGGCTACCTCCTTACCCTCACTTCCGGGAAGTGGATGGGCCAGAAAAAGCCCCAAAAGCTTACCAACAAAGGTTACCAATGCCCAAAAAGATGACCAATGCCCAAAAAAGTTACCAGAAAAATAGCTTTTTGTTTACCACTGCCCAAAAAGATTAAATTCCATGAACTCGGGAAGTGGAATGCCGCCTTCTCCCCTTAAGAGCGAGCCCTTCGGCGAGTCGGGGGCTCGGCTTCAAAACAAAGCGGTGGGAGAAATGGAATCCACTTCCGTGGTACGACCAAAAAAGGGCCAGCACCACAAACGAACCGGGGGAGATACTCTTGTATAGTCGGCATAACCCAAGAGGTTTTTGTTTCATTGTCTTCCAGCCCTAGGCTTTGAATTGCAACCGCTTCCCAACCTCCAGTGGATGTGCGCTGGCTGTGCGCTTCTCATTTTTGGGCGGGGAAAAGGTACCGGGGAAACCTCTCCAAAAACGTCATGGATCCCCTTTGGGCTTCCTTGATGATGCCTTAAGATCAGCACAAGAATCATTCACTCAACATTGGCCAAGGTGATGTTTGAGTCATACAAAACAGGAAGATATGTCGAATTAGTGGGTCCCAACCAAAATTTGATTGTCCTGGTGGTTTCCCATCAAACCCTCTGATTGGGTTGCTGCTTTGGAGGCTAAGGGCTTTCCGATTCATCCTCTTAAGAGGTTCACATCCCCAAACTTCTAAAAGGGGATGCGATCCTCAAAAGCGGCACAGCCCAACAGAAATGTCGGCAGCCTTCACTCCCAATGCTAGCTTCAATCGAAACCAGCGACTTTGATAAGGAAAGAACGGTCAATATCATGACCCGGCAAATTCCAGCCTCTTTGGTAGTTGTTCATCAGGGGCAACCTCTAGAATCTCCAAGGGGTAACCTCAAACAAAGCTGCGCGGACCCGCTGCTTCCCTCCCCAACCTACCGTCAAGGACGTTCCTTTTTCAAGGGAAACCCACCAAGCAGAAATGGCCATGGGTCAAAATCCAAATTGTACCCCCAGTAAACATCCGAGTCAACCTTCTACAATGGGTGGTGAATTCACCTACCAACCAAAGTGTGACTCCAAAACGGTTTTGACCCACAGCCATATCATCTTACCTGTTTCCCCCAATGGTCCTCCCATGTTCATCGGACCTTTTGACCCACAGTCAAATCCAACACCGTGGCACAAATTGGCCCGCTGCTTTGCCTCCCAACGCACGGTCGGGTGTGTCCTTTGGACTGTTTCCTTCCATTTCTTTCTTCGCCCCCTGGAAGAAATGAGATAAATTAACAAAAACCAGCGGTGAAAGTGAGTCCCTGCAAAACTCGGGGAAGATCAAACATATTCATTTCAGCAAATGGAAGGCATTTCAAAACGACTAGGGTACCCAGGACTATGACACGAACAAAACAAACAAACCAAACCAAACCAAACCAAACAAAGCAAACCAAACCACCAAGCCTCATGGCCGAACCACGGCCAAACCACATGGCCAAACAAAATGTTTCCAGGAAGTGGCCTCATTATTTTACCATGATCAAAGTCACCCCCAAAGTGGTGGGTTAAAGGGAACCAACCAACCATTTTCTGACTTTGATAACCCCCAGAAACCGTCAAGATAATGACCCCAGGGATATGTCCTGGTTCACCCCCCCCCCCCCACCCACTAGGGAAAATTTGAGAACTGCTCCCCAGCCCCTGATTCTATGGTTCCATGGTTGTCTCCATGGTTTGCCTTTTTCTATGCTTGGTTGACGTTGGAAGGGGAGCAACAATTGGAATTTTAGCAGCTAAGTGGGGATTCCCACCAAACCACAATAAACAAAAATGCAAATCATGTTTCTCAACAACAACCATGTATGGTTGTCCCTTCGAGGAATGTCTCCTTCGAGGCGCCGAGTTGAAGAGCTCCTCGGTGTTGCTCTGCTTGGCCACCAGCAGCGCACGCTTCCCATAGGGCACCGACTGCAAGATCTCCAGCGCCAAGCCCCCGGGGCTCCTCAGACGTAACCCGGCGGCTTCGGCCATTTGGCTCACGTTTTCGTCCGCTGGAAAAAAGGAGGTCTCAGTATATGTCCAGTGAACTCGATTCCCTGTAAAAGTCAACAGGGGAAAATAAGCATGTTCTTGAGCAAATGGAAGTGTTTATTTGATGTGCTTAGTCGACCACGGGAAAACACACACACACACACAACAAGGTCAAAATAGGGCCTCGCCCCCAAAATTGGTGGTTCCTTTTCGCTGCCTGTAAACCAAGCTGCAGGAGCAAACCCGTGCCAAACACAGAAGCCCGGTACCCGCGAGCGTTTCAACTGCGGGAGTGGGAGTCTATGTCTTAGGGCAGGCTTACACGTTGACCGTGGCTGATCTAATATATTGTTCCTGCAGTTCCTGTTTTCTTGTGATGTCGTTGTTTGTGTTGTTGTTTTGCTTGCTTTGATTTGTCGTGCTTGCCCTTCCTGGCCCCTCTAATAGTCACGAATAGCCTCTAGTCATTTCCTGGTCACTGTTACTTTATCAAATGGTTCCCCTCGCTATTCCTGCAAACAACAGGATTGGGTAAATTTGAATTGCCCTTGTTTCTTTTTGTCCAGCATTTTTTGTCGTTGCTGTGAACCTGCTTTGATCAATCCACTTCTTGAAAAAAACAACGCGCCCTCTCGCTTGCCTCACAAAATCCCTCTTTACAAAAGATGAATGTCAAATCCGCAATATGTGCAATGAATTCAACACAAGGGATCTTGGGATTCAAATAAAGCACCTACTTCTTGGAGCACCGTACTAATGTTGGACCTGCTTCAATGTGAACCCCTCCTCCCCCCCTCAACAGTGGAACCAGTCTTGCGGACCCTCTTTAGGAAAGATCCTGGGGGTCTAGGAGGGACAGAACTTACGTACTTTAGTGCCAATTCTACTTTAGTATTGCCAAGGCCCCCTCTCAGATTCCCCGGACTTACTTTGGTGTTGCCAATTCTACTTTCAGTATTGCCAAGGCCCGTTTTTCCAGCAATCCCCCCAAAGCAGTTGGACACCAAAGAGGACCCTGTTTTTGCTCCAGAGTTGTTCCCGGCATTTCTTTTTGGGGCAGCAACTTGCCATAACAGACAACTCCAAAACAGTCCAGCGATCCTGAATTCGGAAGAAAAAACAACTTCACACAATACAGGCTACTGCCATCAAAGCGTGTCCAACATTGCCTTCAGGTATGCTCGCCGCAAAGAACGCCAAGTCATCACAAAGCCACGTGCGCACGCTTTGAAATGCAGGAGGGTTTTCTCTCCGAGTCGCATCTCCGCTGCAAGCCACACCCAGCCCTTGCCGTCGTCCTCGCCAGCAAAAGAGGGATCAAACGTGAAAGATTCTGCATGGATTCCATTTTGGTTTGAGGTAGCGTCTTGGAGGTATCTGGGGCAAATTACAGTACTATAATTCCCAAACTGGTCCATGGACCAGCTACGGAATCCCCAAGCACAACAGATTCACGGGTGACTTGGTACCCTTGAAGGATCGTTTTTAGGGTCGAAGGAATCTGAAAGTACCTCCAGAGAAAAACAAGGCAATCTGATTCGGGCAGTTACTATAAGTCCCCAAAGTACAAAAAGGAAATCCCCCAAAGACCTGCGTCATGAGCTGTTCGTCCTTCAGGCGAGCTTGTTCTTGGAACCCCCAGCTGTTGGGTTGGTTTTAAAGGGCAACCAAAAAATAATATTACCCCCCTGCCGCCAACATGGCATCACACAGGGTCCCTTGAAGAGGAAATGGATCGTCCTGGTACCCTCCCACAAATGCGTGGGAGGAGGGACAGGGATAGGTACATTTTGTTGAAGGTTCCTCATTAAGACTACTATAAACACATGCTTTGTCTTGTCGGGGGGTTCCCCACTAAAAAAAATACACAGAAATGGGTTTGTCTTTCTGTCCGGGAACCCGGCTTTTGGTTGGCTTCAAAGACAAACCCAAGAGAAACAACATGTATTTTCATGTTGTCCTTTGTGCAGGGGGGTTCCCCTACCACAAAAAAACAAGCCACGCCTTCGGGGGAGCTATTGGCCAGCCCGCTCGAGAACTCGAGAGCATCGGTCCACCACTTTCTGCCTCTCATCCACGCCGTAGCCCACACCTCCCTTGGTCACCAGCACTGGTTTCTTCATCTGCTCCTGCGTACCCCAGCGGTTTTTGCGTTTCTTCAAGGCGACAGTCAGAAACGCCCAAAACCCGGTACCCTCCCTCCGAACATGGCAGGTGTTGCTTGTTCAAGGCGGTACCGTCAGAATCAAAACTCAGAACCAGAACCATGTAAATGGTGAGTCATATTAACAGGAAAGTGATTCTTTTCATGGTCCCATGCTTGAGTGCCCAGCGGCTTTTCGTTTCTTCAAGGCGGTACCGTCAGAATCCTCCAACCCGGTACCCTCAGACCCTCCCGAAGATGGTGACTGACAGGGACCCGCTCCCTTTAAAAGCATTTAAGTTCCAGGTACCTCCCCACAGCTGCCATGCTAGTTGGAAGGAAGGCATTCAAATGGTCGATCCCCAGAGCTAGGGAAAGAATTCAAAAGGCGGCCGCAACCATTCATGGCTGGGACTGCCTCCAGTTGCCAGAATTCTTCTTGTGACTCACATTTGTCTTGGCGATGGTTCAAGGGACGCCAGTCGTTCTTTTTCAAATGATCTGCTGTAACCAAAGCTTTGGCATACCAACATTTTGGGGAGCGACAAACCCATTCTGATGCCGATGATCATACCCTACACCAATAAAGTTTGGGGTTAGACACCACCAGGGGTTTCCAGTACCACAAGCCCAAGGATCTTTTTGCCCCCTGGGCAGCCAGGCGGCCAAATCATCTGCGAAACTCCAAGTGGCCACCGCGTATCAAGTCCCAGACTTGGGACTTGTTTCCCACGGAAGATAACTTCAAAAAGAAAGCCGAAGAAGCCGATGCGGTGCAACAATGGGATTTTTGTGTAGCCGAACTAGGGCACCACATCGCCTTTTTCAGGTCCTAAGAGTCCGTTGCTTGATCCTTCCCCAAAAAAAAGAACTGGGTGCGTGTCATGGTTTTCATTGGAAGCCTGTAACATGTTTGGCGGGTTCCAGCTGCCTTCCCCCCAAAAAAACTCCCGAACACGGTACCCACATTGGAAGACGCACTGACTCGAAGGAAAGCGTATCCGTCTTTCAGCCACACAACACGTGCTGGCTTTCTCACCCGCGAACCTGGCACGGGCCATTTGGACATCGTTGAACCCATTGATCCACCCCAACACCCAAATGCAAAGTCTGCTAACATTTTCATAAAGCTTGCTAGAAGCCTTCTGAATCAAGCATAACAGATCCGCCCACCACGGCCCTTTGGCCCTTTGGCCCTTTGGGCCTTTGGGTTTGGGCCTTTGGGCCTTTGGGCCTTTGGGCCCTTGGGCCCTTGGGAGGTGTTGGTCGCTGGAGCCGCCTACAGGAGTGCACCGGAAAAGAACATGTTCGCCTCGGCAACAAGATCTGCGTGGCGGGCGAACGAAGGAACCCCTAGGTCCTCCATTGGAGAGGTTGGTAAGGGTGCCAACCTAATATGTTGTTATAATAAGAAACCAAGCAACAGCTACTGGGTTCTCCAGTAGAGAGGATAGACTAAGAGTACCAGCTTTTTTCAGGACGTCTTTTTTTTAGGAGAACCCTCCCCCCGAAAAAGGGTAAAAGGGCACTGGGGGACCTAGAAACCCTTGGACCCCTTCGGCAAAGAACATCGGGCTCCCTTCAATTGGTATTCACCCTCCTAGGTAGGCAGTCGAAAGGAATGAGTTGCATGAGCCCTGGACTCCTCTTTCGGCCAGCAACATCGGCCCCCTTCATTGTTTCTATATTTGACCCAGGTCGAAAGGAGCCCCATGGGAAACCTGAGATTTTGACGTGACAGTGGTCTGTCAAGAACACTGGAATACCACCACAAACACTTGGTTGCTGGCAAGACCCCCTTGCAAAAAGTTTAACTTTTGGGGGGTTTAGTGGAAAACGCCTTGATTTTCCAAAAAGTTAAAGTCTAAAGATCCAACCCAATAGCAGCCAAGAACATACAGCCACAAACGCACCGAACGTTAACCCGACTTGCCTTCAAGCCGATCATCGCCACCTCGATGTCTAACTTGCCGATGGTGCCTGGCGAAATGCCGGAAATGTGTCTTCGGTGGACAACTGCGTAAAACATATTTCCCATGTGTGTGTGTGTGTGTGTCGTTTGGATAGGGTATCGGGTATCCTTTTCCCCAATTCTGCGGCAAAGGAAAACATGAAACAATCACACAACGCCGCCAGTTTCAGCTTTGCCCCAGCTCCCCCCTCCCAAAAAAAAACACAAATGCCAGTTTGGGGTTTTCCCCGGCTCCCCCCCCAAAAAAAAACAAACAAACTGAGCACATGACAAGTACCACAGTACCACACACCTAAAACTCAGTTGTTCAGTGACCCTGGAAAAAAGGGAACCCTTTTTGGGGCTTGGACCATTTTAGTGGGGCAGCCACTAAAAAAATGGAAAAAAGGATCCGGTGCCACTGAACAACGAGAAAACCGCCCCATGGCTCGAAACCGCGCCTGGCGGTGGCCCCTTCCACTGCCCGGAGTACCTCCTGAAGCCGGAGGACATGAACTCCTCGCGCGAGGCGTACGCGGAGGCATCGGAAGCGGAAGCGCGAGGCGACGGAGACGTTTTTTTCCCATGGCAACGACCTCCAGTTGCTGAAGTGCCCAGTACTCAAGGGAGGGGGGTGGTGGGGGGTGGGGGGTGGGGGGTGGGGGGTTGGGGGTGGGGGCTGGGGGTGGGGTGGGGGGGGGGGGTGGGGGTGGGGGGGGGGTGGGGGGTGGGGGTGGGGGGTGGGGGGTGGGGGGTGGGGGGTGGGGGTGGGGGGTGTGGGGGTGGGGGGTGGGGGGTGGGGGGTGGGGGCTGGGGGGTGGGGGGTAGGGGGTGGGGGGTGGGGTTTGGGGTCAGGTTTGGAGGGTGGGTGCGAGGAATATGGTGGACACTTGGACTTGGAGTCTCCTTCTGACCCTTGAAAGATGGTTGGTCACTACCCAAAAACTTTGGGGTCACGGGTCATGGACCCATTTTTGAAGGGTCATGGAGAGTCTAGGTAGTGATATGACTCCCAACAGAGGAAAACTAAAAAACTAGTCTTCAGCTAATGGAAGACGAAGTTAAATGAAGATGGATCCGGTGTGGGCAACAGAAGAATATAGCAGCCCGTGTTGGGTTTCTAGAAGAGATATGAAGGATGTATTGGCAAAGTGAAAAAACAATCAAGCTAGAGTGTGAAAGAACTCTTCCATTTGGTTAAGACCCCTGGAAGAAATAAACATATTTCCAGTAGTGATAAGTTCCTTTTAAAACCAACAAGGGGAAACACAAGTAAAACAACATATTCTTCAGCAAATGGAAGAACTGGCAATCTGGAGTCCACTCTATTTGGAGCTGGTGGGCCAACCGGTTGAGGTCAGCCTTGGGCGCGCGGGGCAGTGCAAACCTTCTGGGGCGGTTTCTTTTTCTCCGCTGCCTGAAATCAAACCAGAAAAAACACTTTGAGGCGAAGTGAAACTTCGAAACTCTTTCAAGGCTTGGGCCTTGGCCCCTTAAGACATTCACTTGGTACCTCCTTTTGCCACGAGTCTGGACATCATGGCTAAACAAATTGCTTGGTTTACCGCCCGAAACGGGCGAGACCTCGCCCGGCGCTTTCCCAAGAACCAGCAAGTTCTTCAAAGTGGGTTCCCATGTTCGGCGCCCCCCCACTCCCTCCATCCCACACTTACCCCTTAAAACTCCAAGCCCTGGGGAAGTATTCATTTTTTACAGACATGCCCATGTTACCCCCAAAAAGTTGAAAAAAGTGGTGTTTTGAAGAGGTAAGTCCACCCTCCACCATCCCACCATCCCCCAACCCCCACCCACCCTCCCCACCCTCCCCACCCCCCACCCTCCACCCCACCCATCCCACACCCCCAACCCCCCCCCCCCCAAACCCTAGCCACGAGCCCATGCCAACTCCGAACCCGAGCCATCGCTCCCCGTGGAAGAACTTCACCACCAGCTCCGCCAGCACCGTGCCCTTCTTCGGCTCCCCTCATTCGTGGCCGTCCCGAAGCGGACGAAGCGGCCGAAGCGTCCGACCCCCAGACCCAACCAAAGGGCCCCTGGTTTCGTGGAACCTGGGGGCAAACTGCAAAGAATTTGGGCTTTCTTCAGCCTGCAAACTGAACATGCTGGCTTTTCTTGATAAGTTATGCTGCTTTTCAACTCTGGTAGTGTATATATGTATATATATATGTATATATAACCTCGTTTTGGAGTGACGAAAAAAGGAAGGGTATTTGCCATCGGACGTCTAGCTTTCAAAATACATCTTACTACAAGTGGGCCGTGGTTCCAGTGGGAAATACATTTTCCAAGAAACCAAACACAGCACAACATGCATGACACATCAAATCCGATTCCGTCTATCCAACATTGGCGACCCAAATCGGGCCCCTGATTTGAAAGAAGAAGGGAGCCCCCTCTTTCCAAAAAGGGGTTTGTACGTTTGCACCCCGCTTTTTCTGTGTGAAGGAGCATTGAAAAGGACAACCCCACCATTTTGGGGCTCCGAACACGTGGGAGACGACACCACCCAAACCGGTGAAAGACGACACACGGATTTCCACCGGACGGCCTCCGTTGCCCGTAAGCAGCGCTGAGTAGAAGTTCTGAATGTCAGCGTCGCCTCGATGACTCGACTCGACTCGTCTGGCTGGCTGGTGTGGGTCAAAATTCCACCAGGAATTGGAGCTTCTGGATTTTGTCTCCACTTTACCAGGGTTGCCATTCTATGAATAAAGAACCCACAGCCCCTGTTGAAACCATTTACCAAGGGAAGTATATATGGGACAGCCCGCAGTGTTGGGGGTCCGCCTTTTTGACACACACCCTCATGGCTCGTTTCTTTTTCTTCTTCTTCTGGCGGTTTGGCACAGACACAGAGATCCCCATCTCTCGTTGTTCCAGGAGTGCAAGTAGCTTGCTGGTTCTCAGATGGTTTCCCGGTTACCCCTTTTTGTTTGCTGGCTTCCCATAGGTGTCCTTTTAGGGGAAATAGATGGCCCGGGTAGATGATTAAACCACCAGGTAAACCAGGGCCATCTATGTTTCTAGCAAAACAACCAAACAGGACACCTATGTGGCTTCCTCGTTACGAGCCCACTTTATTTTGAGTGTATACCCCCTTGGAGGAGAGGTATGAACAGCAAGCCTTGTGGGGGCATGTGCTGAAGGGATCCCTTTGAGAGGAACGGACAGTTGTGGATATTTTTCTGGATGAAGCCCAACAAAAACTCCAAAGCGCTGGCAAATGCAAAGCACTGGATCAGAGTCACCGATATGTTGCAGCCTTGTGCAAGACATATACTTCGTCACGTTCAGAAGGCAAGACAAAAACAAGAACACGGTTCAGAAGCTGAGAAAACCCCGCTACCCCACAATTTACGCAAGGAGCATGGATGGACACCTTGCCAGCCAAGAGGGGCGCCACTTCTGCTCTGCGGGTTTCCCGGATGGATGGAAAGGAGGCCAAAAGGAAAACTGAAAGGTCCCCAAGCTCCTGGTGAGTAGGGAATCAACAGGGCTTCGTGGCGAGGAGTTTTGTCTCTGAACTCTTACCCAATGCTACTTCCATTTGCTTCTTGGCGCCCTGGAAAGAATGAGAACACAATTCCAGTAGTGAAATTGATTCCCTTTAAAACCAAACAGGGGATCAATTCACAAGCAAGTCATTTCAGCAAACGGAAGGTTCGTGGGCGATTCTGGGGGAATTCACCCATTTCTGGCCACACCCGAAGACTTCACCCGCTCGCCCGCGAGCTGACACCCAGCCCCCGGCTGACATCGTACTCTCCGCCGCCGCGAGCCTCGCGGAGATACTTGCGCCGCAAGACCCCCCCCCCCCCGCACTGCGTGTCCATGGTAAGAGAAGGGCCCTCGGGTGGATTTCAAGGGTGTGTGTGTGTGTGTGTATAGATGTGTCTGTGTGTGTTTCTTCCGAGGCTACGCCTTTTCGGGATGGTTTTAAAAGGGAAACCAATAGCAAAACCACGTCCCCTAACAAAAGGGAACAGTTCCCATGGCCCAAAAAAGTGTGCGTTTCCTGTCCAAAAAGAGAGAGACTAAGACGCCGGTGCAGGTCTGGAAGCGCGCTTGCAGATGCCGACTGAATCAGCAGATTGGGGATGAAGGGCAACTATCGGTGAATTCCTGATCATTGGTTTGCCTTTTGATGGGTTTTGTGGCTGGTTGTGGTCAGTCCATTAAAACAAAAAATGATGGAATTATATACAAATCTCAGGGCTGGCTTCTTTCAAAAGGCATCCGTGAAAGAATAAAACAAACGCTCCACTAAAATACGGGCCCTCTTTCATCTTTTTTTACCTCTACCTGACAGGGGTCCTTTCCATTGAACACTGGCTCCATTCCAGCTGCAAAGCCTGCTTTACAGGGCACACATTGAGTTGCTGCCCACCCAAAAAGTGAAGGATGCCCCCAGTGGATCCATTGCTTTTGCCTGTATAACCACTTAAACCCGATCTAAAAAGTGGGCAACACTCAGATCCGCTGGGCCTCAATCTTCCGGGCGCGTAACGGCCTCGCTTGCCCAGCTCCCCCGCCCTAGCCCCAGGGCCACTCGAACAACTGGCCAAAAGCTGGAGAATGCTAAAGGGTCATGGGCGAAACCCCACGGCTCACCTCAAAACCCCCTTCTCCGCCCAAAACGCCCCCCAAAACCTCATAGGTGTCCTTTTGGGTTGGAAATAGATGGATTTCCCTGGTAGATGATTAAACCACCAGGGAAACCAGGGATCGAAACCCATCTATTGTTCTAACAAAACCACCAAAAGGACACCTATGTGGCTTCCTCGTTACCAGCCCACTTTATTTTTAGTGTTTTCCCCCTTGAAGGAGAGGGGTATGAACCCCCAAACCGCCCAAAACGCCCCCCTTCTCCGCTCCCACCTGCAGCGCCACCTTCGGCGCTGTCGCCTTCGCCGGTCGCGAAGGGGCCAAGCCGCCGCCGAAGGCGAGGAAGGCGAGGCGCGTGCTGAGGAACCCTGGCGAGGAAGGCGAAGCACCCCTGACTCGCTGAGATGGAAAAACGGGAGGGGAGGCTTTGGGAACCTGGGTGAAAATAGAAGCTTTCAAGGGAAAGGTTCCAAAAGTCGGCTTGCAACGGAGTCGAATCATGTTGCTCTGTGAGCAGTGTAATGGATTTCGGATTGGATTTTTGAACACGGTAGTTTCCCGTTCGCATTAGTTCATTCCCTGCAGTTCTGCCGGCGACTCATGTCCACAGACTCAACATCAACCAAAGGTCTCCATTCCTTTGAACAAAAACTGAATGTTGGTTCTCTGGAATAGCGGAACCCGACTTATGTTTCGGCGTGAGACTTTTCTGGGCGCTCAGCCGGGTTTGACGATTTGCCTCCGGAGATTTCCAGATCCCAGGGGTCAGCATTAGTCCCCAAGCACGGCGGTTCATCATGGCCGCAAACTCAGGGACCACCGTCCGTTCACGTGCTTTTCAAAGGACTGGTTTGGCCAGGCAGCGCGCGAGTAGTGCTTCAAGATCAGAGAATATTGTCATTTGCATGGTGGTCTAGCATGCATTACCTTAAAAAAAGAGAGACATGCTGCATTCCAAAGAGGCATGCTATGCACTGCTTTAGAAACTGGTCGCAGCCGCAGCCCCCCCAAAAACAACCAAACTGGGCGATATCTCAACAAATACCCGGGCCCAAGTACTCCAAGTACAGCTGAAGGATACTTGGAGCTGGGCTTGTCCCATGGAAACACCCCGGCTCCGGAGAACCTGGCCCTGTGCCTAGGCCCAGCAAAGCCAAGGCGTGGCTCCGCGCCATGGCCGAAACCCAAGGCCGGTCCAAGTGTCCAAGTCCGATCCGTGGAGTTGCGTCTCTAGCCGTGGAGTTGCGTCAAATTTGGCGCAAGGAGTTTGAGCTGTCATCTGGAAAAAATCAAAAGGGCCTCCTAGTGCTGGGCGTAAAAAATAAAATGCTCCAAGGTGAATTGAGGTGTGCGGCTGCGTTTCTGAGGAAGGTCATGGCTTGTGGCTCACAGAGCATTGGCTTGCCTGGCTCGATGTGTGTCAGTGGCGTTCATGAGGAATTGCAAGCCAGCACAGCTGCGGCAGTCAAGTCATCTCTCACCCAAGCCCCAGACCCCCCTGTTCTTGCCCGTAGGGCTATAGCAAGGTCTACAGGTTTGTTGCCTTGGCCCTCTGTAGGAGAGGTTCAGAAGTACCCATTCTTAGAAAAGGTTCGTTTGCAGGGTTCTGAGAGAAATTGAGTCATAATCTGGCATTCAGATAGTCTACTCAAAACCATGCAAAGAACTAAGAAGGCATCTGCCCGGGTTTGGATTGTGGCTCATTGTTGGTGGGTATGAGGGCCCCAATGCCTGGAAACTCTGCGCCTGCTTTGGCCGCGCTGGCAAAGGCACTGTCAAAGCCTGGGCAAATGGCGCAAGCGTTCCTCAAGCAGGGGGATCAACAGGAACACAACTTCGTGCGACACACCACTGCATCGCAACAACACATCACAATTACCCAACAGAAGGGATGTGTTTTTCTCCCACAACTATGCCCCTTGGTTGCATCCCCATCTTACCTTCTTGGTTTATGTGTACAAAACACAGGCTGGAGGGTTAATCGACCTCAACCGGCTTTTTGGTTTTCCATGCGTGAGCCACTTTGAGCCATTCCACAAAAGGTGTTGCTTTTCGTGTTTGGGTGCCTTGAACAAGTGAGAAAGTGGTGTATTTTGTCAAGTAGCCCTTGCGCTTTGACGACAATCTTTGCTCAGGGACATTCACGAACCTGGTTCCCTGAGCAATCATAGTAATTCGGTTGTTGCGGGTATACGTTGAAAAATGAGGGACCCGTCTGAGTGCGTGGTTTCTCCAAAAAGGGTAGTCGAAAAAGAAACATATCACCCCACATTGCCTTTTAACACAACATCTCACCAAAATGTTCAAGATCACAGGCCGAGATGTAGGCAAGTCTCATGAACCGGCGCTTGCTTTTGAAGGGATTCCTCTAAATCAATGGGTAAAGTTGATATTCTAAGTGACCCAAGTGTATCCTTTTACAGGGCCAATTGGTTGCAACTACAACGCAGGCGGCACATCTGGAGCGATCCCCAGGCAGCCATCCCAGTTGTTTTGTGACTTTCAGGGGCACCCAAGGGGTGCGGGACAGCGCGCCCTTTTACTAAGGGTGGTTGCCAAAAGGCGAAGATTCCATACAGTTACAAGGTCGATTTGCTTTGAAACCTGCGTTTGGTTGCCGAGTTTTTCAGGGATCCTCAGCTGAACAACATGAACAACAAGGGCACCACTGGTTCTGGAAAGAAATGGAGGGTGGCTGAGCGGTTATCTCTGAAAGTGTCAAAGGCATGTGGTAAAGGGTCATAGTCATATGCGTCCTTTTGGAGAACAAATAAATGGCACTGGCAAACAATTGGAACCAAAGGGAAACCAGTGTCATCTATGTCAAGCAAACCTGAAAAGGACATCTGTGGTCATAAACCATGGCTGACGGGGCAGCTGAGGTTTAGATGGCAGAGGTCATACTCAGGTCGAGTCTCCCCCGGCGCAAAAGGTCAAACCCTCAGGCCCAGGCTTCGAAGGGGAGGTCATATTCACGGGCTATGCACAACAAAATCGGCTCCAGGATTGCCAAACTTTTGGAACCACCACTTTCTACAGCTAAAATCCTGAAACAGATATTGCACTTTCTACAGACTTTTACAAGCTAAAATTGGTGGCAGCCCATCCTTACCTCCAAACCCCCTACCTGAAACTGCCCGGGCACGGCTCCCAGTGGAAAGCCTCCACTTCTCTACTCCCCGCGCAGCCAAAGTAAATTTTCTGGCTCCAGGGCATGGCAAGGGGCCTTTGAGAATGAACCTAGGGCTCCCTAGGGATCCCGTTACAAGTTCCCAGGTTCGGATTTGGGATTTTAGGGATTTTGTGGGATGGACTTTGGGATTCAGGGAACCTGGATTTGGAACCTACTCATTTGGAATCAGGTTCCCTGGATTCTCGGATCGACTTTTTTCCAGGGAAGGCACCTAGGGATCGACCCGCCTTCCCTTGGACTGAAGCAAAACGCCGTGTCCTCCCAACCGACTTGGAAACCAAACGCAACCACGCCTCCAGGGCAGCAGCCTCTGTTGGCAGCCACTCTTGCTCCTGGACTTGAAGACTCCAACCCAAGCCCCAAAATCTCGGTTGACGTTGGGTTTGGGGAGCAACACATCTCAAATGTTAGCGGTGAAGTGCATTTGGATTTCGGCCACTGAGCCACAATAAGGAATATGGTCTAAAAGGTTGTTTTGGCGCACCCTCGAATTTTGGGAAGACACGTCTTGCAAGATGGAATCTCAGGCTTGGATGATGGGGTTCAACACTCAGACATCATGCCCAGCAAGAGAAAGACACCTATTCACCGATTCACCGATTGCGCCTTCACGCAGCGCATCACAGGGCGTTGAGAGCGCCCCTCAGGAAGCCACTGTGAAAACGTGCCGGGCCTAGGTGGTGAGTTCCCGGGTGGTGTGATGCCTTGGTGACTAACCCATGTCCTTCTGAAATCTCCATAGTCTATGGATACTCGGTTGCTTTCTGCTCCCCTGCTAAAAGTCTAACTTTTAGTGGTTTAGTGGAAAACCCATTAGTTGGCAAAAAGTTAAAGTCCTAACAGCCAAGCAACATGCACCAAAGCAAAGATTTGTGTAAGGACCCCCGACGACCCCGACCCCAGCCCGACGCCCCCGACGCCACTTCCCAGCCTGAAAACGGCAAACGTGTCGCGGGCTGCAAAACATAGCCCTCAGTGCGAGCAACGACTGGCACTGTTTGCTTAAAGCCGGGATCCGGATCCATTATACACCTGAACATTGCAACTTGTAAATGGTGGTGTCCAACTTTATTTTGGTGTTGAAAAAGCCACATGTTTCAATTGGCTACAATATGAATTTCTTTTAAGGAGCCCTGTTATTGGCTACATTCAGGGTGACCTTCTAAAAGAAATCACCCCCTGAGCTCAGATGCCGAGTGGGTTTCCATCGGGAAAAAAAGAATCGGCATGTTTTGTTTTGGTGGACTTTTTACAGGGGAACCCTGTTGCCCAGTGACCTTGCTTGACGTTGGAAGGGCAGCAAACACATAAATTTTAGCAGTCAAGTGGGGATTTCCCCCTACACCACAAGAAGCAAAAATGTAAAATTATTCCCAACAACAACCATGAGTGAGTAGATTGTGGTTTAGCCAACCCCACAGTTTCAACTTTGAACACTCATCATGCTCACGAGCCCGGGTCTGGGGCTTGACTGGCAAACGTTTTCCCAGGCGCTTGGGAAGGTCCAGCTGACCTGCCGCTAAAACACACACCCCACATATGGCGGCTATTGGTTGAACACAGCACCTTCAACCAGCACTGGGAACCGTGCTTGGGAACTTCCCCAAATCGGCTAAGTTGTTGCTCTTGAATTGAGAGATTCGCAAGCCCTGCTCGCTTGCTGGGTCCACGAGCCCAGATTTCGACCCCTGCGCTTTCCTTGGAGAGAAACCCAACAGAAGCTAACCGCTTCAGCGGGGGGGACCCCTCGAACCAGAAGCCGCAGGGAAGGGAAAGGAAGCAACTGAACCTTAGCCCGTAAAAAAAAAAAAAAAAAAAAAAAAAAAAACTCCAAGCTCCCTAGAAAAAGTGTTCATCTTTTACAGACATGCCCATGTTACCCAAAAAGGTGAAAAGTTGTGTTTTCAAGAGGTTAGCTGATCCACAAACTGGTTGCTTCTTCTTCCTCTCCACAAACTTGTGGGAACAAGGGAAGGAAGCAACTCATCTTCCCTTCCACAAACTTGGCTGCCGGCTTCAGCCTTTTCCGACAGTGGCGCTTACCCTATTCCCCCTCATCCCCGCTAGTTTTGACCCCATATGAATCAACCCCAGTTTATCAATTTCTGCCAAAATGTACTATGCTTCCAAAAGCTGAATCACGTGATGCCCAGATCAAGGATCTTTAGCATGGTGAGCTCGTTTTATCCCCGAATTGGTGAGCTCGCTACAAAGTAGATGAGTTTAATGCCAGGGGGCTGTCCCGATCGGGTAGTGGGGAAGCAGACCACTTTTGGGGCCGAAAACTACCCCCCCCCCCCTTATGAATCCGGGGTTGATGAATATGGGGTCAACGTGAGTATACCAGCAACAAATCCGGCCTTCCGTGTCTGATATGACCAACATGATGTCTCAGATGCCCAGTGGCCATGGGAAAAAAAGGGGCATCCTTTCTTGGTTGGTTGACTTCGCATGAATCCGAACCCTTCCCAAGAAAAGAGAGGGAAAACAAAAGGGGGGGCCTTGGTCTACGTCTCCTCCCGTCGCCCCCCGGCGAGACTGCGAGCTTCAAGCTGCGAGCTTCACTAGGCCTCCGGCGGGTCCATGAGGCAAAGCGGCGGCGCCTCAGCGACTTCCCTCGCTGACCCCCGCTGAGTGCATGACGTGAAAGACTTCCGCCACTGTGATCCCCAGATCAAACCACAAATTTCACAAATTAAGAAATAGGACACTTGGAGGGGGTAGGCTACAACTGCAGCCGCAATGTGGAACTGGTGTTCCAGCACGACTGCATTTTGTTCACAGTATGTCCAACACCTGAAACAGAGGGATCCCCAAGATACTCAGCACGTTTGCCCTCAGGTGACCTCGCCATCATTTTGCCAAATGACATGCGAAACTTAATTGGTTGGACCGTATGAAGGACATCTTTTACATGTTACCCCCCTTTAAATACCCACCAACAAGGGCTCCGAAATCCATTTCGAGAAACCACAAATGTGAACCAGCCACTTAATTTAGAGGTCATGCCACATCTCCGGCCGAATCTTTAAGGGAGAAATTCCATAGCTCCATGCAGTCAATTCAATGAAGTCTCCGGCCTCCAAAAAACAATGGGCGCCCTGCACAAAAAAGGAAACCAGAAACCAACACTCAAAGACATTTGGGGCCGGGGGTCAGCTCTGGCTGTCCCTTCAAAGCGAACAGAGAGGATATCGGGTGTTCTTCCATTTGCGTTGTTGTCCCCGGAAACAAAATAACACATTTTTCGTAGTGGCGGATTCCCTTTAAAACCAACAGGGGCAAAATACAGAAAAGAAAGCGTTGCACCAACATAAATGTATGCCCGCTGTCCATTTGCCATGAGCTCGTTGCAAACCAACAACGTGGTGTGGACATGAGCCACTTACGACTTGCGACATTCGCATGCTTTCAAGCAGTATCTAAGGAATCCAAGAGGGATGCTGGGGTGAACAAACATGGGGTGTTGGGGAAACAAAACACAACCCTCCGTTTGCCAAAGTCCCCTGCAATAAATGAGAGTTTTTTCTTCCAGATGAAATTCCAACAGAAGAAAATGAAACCTATCCTTAAGGAAATGGACACAACCCATCTGCAAGTTTTGCAGTATGTCCAAAACCTGGAATAAGGGATCCCCAAGTCTGCAAATTTGACAATTTATATATCCAAGACCTAAACTAAGGGATCCCCAAGTACAGGATCTTTACCTTACCCCTTAAAACTCCAAGCCCTGGGGAAGTTCATCTTTTACAGACATATAGCCCATGTTCCCCCCCAACAAGTTGAGAAAAGCTTTGCGTTTTTAAGAGGTGAGTCCACCCTCCACCATCCCACCATCCCCCAACCCCCACCCACCCTCCCCACCCTCCACCCCACCCATCCCACACCCCCAACTGTTGAGCAAGTGGCTCGCATTTCCCCCGCTTTTAACATAGGCAGAGCCCCTCCGTCTAGATCTTCTCCCCCCGCCTGGCGAGGCTTTGCTGGGCGAGTGCTGCGGGACCTCGGATCGAGGTGGATGGCGAGATGCAAGGCTCGCATGGCTGGGTTTGGGGTGGCTTTGGGGTGGGGTTTGGTTTCTGTGGTGGGTTTAGTGTGGGTTTCGTGTGGGGTTTGGGGTTTTTGTGCTGGATTTAGCGTGAGGTTTTACTTTGTGGTGGGTTTGGGGCGGGCGGAGGTTTTCTGTGTATGGTAGGTTTAGGGGTGGGGGTGCCTCGATTTGAAGCCTAAACCCAGGATCACCCCTCCCCACATTCCATGTTCAAGGGGAATGAACAAACACCAGGCGAAAAGTGGAGGGTCTAGTCTAGAAGCAACAAAAGAAAGCTCTTTCCGCCATAGAGGGTCTGGGAAATCAACACGTGGCCCATGATGGCCCATGTTTTTGGGGATTGCGATTGGGACAATGAAGCATTCTGGACATTGAGAGCCCAGAAGCGGCTGATGGAACATGGGCGGCCTGATTTTGTGAACCCGCTCCAAACAAAAAGAAACACGGGAAGGGGGCGTCTGGGGAAAGGAGATTTGAACTCGGGTTTTTTTCCGGACATCTCTTCAGGGGCTTCTGCGAAAAGCTGAGAGGTCCTGAACTCCGAGGCAGAAACCCAAGCAGATTGCGGTTCTTTGCTTGGGTCAATCCCCGATGGTTTCTTGGCTTCCTTGTGACCTGGAGCTTGGCCACGTGAACAAATGGGATCCCAAAATTGCACGACCTGGCGGAAAGATGGGGGTCCCTCCAAAAGTGACCCCAATTACCATACCATGAATAATATGAAAAATACTATTCTATTCAGATTAGAGACTAATACTTCAGATTATTCCAAGGAACCCTACCAGGCAGTGGTGCTGCCCCTTTCATTGAAAAGGACTTCCTCTAAGCAACGGCCATGCACGAAAACCACTTCCTTGGTTGATTCATAGGGTGCCCCACTTACAGGGAATCCTGCACGTGTTTGGCGCAAGCACTCGAAACACCTCCGGTGCACTTTCAAGATCCTGTTCCTAGTGGTTTTGGGCTGCAAAGAAAAAGCCATCTCAGAATTGCTGAACATCCCTTCCTCACCCTCTGGGCCTATGAGACTTCGAACAGCTTTGCCCCAACATCTCAGGCCCTTCATGCGTGGACTGGCGAAGTGAACCCGGGCTTCTCTTTACCCCCGGGGGCACCTAAGGCGCTTTCTCTACTTCAAAACCCCCAGCGGCCATGAGAATGGGCATTACAACAAACCCCCCCCCGTTCGGCCGAACGGAAAGGGACACCACCCAGTTTCTGACTGCGACCCCCCAGAAACAGCCAACACCACCACCCAGACTTTGACCCCCCAGAAACAGCCAAAGTCCATGACCCCACCTAAAACCTTGGCACTTCGGCACTTCGACGAGTTGGATCCGAAGTCTTCGAGCACGGCATTGTTTTTCGCTCGCTTCCGCCGTCACTCGCGAAACGGCTGGTTCGCCCGCGCGGGGCGAAACGGCTCTGGGTGCTAACTAGGGGGTCCGGGGAAAAGGAAACAAATGGAATCCATCGTCTGTTGATTGCCTTCCTGGGATATGAACAAATACTTTAAAAAGAAAAAGACAATAAGAACCCAACCACCTTTTTTCCTCTGCAAAGGGCAAAGGGCTGTCATCCTGGAGAGATTCCATAGATATACCTGGTACCTGGTATATACCCCAAAAGACGAACACTTAACCTTTGGATTGCTGAAAGCCTTTAACAGCCATTCATAGCTGTTTCACCACTGGTTGTGGGTGGTTGCAATAACTAACCTTCAAAGTCAATCAAAACACAAACTGTGAGTAACAATACAAAAGCTATCAAAACTGTGGTTCTCACAAAGCAAGCATCTATAAATCCAACTATAATCCATTCACAGCAGTAAACAATACAAACAAATCCATTAAACCACCAAGTTTTTTGGGATGAAAGCTTGGTCTCAGCACCCAGGGCCCGTCATGCGTAACGTAGCTCCTCCGCTTGCCACTGCTCTGCCGTGGCAGTGAGCGAGGCCGCCAGAGACTCCTCAGGCTCGCGGAGGCTCCCAAAAGCTGGGCTGGTGTTGGAAATTCGACCTGTTATTGGGTTAAATTCGGACACCCAACCACCAAACCTTAACCGTATTGAACATACCTGTTAGAGAAAACCAAAGAAAACACACAGTTTTTTTCTGACTCAGGGGGATTTTTCCGTGTTGAACACTTCACCCGCCAAAAGTGGAAAATCAACTGTTACATGGGTGAAATGAGCGGAAGCCCAACTGCTAAACCAAAAGACCAACAAAAAAACTCAAGGGGAGGGCAGGGAACCGCCAAGAAAGGGACATATTGGGGTTTCTCAGTATAGGCGTTCGATTTTGGGATGTACCCCCGCAGCCACATATGTGTCAAATGGCGGTTTTCCTTTGGTCCCCCTGTAAACCAGCCCAAAAAGGGTACCCTCCAGAAAAAGAAAGAAGAAAAAACAAAAACATAGACAAAAAACAACAAAAGAAAACCAAGAACAAAAAACAAACAAAAAACAGAAAAAGCGAAAACAACACACAGACACACACCCACTGATGAGTTGGGACAGACCCCAACACGTCCTTCCCTCCAAAGGACTCCCAGACTCAGCTGCCTCTCAGGGCGACCACCACGAATGGGACCTTTTTACCAGCGGTGAAGCCAAGAAGGGGACCTTTTTACTTAAAGCAAAGCAGAAACGAGAGGCCCAATTCCAATAGGAATGAAGCTTTGCCAACAATTCCACAAGGTTCAGAGGTCGGATCCCGTTTTTTGTGGTCAAAAAGATGCCATGTCTTTCATAAGGTTCAGAGGTGGAACTGAGGCCTTTTTGGGGTCGAGCTGAGCCTTCGCACAGGTGGCCTTTTGGAAAAATGGATGGCCCTGGTAAATGCAATAAACCCCAAGACAGTGCCATTTTTAAGTACCCCACAACCCAATTCTTGTTGCTTGGGCCCTTGCAGTGTAACAAGAAAACACAGCCATCTATGCCACTGCGTGCACGTTTCGTTGCACTCATACTTGATTTTGACTCACAAAAACGGCGACTCACAATATGGCTGGATTCCTCATTTGGCTTTGTCTCAAAATGGGGAAAACAACCGAAACCCAACCAAACCCAATGCCCGATGTATGTTTAACCAAACTAACCTAAAAAGGAATAAGAAGGACACCTATGAGCCTTCTGCTTTGAGTCTCCTCGGTGAGCAGTGGGTCCCCCAGCTCCGCCAGCAGCTGCTCCCAGTCGAGGCCCGCAGCATTGCCTGCGAAGCGCAGCGCCCCGTGGAGGCTTTGCCTCGGAAGCTCCGCCCACCCAAGCCTCCCCCGGAGGTGTTTTTCTTGGGGTGTGGTGCCTAAATGGGCTGAAAATGAAACAGGAGGGGCAAACCGCAGGTGTTGGTGTTTATTTCCACTTAGTCTGAAATTCCCATCGGACCGATCCAGCTTCATGCATCCTTGCGGGCCCATTCCACCTTCGGAGGGGCCCAAACCCAACGGCCTACCTGAGTTCCCAAGAATTAAGCCCTTCAATACCCCATTCCCTGGTTCACCCGACTCCCTCGCCAGCGATCGCCCCAGCTAAGGGTTTGTTTTTCCAGTACCAAACTTGGCGGTTGGGAAGGCCCTGAGACCCTCCACATGTGCACGTCAAAGGCCTCCTCATATAAACGGCAGTGGGCAGCAGGCTAGATGGGTTTGTTCCAAGTCACGGTCCCTATGCTGGCCTATGTTGGCCTGTACAGTCAGTTCAAAGTGGAATTACGGAACATGGGTAAGGATCAATGCGTTGAAACCTTTGAGCAGGCAAGCTGCCAAAGTCAGTCTGAAAAAACACGATGGGTCTTTCAAGGTGAACCTCTTGGGTCCCTGAACACCACTTAGAGGGATCCAACGTTCTTGTGAGATGTGACACATGTCATGGTGTTGACCTGTGGCAACTTCAAAGAACACCCCTAGCCGCTGCCAAAGAGGCCACCAAAATCAAAAGCACCCCAATGGATCAACCTACTACTGCCGAGTAGTCAGAAAAGGTGCACCACATCACGTCACGTGGTTGAGCATCCCAACAGTGATCCACGGGGCACCGGCGTCACGTGAAGAATTTGTTGCAGGGTGAGGATTGCAACCACTGTGATACCAAGTCCTTCCCCCAAGACTACTTGCTTGACCCAAAGAGACTAGGTCCTCCAGTAGAGAGGTTAGAATAAGGGTACCAACTTCTTTCTGTCGTCTCTTTTCGGAGGGGACCCCTCCCAACCAAAAAAGGGGTGAGAGGTCGGGCACCGATCGCTGGGGGATGGAGAGGTAACCTTTCGCTTTCAGGGGGTTCCGCAGCTTTGGCAAGGATACTTTCTCACCTGAAATATGAGATTCTCTTGGCCCAGAAAGTGGCCACCCAAGAGCTCATTTTTCAACACAACCAGTCCCGCAATCCTCTTTTGCCGTCTCTTCTACCTCAGTTTTTCCACGGGACACGTAAAGCAAACCTGCCATTTTCGGGCAGGGCATGGCAGGGCTGTGGGAAATGGAACCCACTTCAGTGATACAGCGAAAAGGGCCTAACCCCAAAGACTACCCCAAACGTATCACAGAAGTGGTTGGATAAACCCCAAGTGATCCCACCACCAGTCCCACAATCCTCCTTTGAGTCTCTTCTACCTCAGTTTTGGCACCACTACAGGCAGCTTTGCTTTAGTTTTAACCTGTGGCTTACCCCTGAAAACTCCAAGCCGTGGGGAAGTTACTCTTTTAGAGACATATAGCTCATGTTACCCCTAAAAAGTTGAAAAGTTGTGTTTTTAAGAAGTAAGCTTTAGTTTTAACCTGTGGTGATCTGCAGGAAAAGCTGAAGCAAACCCGCCGTTTTTCGGGTTTCGGGGGAAGCGGACCAAGTCACCCTGCCGCCTTCTGCAGGGAGATCAGCGCCTTGCGGCGAGCGGAAGGTTCCGGAGATTGGGTTCCAGACATCCCCGGGGCTCTTGGGGATATGTCACCACGCTGCCCGCGTCCTCCAAAACGCCGAAAAAGCCAACCGCCGCGAAATCGAAATCGACACCGAACCTCGAAATCGGGAAAAAAGGGCCTTTGGTGGAGTTCTATCCTACGGTTTTCGATTAAATTTTTGTCCAACCCTCCCGCCTTCAACATGCAAACCACCCAAATTTCTCCCTCGGCTCCGGTGCTTCCGCCGCTTCAACGCGCCGAAGCGGGCGAAGCAAACCCCGCGCCTCCGCGAGGGCGCGGCAGACCTCGGCGTCCCGCGCCGCAGGGCCGCAGAGCAGCGCGCCCGCGCCCTCCGCGAAGTGCGGCAGCGCGCGCTCCAGGAGGCGCCTCCATGCGTGTCGTTCGATGCGGGGTGTTCCTATTGGCTTCAAAGAGAAACCAAAGGGAATATTGGATTTTTTTTTTTTTTTTTTTGCGGGGGGGGGGGGAGGTGGGCATGGTTTAGAGACGGGCTATTTAGTGACCTTCACACGTGAAATATGAGAGGATGTCCCACTGTGGCCAAAGTTGAAGATGTCACACTCAAGTCTTCACCGAACCCCATTGCCGTTGCCAAGAACGATGCACACTTTGGGGTGGTTCTGAAACCAGCTATTTGGGTGTCAAGAGTAAGGGTACCAAATGGCTGGTTTCAGGTTGGCGACCCTTTGGCAACCAGGTGCACCCGACAAAAATGCCGCATTTCGCTGGGAACATGCCTGATAGCATTCTAGTTCGGCAGAAACGTGGCCTGAAACCTTATTTGTTTCCTCTTTGCATTCCTTGTTAACAACAGCTTACAAAGCTTCACACCCAACACCCACCTTGGCCAGTGGTAGCTCATTTTAAACAGGCAAGTGCAGTCTAGCATTAAGTTTTCTTCAATTTGCTTAAGAATAGGTTTTAATATGTTTTATGTTCCCTTTGTTGGTTGTAAAGGGAATTTATCACTACTGGACAAGATGTTATTTTGACTTTTCAGGGGACTTAAGCAAATGAAAGCTTAAAAGGCGGTGGGTCAAAACCAATGGTACCGCATTGGGGTAGGACAATTTTCACCACCCATTTAATTAAACCTATTTTAGTGGTTGGATTGAATCGGATGTTCTTTGGGGGCTAACCGGAATTTTGGATTTTGACCCATGGCCAAAAAACCCGAAACATGCGAAACATTTGATTGACCCTCCGCCTGGCATCCAGCAGCTGCCAGTTTGTGAGTCTCCCGAAGAGCCTCGGAGGGAGGCAAATTGGAGTCGCTAGGAAACCACGTGGACATGGACTCTGCTTGGAACAAGTTAAGGTGTCTAGAAAATGGAGTCAAGACTTGGAATGTACAAAGTTGGTCCACTTACGTGGGTCCAGGTGATCCAAAGCGGACCGGCGTACTTGCAATGGGGATGCTGGGAGGTGCATTTGGGTCCATTTCGAGAGGGGAACTCATGTCCACCAACCACTCTTGAGGTGGGTCCAACTTTTTGAAGAATCACAGGCACTGCATCAGGGATCCTTTACCTTATACACCTGAACATTGCCTTGTAAATGGTGGTTGCCCTTTATTTTGGTGCAAAAAAACATGTTTCAACTGCGCAAAATGTATCTTTTAAGGAGCCGTGTGGAAAAACAAACAAACATTTTTCGCTCATGGAGAAGCAGGGGTACATATTATTTCGTCCACGTCGGTAGGGGCTCTCAGTTGCAACGCTGGTTGCTCCAAAGACCTCTCACAGGGGGCTGGAGTTTTTGGTTTTCAGTGTTTCGCCCGCGCTTGGAGATCTAGAGAAACCCTGGAAGACCTACCTAGACTCTCCATGACCCTTGACAAATGGATCCATGACTCATTATTTTGGGAAATGACTCCATGTTTCAAGGGTCATGGAGATTCCAGGTAGTCTCACTTCCATTGATTCGTCAAAACAAGACCCTGGACTGTGTTTTTGCCTGTACAATGTCTAGAACATGTTAGAAGAAGTTGGAATGAACCCGAACTCCAAATAAAAGTCCCAAAACTTATTCCAACAAGTTGGAAGTCGAGAAACTGGCTGGCAGTGAGCAGTATGGCCGCTTCCGGCCCCCCTTTTGCGAGCTTGGCAAGGTGGACAGGGTGCACTATGTCATCATGTGGGTTGACTCGTCCCTCAAACTATCTGACCCCCCCGCATCATTTGGAGTAGTGTCTCACTTCTAGTTTGAGGGTCAAACAGATCTCCTTTCAACCCGAGGGCAAAACAGCTGTGAACATTACCCCTTGCTTCCTCCTTAGGCAGGGAACCCATTTTAACATGGGGTCCTTGGTGTTTAATCTACCGCACGGCTTGCGGCATTGTCTCAGGCTCCACCCGTAAATTGTCTTTAAAGGGGGGTACCAACGTATAGGGTTGATTACGTAGATATAGATTTGGAGGTGGCAAACGGTTGCGGGGAAACAACAATTGCAAGCTGATTCCCACTAGACCAAAACATGGCAGCAGTCCTTGCAGAAACAAATCCTGTTGGTCAGACTTAGACGGACCTGCGAAAAGTCAACCTTTGGTAACATAAAATGAGGGCTGAAGGCAAGCCGTTCAAAGGTCAAAAATAGGTCAGCCTGGGGCCTCCCGCCCCTCAAAGGCAATGGCTGTCTTTCCTTTTCAGGTTGAAACAAAGGCAAGCCAAATGGAAAACCCATTGTCCCATTTTGGGTGGCCCCCATATTCCGACACATACCCACATACCCACAGTTGCTGGAGTACCACGTTCATTTAATTTATCTATATTATCAGTGTAAGTAATTTTTACAACTTAGTTATTTACTTAGTTGCTTACATATATATATATATATATATATTGTTGGGGGGAGGTGTCTTTTGGGGGTCCCCCTATTCTGACACATACCCATATGGGTGTAAACTTGAAGTGACAAACCTTTTGGTGGACATTCAGGTGGAAATGCGTGTCCACCAATCACGATTGAAAACAAAACATAGCCGCTAAAAAACGAGTGATTGTAGTGGCAAACTGTTGGTAATCACCCTTCCTCCAACTAACCTGGCACAACTTTTTTTTGGGCGTGCCTCTGTCAGGTGCCATGTTAGTGAGAGGGAGCCCCAAACCTGGCTTTGGGTTTCCCTCTCCTTTCCCTTCAAAACCAACGGAACCGAGTAAAAAATACCACCGGTTCCCTCTCAAAAAAAAAAACAAAAGAAGAGAAAACACACAACAATATCGTTGTTCTTGCCTTTTCTGCTTGAAAGTCTCCACTTTGCCCCGCTGAACCGTTTGCGCGTGGAGGATTGTTTCTGGCAGGGCCTCTGTCAGGTGCCATGTAAAAGGGAGCTCCACACCTGCACGGGGGGTTTTTGGCTTCTTTCCCTTCAAAACCAACGGAAAGCTGGTTTCCCCCCAAAAAACAACAACACCAACAACAACAACCTGGAGTCTCCTTCTGACCCTTAAAACATGGTGGGTCATTTCCCAAACTACTGCGGTGGACCCATTTTTACAGGGGCATCGAGAGTCTAGGAACAACCAAAGGCTCATCTCACAGACTCATCTCAGGTCGACCCAAAAACCCCGAACTGCAACCCCGAAATTCCCCAGATCTGGCTCCCCCCTCCCGAAACCAAAACGCGCACGTACCCCCAGTGAACATCTCAATCCAACCACTTTCTGAAATGGTTGGTGAATTCACCTACCCACCTAAATGGGATCCCATTGTATCATTAGAGTGAGGCCCAGTTGTAGAATGTACGTTTTATGGTTTGCTTCACTTTGAGTCACTGCATATAATGCAAAATGTATCCTAAGTCTACCCCAAAACGGTTTTGACCCGCAGCCATCTTAAAAACCCGACTAAAACGGGTGGTGAATTCTACCAACCAAAATGGGATCAACCACAACGGTTTGGACCACCACAGCCATCTGACAGACGTCATCTCAGATGCCCAGTGGCCATGGGAAGAAAAGGGCACCCTTTTTGATTGGTTGAGTTTAAAGGAATCGGAACCCTTCCCCAAAAAAAGTGGGCAAAAGGAAGCAACCCACTGGGCAACAGACGTCATCTCTTCCGAGGCGCAGCAGCGCCCAGCAGACGAGCCTCGGGCTGGGCGCCCGCAGCTGCGCCGCCGCCAGCTCCAAGACCCGCGCCGTCAGCGCGGTCTCCGTCAGCAGCCGGGGGGCGAGGTGCTGGCACCGGGGGCCTCGGACGTGGGCCACGGCGAGGTGCGCGGTTTTGTTCTTCATTTTTTGTTGTTCTTTAGTGTTTTCCGCTTTTTTCCAAAGGATTTGGTTGTATCTGTTTTATTTTTATTTTTTTCGCTTTGTTTCCAAAGGAAATGGGGGAAGTCTCGAAGTTTTTCCGTGATTAAGCCCATATACGGCGTTTGTTTCGGGTTTGTTTTGTCCAAGGGAAAGGCGATGCGTGTTTTTTTTGTGTTTGTTTGTTTCCCCAAGGAGGGGGAAATCTGGGTTTTTCCTCGTTGTTTAATCGTCCTCTAATTGGTGGTTAGGATTGGTGGTGGCTTGCATTGGTGAGGTTCGGGCTGGGTTCCCAGTTACCTTGTAGATCCAGTGGATCAAATCCAAATCCAAACCACAAATTAGGGGTAATTGGGGTACAGGTGGAATTCCGAACTTCCATTTCCTGAAGTCCCCTGAAGAAAAATATTTCCAGTGATAGAGTACCTTTAAAAAAACAGCAAGGGCAAATATAACATATTCTTAAGCAAATGGACGCCTTTTAGGCCGATCGTTTCCTCCATCTCTGCCAGTAGTTTCCTTGGTAGGAATTTTTTCGGGACCCATATGGTGTTCCCCAAAAAGGGGTACCCCTCACCATCCCTTCCCATAAGGCTTACTTGGTCACCCAAAAAGTGACTAAAGTCCAATCATTTGTGACTCAGGAGTTACCTTAAAGATGCTGTATGAAGGAATGCAGAGGAACTTAAAGATGATCTTGTTTCATGAAGTTGGGAATTGCTTGAAGGACTGGTTAAAGGATTTTAAAGGCAAGGGTAGGAATAAACAGTATCACCTCTAGATCCAGAATGGAAACTTCAAAAAGACACGCCACAAATACAGCTCTGCATCTCTCCCTCCCGCCCTCCCGCCCTCCCTCGCTCCCTAACATCATTGAAGCAAACCAGCCAACTTGGTGGAAAATACTAATCCCGAGTGGGTCTCTCGTTTTCTGGATCCACCAAAATGGCTTCGGCCTTCATTTCGATTTCGCTTTCAACCCACAAACAACGCAAACAAGGGGTGTCAAAAAACAGACGAGCCGCCCATGCATCCCTCCATCTAGCGAACGCATCCCCGTCCCGATGGCTTCCGTCGAAAGCATAAAACAAGGGGTACCAACTCCAAAAAGCCGTGCGCCCATACTCTGGCCAAAAAAGCGGCCAGGCTTCTCCGCGATCCTGCGTTGCTGTTAAGGGCAAATGGCAAAAGAGCCCTTCTGTGGCAAAGAGCAGAAACGCCGGCTCCTTGCCTCTTTTCTGCAGTGCTGGTGGAAATCGAATATCTTTGCACTCGGCTTGCTGAAACAGTGCTGCCTAGCTGGCCAGATCGGAAGCAGCTAAACACTACAAGTGCCCCCCAGGGACGCACTTCTGGTACTTCCACCCATCCAAGCTCAGCGATGGGTAACATTGAGGCTGTTCCATCCCATTCTTCGTCAAGGCAAAATCATTGGCTGGGAAGGTGATGCTCTTGCTATCACCTTGGACAACAAAATGCCATTGCCACAATGCACCCCCCCCATCTTTGAAGGGGATCTTGCGAGTCAGCTTGCTGCCTGAGTTCACTGCTTGGGACCACGATCGCTCCATTGAGCTCCTTGCTTCTGCTGTCATTTTGGCCTCAACCTTTTCACCACCCACGAAAGGTAATCCTCCTTGGATCTCGACTGCAACCTCTCCTGACTTGCCCAAAGGACCTGGAAATAACAGGTTTCCCTTCATGTCATGACAAAAAATGGGCCAACAAGGGAACAAGGTCAAAAGGTCAGATCCGGTCGATTTGATTCGGGCCGAGGTTCCGGAGATCTCGCCCCCAGCGTCCCAAGCCCCGCCCTTGGAGTTGGAGACATCGAAGCCATAGGACTCGGTGCGCGTCTCCCCTTGCTTCACCGTGGTCACGTACTGCCACGCGCCTTTCGCCTTCAGCTCTGGAGCGGCGAAATGCCCCGAGAGCCTCAAGGTTTGGATTGTCAAGCCCGTCGAGGGCCCGCAGTAGACGTGCCATTTCACGCTCTTGCCCGGAAGCGCGCCGGCTTTGCCGTGGTAATAGGGCCTGCTACGATCTGTTGGCCCCTGGGATCCATAGGCTGTGTACGCAGCACTCGTACACTTGTGGTCACGGTCCACATCGGACAATGCTGTCTTGGACAGCTGGCCCGGATTGTACCTGAGAACGAACTCGCCCCACATATTGCTTTTACCGCCTCTGTCTCCGTCGCACTCCTTGTCATAGAAGAGGTAGATGTGGTCTCCGGCCTCGTCAGTGCGCTTGTAGACCGGCCGCCCATCTGCCGTCTGGAATTGGTAGTCGTACTGGCCGTTCAGAGCTTTATTGAGGCGGCACTCCACGCCTGACAGTTCAAAGGACAGCGGCACTTCGCCGAACTTGGTCCACTTGGTGGCCGCGTTGATGATCTCCAGCGTGGCGCTCTCCGCATGGCGCGGAGCTCCCGAAGAGAGATAGAGAGAGAGAGAGAGGAAGAGAAACAGACACCCTGCCGTCACGCTGCGGGTGGGGAACTTGCTCACTTGTGGTTGGGAGCCAACCAATGCTTCGCAGTCTTCTCCTTCTGTCACCAAGCCACGATGAGTCATGGCGAAAGCGCGAACTCAGACTGCGCGAGCAATGGGAGCTTGAGGCTTAAAAGAAGCTGAAGGCAGGTCCGGAAATAACGAGAAGGACACCTGGCTCAGCAGAAAGCCCTCCCCCACTCTCTGGGCAAATGCTGCATCCCAAATGGTTCACATTTCAGTGCCACGATTGAATCGGCTCGGTGCCCCAACCTTCGCCAAAAGGAACATCTCTAACGGTTCTTCTCAGGACTGGGGTCGCTGGACGCCGTCAAAACGTTGATCATTTCACCTGTTTCCATTGAAACGATCGATCAACTGCCCCACTTTTGGCCAGGATCCCCAAAAGGGAAACAGAGAAAACCCCGCAGGACCCTGATAGGGTAGACAAATCTCGGCCCTGAAAAAGGGAACACATCTTCGCCCCACCCAGTCGGATGTGTGCGACCTAAGGAGACGAAGAAGAGCTCCAAGAAGGCGGCCAGGAGGTCAGGTGCCAGGCCCTGCCAAGCCGATCGATGGCTTCTTTGGTCTTTGGTCTTGTTGGGTGTGGTGTTTTGTGTTTTCTTTGGTTTGGTTTGCTTTAGCCTCGCCTTTTTGCCTTTGTATTCTTGCTTGCTTGCTTGCTTGCTTGCTCGCTCGCTTGCTTGCTTGTTGGTTTGATTGTTTGTTGGTTTGCTTGTTTGTTTGTTTGTTTGTTCGTCCTTGTCTGGTTTCCTCTTATCTTAGATCAAAGTACTGGACCTTAACCACGTGCAGGACGACTTTGCCACACGTTGCTTCTTTGTCTTTATCCGGCTTCACTGGTATTTGCAGTGGTTTCTTCCGTTTTTGGGATCTTTGGGGGAAAGCAGCACATATATATATATATATATCTATATGTATATATATATATTATATATATATATATATGTGCTCTCCCCCCCCCTGCAGGGCCTACCTTTCCACTTCAAAATGTACAAATTCCCTTTGTTTTAAAAACAGAGGGTTTGAGCACATATACGCAAGAAGTGTGCTGTTGTTGAACATTTTGTGTGGGTGACAAGTCTGTTGAGTAGCAACAGCGAAGAGCTTATAGACTTTCAGGAAAGTTTATAAACCCTGTCCAGGTTTTGCCGGTTTCCCTGCAACTGGGCACCTGTTGGGGGGGGGTGTTGAGAAGTCTAAGACAGGGGAGAGGGAGACTTCTTAGGATGTTGCCTTGTTGCAGGAAAACGCCAAACACGCAAGAAGGTTTATAAACTTTCCTGCAAGCTTATAAACCTTCCGTAGGCTTAATGCGTAGCAATGGATACTGTTGTTCGGGGCAAAAAGCTGTTTGGGAAAAGAAACAATCTTCGGCCCAAGGGAAGACAATCTGAGCAATTTCTGCAAAACACCGTATTTTCTGCATTTTTGTTGGACCTCTAATCCCTTGACATTTCCATTTTGGAACACCTAAAACCTAGAATCTGGAGATCAGAATCCTCAAAATGTCTCAGAATTTCGACCTGGGAGTCCTCCAACATGAATTCTTTTCCAACAAAGATTTTACTCCGAATTGAATTGGAATGTTGAAGGGCAAAAGGTTGTTTGGAAAATGAACAATCTGAGCAATTTCTGCAAAACACTGTGTTTTACTGCATTTTGTTGGACCTCCAATCCCTTGAAATGTCCATGGTGAAGCACCTGAAACCTAGAATCTGGAGATCAGAATCCTCGAAATGTCTGATGTTGGATTCTCCTAGTCCCATAAAATGGAGCCGGGAGTCCTCCAACATGTCCAAATAAAGATTCCTTTCCAAATAAGATTTTGCTCCGAATTGAATTTGAATATTGAATAGAATTTTGTAACGACATAGCTCACCACAATTCATAATTCACCATAATTTCTATACTTAATCAGAACTTGAATAGGAATACCTTTCCAAATAAGGAAAGTTAACATTTCAGCAGAGTTTAAATATACTTTAATGCAGACAGATTTGCTTTTGAACATAAGAAATCAATTAAGAATCCCTTCCCAAATATGACTTAAATTGGAATAGAGCTTAGTCTGGGAAGACATCACTCGGCCTTTGCAAACAAATTCTTAATAGTAACTTATTCCCAACTATGATTAAATGTGGCTAAACAAGTAGTGGGCAAATATGACTCCCAAAATTGGTCTGGAGATTTGTTTGGCATGTGCAGGTCTCATTGGGTTTGGACTTGACACCTTCAACTAGAAGAGAGGAAAGGTAGGCCCTGCGGAGGGTTAACCATATATATATATATATTATAGTGTGTGAATCTGACCCAAGCCCGAAATGGCAACGGACTAATCAAGCTCTTGGATTCACAGGGCTTTGATCAAAGGGCTTCCCCGCGCTAAGGAATTTTAGGGACCCCTGAACCTTGGTTGGCATCAAACCAAAGGGCTCATAGTATTGAAAAACAACTCCGGGACTCCGACCCTTTGGTGGACATTTAGGTGATTGTCCACCATCAACTTTTGAGGTGGTTTCAACTCCAATTCATAGCCACATAGAGCAATCTTATTCGAAGGAAGTTTAGAAGTCTAACTTCCGACAATATCGACAACTCAAGAAGAGCAGTGCAGAGCGAGAGATAGAGAGAGAGAGAGAGAAGAAGAGAGAGCAGAAGAAGTAGCAGAGAGAAGCGATGAAGAAAGATGAAGCATGGTGTGCGAAATGTTAGAAAGGTCGCGAAATGCTGTATTTTTTCAATGTTTTGAGCCTCCGAACGGCCCAGAAGTTACCTCGGTAAAGCGGCGGGTGCGGAGCCTTTGGTCGGAATTGCTGGCAAAAAATCGCACGCGGCCTGCGCGCGGTGAACATTTGCAAGTCAAAATCGTAAAAACACTACATTCCCGGCACACTTTTGGAAGCTCCAACTGTCAAAAATCGCACGCGGCCTGCGCGCGGCGCACATTTGGAAGTCAAAATCGTAAAAACACTACATTCCCGGCACACTTTCGGAAGCTCCAACTTTCAAAAATCGCACGCGGCCTGCGCGCGGTGCACATTTAGAAGTCAAAATCGTAAAAACACTACAGGGTCGGGCTACTTTTGGAAGCTCCAACTTTAAAAAATCGCAAGCGGCCTGCGCGCGGTGCGCGTTTTTAAGATGCAATGTAGCTTGACAGCGGTAAAACGCATTGGAATGGCAACGCGCAAGGCTCTCATCTAACTTGGAAAAAATGCGTGGCGCCTGCGCGCGGTGCGCGTTTTTAAGATGCAATGTAGCTTGACAGTGGTAAAACGCATTGGAATGGCAACGCGCAAGACTTTCATCCAATTTGGAAAAATGCGTGGCGCTTGCGCGCGGTGCGCGTTTCTAAGATGGAATGCAGCTTGGCAGTGGTAAAACGCATTGGAATGGCAACGCGCAAGGCATCCTAAGCTGCCCTGTTGAGTTAGTCGCGCTCTAGATAGATAGACAGACAGACAGATAGATAGATAGATAGATAGATAGAAAGCTGGAAAGATAGAGAGACAAGTAGATTTTTCGATAGATAGAGAGGTAGACAGGCAGATAGATAGGTAGATAGACAGATAGATAGATAGATAGGGAGGTAATGTCGCTGTGACCGTGTGGCGTTTCGGCTGTGTGTTGTCAGTTGCTCCGCGTATGTCATGTTTGTTCAATGTCCCGGTTTTCGTCACCAGCATCACTAGCATCACCACCACCACTGTTCATGTTTGTTCATGTCCCGGCTTTAATCGCGGAGCGGCAACTCACATCACCACCACCACTACCACCACTACACTTTCACCAGCACTCCCACCAGCACCACACACAGGCCGAGAACATGTTGATGTTCTAGTTTGTTGTTTGTCACCAGCCGACCTACCAGCATCACGCTCAGGCGGACAACCTCTTGATGTTTTTTTTTAGTTTGTGTTCCCACAGAACGCATATACTTCCTGTGCTCCCTGTCAGCCTGGGCACTGCCAAGGTTTTCTTTCCAGTTTTTGTCCGAGCGGTGGAATAATTGCCTGTGAAGACATGACCTGTTGATTTCTTTTGTGACCGTTTGGCCATGTTCGTCACAAACAAAACATGATTGGTTTTCAATTTGGCCCCAAACATGTTTGCCCTGGTTGTTCAAGCCTCCTATAGTGGTTCTTTTTTGGAAACTTCCGCCACCGCCTTGCGCGGTACTACTTGTACTCGGAACCCTTTTAATATCCCGGAATGGGATGACCGGTCACAACCCATAGGGGGCTGTTGGGTCACTGGCTCCGCTGCGTCCAAAGTTCCTCATGCCGTCCCCGGTCAGTCAACCCCGGCCATTGTCTTAAAATTGTGGACCCCCAAACATGACCTTCGGTCTTCCCTTTCAAACCAACCTGGGGCTTTTACTAGGTCCTCCAGTAGAGAGGTTGGAGAATAAGGGTACCAACTTTTTTCAGGACGTCTATTTTAGTAGGGTTCGGAACCCTCCCAACCAAAAAAGGGGTTACAAAGCGCGTTTCCCTCCCAACCAAAAACGACGGTGAGAAAGGCCACCTAGCTGGGGGACCTAGTTTAGACCCCAGACGAGTCACCCAAAGGCACCCGGGTCACGCCCGCCTGCGCCGGGCGCAGCAGCTGCTCCGCGATCTGCGCGACCCGCGCCGCGAAGAAGTCCGTTGCATCGGGGCCGCCGCCTTTGAAGACCCGCACCACCGCTGCCTCGGACGAGCGAGCGAAGGAGCGCGAAGGAGGCGAAGAAGGGGGGGGGGGGGCGGGGCGGGGGGGAAGGTGTCGGGGGTGGGAGGGAAGGGGGGGAATGGGGTGGGGGGGGCGGGTGGGCGAAGCTCAGGGCGCCTGGGGGCAGAAGAAAGATGTGGACCTGAATTAGAACGAAGAAAGCACGACAAGGGACTGAAGCACAGGAAACTAGAGTTTGTATGTAGATACACACCTACATAAATCGACATATGTATGGACATTTCTGTGCTATATATAAGTACGCAACTGCTTAAAAACATGAATGAACAATTGTTTAGACAATCTACGTACAAATGAAAACCGCTCTGCTGCTCGACTTTTCCCAATGCTTTGTTTTGGGCCGGGAGTCGGAGTTTTCCATGCTTAAAATCGGAGTTTCTGCATTTGGAGGGTGGGTCCTGGTGCGAGTGGCTTTGGTGTCTGTTCCAGTGCTTTTTATGGGGAAGCCCTGTGAAATCGGCGGAGCTGGGATTGAACCAACCCGGAGCGAGCTGTTGCCTGGGTTTGACATTCGGAGGTACTGAAAACCCAGGATTCTTGAATCTCTAGCTGTCAGTACTCAAATTCAACCCCAAACCTAGGCCAATTACCGCGAACATTTCGGGTGCAATCCAAGACAGGGCGCCCATTGACCTAAACAAAGACCAATACAAGAAGGCGACAACCTCCATGAAACATGGTAATAGAAACCGCAAACCAACTCACACAAGCAAAGAGGGGTTCGCTGATCCTCAAATTCTGTAATGCAAAGCAAAAATGGCGTCAACAAAACCAGCCGGAGTTACAATCAAAACCTGGTATCAAGGTGGTCTACCCAAAACCATGTAAAGACGTTCAGGGCTTCCTGTCGCACCTTTTTGCTGGGACTGTCCCTGATCTTCGTGAAAACCTGGGTTTGCTTCTGGCCGATTATCTACGTGTGATCCCTACCCGGAACTGAGAAATACAAGAAACCCTTATTCGCTAGTTGCCAAGGCAAAGCCTGTTAACATGTCATTTAGCCCACACTCTACCCATGAACACTTGTGCGCCACCCCATGAAAACCCGGTTTTCATCTGGTTTCCAGTTGCCCAAAGGACCCTCAAAGTAAACGGTTCACCTCTTGGTGCCACCAAAAATCGAAGGCGCAGGACCCTCAAAAGCGAGACGGCTCATCTTTTGGCGCGACTACAAATCGACTTAAAGGGCGTTAAACATCCATGACTAAAATTTGGGAACCCAAACTCAGTTGCCCAGTTCGGACCCAGAAATGGAAGGTGAATTTGTTGCCATGACACAAAATGGACCAAGAAGGGGAAAGCAAAGGGTCAAAAGGTCGGCTTTGGGCACGCACCAAGCCCAAAATCCCAAGCGCCGTCCAAAAAGCTGTGGTTGGGACCCGGGTGCCGAATGGTTTTCTGTTTCAGCTTCCTTCCCTCCCGGAGTGGATGATCCCAAAAAAAAGCGCGACCTTTTTGCTGGCCACTAAAATGCTCCAACTCCCAAACAAATGATTAAAGTCCAAGAGCTCGGGAAGCGAGATGTTTGGGTTCCCCAAAGCACATCACCATCCCTCCGATTGGTCTATCCAGTAGTCTCCATGACCCTTTAAAAATGGGTCAATGACCCCATTATTTTGGGGAATGACCCCATTTTTTAAGGGTCATGGAGACTCCAGGTAGAGAGGTTAGAAGAAGGGTACCCTTTCGGTTTTCAGGTCGTCGATTTTAGGGGAACCCTCACCAAGAAAGACGGTGAGCGGTCGGGCACCGGTCGCTGGACCTAGCCTTACAAACCTGGCAGCCCCGAAAGGCGGCTGGGGGACCGAGCCTCCAAACGGTTTTGACCCACAGCCTTTTTAAGCTTCCATTTGCTGAAGTCTCCTGAAAAAATGAACATGAAACTATTTACAACCAACAGAGGGAACATTAATCACTAGCCTCCACTTGGCGCTTTGGACCCAAAAGCCGAGCTACCTATCTTCCGTTTGCTTGAGGCCCCTGGAAAAAATGAGAAATATGTCCAGGGAGTCCAGGAGTGAAATCGATTCCCTTGAAACCCAAGAGGGGAATCTATTAAAATTCCTAAACAATTGAAAGCAAGAGAACCCACTCTTCCAACTGGTGTTTTGGGCCCAAAGCTCCGCTCCCGTTGCTTCGGCTTCGCTTTCGTCGCGCGCGAGGCCCCGGCCACCGCGCCCAGCGCCGCCGCGCTGCCGCGTGCGGCCGACGTCGCCAGCAGCGCCAGCGCCCGCTGCAGCGGCAGCACGCTGGCGTCCAAAGCGCGGCACCGCGTGAGCACCGCCTCCTGAGTGTCAGAGGCTCCCGATTGATTGCGGGCCCTGAAACAGCCAGGCCTCCGGGGTGTCTAATGGAGGGGTCGGGTCTTCCATTGAAAGCCCCAGCCTCTGGGATATATAAACATATGCTTCAGGGGAACAAAAGCAGCATCCACCATCTCTGTTTAGTAACTTCAGGAATTCCTGGTTCCAAAATGGAGGGGGTGGGGCCGGAAACCAAGGCATTGAGCAAGGCCAGAGTAACTCCCTCGCGATCGAGATGGGCAAAAAAAACACGTCCAAACCAAGTCAAAGAACCAAGGCTGCATTGCTAGGACCCCCCCTTTTCTGGTGGTTGTCCTTAGCAAAAAGAATCCCAGCAAACCAGGGATCACACAAATTGCCAAATTGTGCGGGGGTTTGAGCTGATTCGGGTCCATGACTAAAACCTTCGCACAAGGGTTGGCATGCCAAAAAATGGATTTCAGCCCCTGTTGCATACCTGGACCCTGAAACTACCCATAAACACAGGGAACTTACCCCATTATGGGGCAATAGCCCATGTTTAAGGGAATGTTGACATGCCAGAAATGCATTTCAGCCCCTCGTGTTGCATACCCGTACCCATACAAAGCAGAATTCACCCCATAATTTTGGGTCGAGGTTTTAGGCAAACATCACTTCACCCAACACGAAGCTCACTTTAGATTGGCACGCGATGTTTCAGAAGGCCCCTTGGCAACCTGGTCCCAAGAAAGCTCGGTGGTAACAAGGTAATGGTCGGCACCCGATTTGCTGGACCCAAAAGGCCAATTGACGTGAAGGGGAAAACCAAATCGGAACATCCCTTTGCAGCGTGTGGATGGCATGGGAAGCGAGGTGACAGGAAGATGGTCCATACTTAGCGAACCTGCAAAGGTGAAACAATATCATCAAAGATTCCAATGAAGTCATCCCCTCCCCACATCCCTGGCCGAAAGGTTGACGTCTCGTCGGCTGAATTGGCAAATTACCAGAGCTCTTGACCCCTGGCGCGAAATGGGCCATGTGCAACACAACATAACTGGGGACCCGTAGGACATGAATTAGATCCCCACTTCTTGCTGCCCAAATCTTGAAGCCTTTTCTGAAAAGGGTACATATATACCTATATATATATATACCAACCCTCATTTTCAGCTTCCTCCAACCAACCCACCTCAAAAAATGAGAGTAACAAAACACATACCTCTACCAACCCTCGTGCAGGTTGGCTGCACCAACCTAGCAGAAAAGAGAAGAAGAACAAAACACAGAAACAACAAAGCATAAACCAAAGAAACACAAACACGAGTATCTATCATTCAGCATTTCGCTAAAGTCTGCAATGAGTGGACAGATTGACCGACTGAGGGAAACCAGGCTCACGCAGGGGGAAAAAAACACAAGCATTAAACAACAAAAACGGAAACACCAAACAAAACAAAAAAACAACGGGAAAACAATAACAAAAAACAAAACAAACAGGTGGAACAAACAACCAAAAAGAAGCCAACAAAAACGGCCCGCGGCTTTTCCTTCGGCTTCGAGTCTTCGAGTCGAGGCGCCAAGGTCTCGCAGGCGGCCTCGCAGGCGGCCTCGCAGTCCGCCTCGAGCGCGGCCTCGAAGAAGGCCCAGTGCCCGGCCACCGCCTCCAGCGCCTTCGCGGTCGCGACAGGCGCTGCCCCGGAGGTGTCTGGGTGGGGGAGGGGGGGCTGGGGGGGGATGAGTCTCGGGGTCGGGGGATTTTGGAGGAAGCTGTTTTTTTTTTTTGGGAGGGGGGGATGTTTTGCTGGATGAGTCGGTCTCGGGGTCGTTTTCTTTTTTTTTGGGGGGGACAGGGGGGATGTTTTGCTCACCTCCAAAACAACAACGTGCCTTCTAAACTGACAAGGTAACTAGGTCCAGACTTGAGAGGTTAGGGTCTAGGGTACCGTTTCTTCTTTCAGGACGTCTATTTTAGTAGGGGGTGTCCCTCCCAGCCAAAAAAGTTGCAGTAAGAGGCACCTAGCTGGGGGACCCAGGAGTGAGCCTTGTGGAAAACGCCTTAACGCCTTGGGGGGGCTTTGGAGCCGAGAAAGTGCGAGTGTGCTGGTTTGGCGGCCTAAATTGACCCCCGAACCAACCCAACACCCACCCTCAGCCAAGATGTAAGCCATAACGCTTCCCCGAATCCAACCAGCCGAGATTGCGGGCAACCAACGAATCAACCAACCAGCCAGAAGAAAACCAGACCTAAGAAGAAAACCAGCCCAAGGAAAAAAAAGAGAGACTCATCCGTGGGTCCGGAATCAAACAAAGCCCGGTTTGGGTGTGACACCATTTTTAGTGGGTCCCGAACCAAACAAGCAAAGAAGGAAACAAGAAAAGAAGGTATTTTAACAATGGAATCGGCACAATTGTTGCATCCTATGTGTCTGCAAAGTCTACGAGGAATCCAAACGCTGAAACAAGGGATCAGCGAGCTCTTTTGTTTTTTTTTTATCCCAGGCGAGCCGAGCTCCGAAGGAAGCAGGAAGGTCTATGGTCGACAGCTAACTTCTAAGTTCTGCTCAACTACATTCGCCAGTGCTTGACAAAACAAGGGAGGGGGGGCAAGGTCTTGTTTTCCCAAAAGAGAGACACTGAAAACCTCCAGCGTCGAAATTTTAGCCATCCGTTCTGGAGCTAAACAGGCAAAGCCGACGCAGTTCCAACCCCCACAAGGACTGTGTACATAGGTGGCCTTTTGGAAAAATAGATGGCCCTGGTAAATGGAAGAAACCCCATCTAAACCAGGGCCCTCTAATTTGTAAGCAAACCAACCAAAAAGGACACCTATGACTGTGTATTCTTCGCCATCTGTTGGCTTTTATTGATGATCTTTGCCCACTTTCGACAAGCCCAAAACATGCCCCACTAAGGAACAAGCATTAATACCCTATACCTAGAAACTCCGTTGGCGGAAATTTCCGCCCGCTTCCTCAAAGGCAGAAATTTCCGCCGTTGTTCGGAAAAAACGCCGGGGATGGGGGAAAACGCCCGAGCCAAGGAAAAACGCCGTCGCCGCAACGCTACAGTTAGATGCCCACGATGCACTCAGCCCTCAATGGTTGCCAATGTTTTGGCAATTGTCCCAACTGACGCACGCTTCAAAGGACGACGCCACCAAACCATTTTCACCCAGCCCGTCTTGCCAGCAAAGGCTGTGAGAAGGTCTAGACTCGAATGATTGTTTCCCTTGCCCACCCAGCATGTCTCGGCGCGTCTCGGGCGATGGCAGACACCCTGCAGATCCATGGCAGGCTTGCAGTCAGCCATGCAACTAAAACCATGGTCTCAAACGCTGATCAAAGGGGGATGGACGTCCATTGTTTTTCGACCTGGGGAATTCCGCCCGGGGAATTCCGCCCGTTTCCCGGGGAATTCCGCCCGTTTCCCGGGGAATTCCGCCCGTTTCCCGGGGAATTCCGCCCGCGCTCCGGCCCAGAAAGCTCCGAACATTGGACGAGAACACGTTGCCAAGAGTGTCCGGCGTGTCGTGAAGGCCTAAAACATCACCAGGCATTCCCAGAAATAACAAAGGAATGCTCGCCTGTGAATGTTCTGTTGCACCTGCACTTTCCAGGATCGCCAAACTTCCCCCATCCATGTGGGCATCAAAGCAAGCCATGGGTTGATCAGAAAGAAAGAGATGGAAGTCCAACAAGCCATCAACGGCAGGGAACACCATTGAATCGCAGTTCAAAGCAAAAGCAGTGCTCAGAAGTCCAAGCGAGTAGGGCTATGCGATGCTTAAGGTACCTCATCGCGAACAAGCAAAAAACGCCGGCGCCAAGTCAAAAACGCCGTCACGGGGAAAAAGGCGCCTTTTCCCAAAATGGGCGGAAATTTCTGCCGGAAGGATGTTCTAGGTATGATTCTAAGGGAGCGCCTCCCCGAAAAAACGAAACGGGTTGTCCCTGCAAAACAGACACTCTCATGCCCATACTATTCTTGTGTGCATGGTGGGAGTGCATTTATGGGATTGTTTAGGGCAGGTGTATGGTCGGCTTAGGGTTGGCTTGGGACATCTGGAAGATTGATTTGGGATGAGTCTTGGGGAACGGCCTGCCCGCCCTGTGGCGTGGTGTTAGAGCTTGCTTGCTTGTTAGAGTTGACGCGCTTGCTTACGAAAGGCAGTTTCGAAGGAACTGCCGTGGTACGGAAACTTGGTCCTCCAGTAGAGAGGTGGTTAGAATAAGGGTACCAACTTGTTTCTGTAGTCCATTTTAGTAGGGGAACCCTCCCCCCCAAAAAAAGGGGAGAGAAAGGGCACCTAGCTGGGCGACCTAGACTGCTGATCCCCCTCTTCTTGCTCTCCGGTTCCTTAAAAACAAAAAAAAAAAAACGGCTCAGGACACCCCACCTGGAAAAACGGATTGACAGCTGCACCGTCATTTTTTTGGGCACCTGGAAACTCTTGGGGGACACGAATCGAAAGCTCTCCGACAAACCTCTCTCGCGCCTCGGCAGGTTCGAAGCAATCGGCGCCCAGCAGGGTGAAGAGCAAGCGCCCCGCGCGCGACGCCTCCTGAAAGAGATCCCCTGCACCCTAGCCTTTGAATAAGGCCCCAGAAAAAACAAGAAAGAATAGATTTCCTGTAAAACCAACAGGGGAAAAAATAAAAGCCCCGGCCCTAAGGGATCAAACCCGCTTTCAGGATGGTTTTCAAGCAAACCCCCCCACTTTACACGCCTTTTTTGACAGAATCGCCGGTTTTTTTTGGTCTGAGGGTACCCTTTTCGGGTGGCTTTAAAGGGACACTTAACAGGCAACCAGCTATTTTGGGACCCCGGTCCTTCAAATGGACGAGCCACCCACATGCCGATCCCATTCATCAACCCCAGTTTATTGATATAGGGAGGTGTTCCCCTAAGAGGTCTGATTCCCCACTAAGCTCACGAAAAAAAGCACCTCCCTATTACACTGGGGTTGATGAATATGGGGTCAACATTACTAAAGGATGGTTTAAGCAACCCGCCACACACATCCTCTAAAGTAGGGTACGCCTTTTTGTGGGCGCGTGGACACAAAATACCTGGAGTCTCCTTCTGACCCTCAAAAAATGGTTGGTCATTACCCAACATGATGAGGCGAACCCATTTTTAAAGGGTCAGACGGAGAGTTTAAGCAAACGAAAGGCCAGACTTCGGCATGGTCCGGCTGGTTTTAAGCTGCATGCTCCTTTCTTCTAGGTCCTTCTTTTTTCAGGACGTCTATTTTAGTAGGCTTCGGAACCCTCCCACCCAGAAAAGAAACGGGTGAGAGGTCAGGCACCGATCGCTGGACCTAGAAACTTACCTCTTGGTTGGTGGTTGAGGGGCTTCCCAGGAAGCCCCAAATCCCCAAACCACCCAGGTGGGGGGTACCTGAGTAGCCATGTCACCTGGGACAACTTAAAAGGATGCGTGGAAACCAAATGATTGAATCCCAAATCCCCAAATCCCATGTGGGTAATTCCCTGGGACAACTTGAAAGGTCCTCCGGCCGCTTTCGGCAAAAAACGTGCCTGGGCCCGGGCCGCTTCCCGCAGCGGCTGCAAGAAGAGCTCCGCCGCCTTTCGGCGCTGGGGACGCTCGAGGCGCCGCAGCAGCGGGGCGAGGGCCGAGCGCAGCAGCCGCTGCCGCGAGCTCAGCGTGAGGCCGTTGGCGCCTCGCTTGCGCGGGGAGGTGCGAGTAGGCGCGAGGGGTGGGAGGTAGGCGCCGGGGGCGGGGCGCGGGGGGGGGGGCTGAGGGAGGGGAGGAGAGGGAGGGCAAGAGGGGGAGGGAGGGAGGGGAAGGTTGGGAGGGGCTGTTGTTTTGTTTTTTTTGGGGGGAAAAGCAAATTCTGGTGGTGGTGCTTTCTGTTTGAAGAGCCCCCCTGGTTGATTGCTTGGATTGGCGGCCCGGGACATTCAACCTCCGAGTTCTTGTGGGGTAAAAACGGGTCAACCCTCAAAAGCCAGGGTTGCGGATCCGGAAATTCCGAGCCCGAAGCTCCCCAAAAACCCAAGTCTGGGCGCTGTGCCCCGGATCTTGGGGGCAAGCTCCCAAGGTTCAAGGGGAGTCTGCGGGTCCAGGTAGTTTAAAATATCATAGTTCAATCTGTCCAACCCCTCCCGTATGCCATTTCATTTGCTTTTATTGTTTTTTTCACTTAAGTGGCTTGCACAACATTCGTGTGGCTAATGACCAAAAAATCATAGGGAACGAACAACCACAAGTCGTTGGACCCAAATCCCCGCCTATTCTTGTTCATGTCCACCATTTCGCGCAGATGATGTCAACCATTTCACTCATGTGGGTTGAACCATGTCCTCCATTTTAACCCCCATTTCAACCATGTCCTCCATTCACCATGTCCGCCCGCGAGTTTTTGGGTGACCAAACAAAACTCGCCGTGGAAACAAGCCAAGGACCGTGTCGGGTCGGCCAACCTCGCTTCCGAAAGCGACTCAGCCAAGCAGCCCAGAATCAAGTGCCGCAGCTGAGTAATGCACTCCTGGCGCCGACTCGGGACCCAAAAGCCAGGAACTCAAGGGGAATAGATGTTTGTGGTGCCCTTGTTGAGGTTAGAATGAAAAGAAGCCTCCAAGCTACCCTCCGTAAATATGCGCTGCTGCAATATGTTTTGTGTGATTTGAGGGTCCAGGTGATTAAACCTGCTCAGTGTCCACCCCAAACCAGCCGATAGAAGCCAAAACGAGTCATATGAGTGTCTTGTTTGAGCTGGTACCCTTCTTGGGATGGTTTTTCAAAGGCAAACAAAGTTGGACATAGCCCCAAGGATAACCCTCCGTGCGTCATCTCTCTTGCACCCGCATGCCGGGAACATGCGGTCTGGAAGGGGCCTCTATCGGGGGACGCCTGCGGATGGGGCTTGAAACCAGTTGATGTACGAACCATGGCCATGCGGTTACAAGAAAGCACATGATGGATTAAATATTCCTTCAGATGCCCATTGGATTCCCATGGGGAAAGACATCCAATCTTTTTTTGGTTGGTCGAGTTTAAAGGAATCGGAACCCTTCCCCAAAAAAGTCGAACAAAAAAGCGGAATCCACTGGGCAACTGGGTTCCGGCTGTTGCGGCGTCTAGAAAGTCCGCATCCTACCAAATAGACCAGGGCAGCTGAATAGGATGACCGAACCTCTCAGTCACCCTGCCACCTACAAAAAATATCCTCCCACCAAACCCGGACACACAAAGTGGCTTCGAAAGGGGTTGTGTATGTGTCTAGGGGCTGCTGGATCCTTTCTCCGCAAAGCCGCTCGTCGAATGCCAACTATCAACTAGGTTCCCCTTCCGCAGGCTTCCACCCCTAACGAGAAACACTACTTGCAAGTGAACAAAAGGCGCCCCCCAGCCCACAGGCTAAGACATCTGACCCCAGTTTGTGCAAAAACGGCCGGCTCCAAATGTGCAAGATCTTTCGGAAGCTTGCCACCGGCACATGGACAAATTTGGTGGTTTCCTGGGTTTCGTGTCCCAAAATCAATAGTCGAATACATATTGCCAGCGACTCGGGTCTGTTCGAAAGCAACCTACCAAAGAATGCAAACAAGTGGACCAAAGGGTCCCATTACCAGCTTGTATTCGAAGTGGTCAACATGGGTCAAGATATCGCCTGAGGAAGTTCTTGAGCACTTAGTAACTTAGGCTGGGGGGGGGGGGCTTGCCGGAATCCTGTGTTTGCATACCCTAACAAGACAACAAGGCCTGTCGGGACTTTTCACAACTCTCATGAAGAATGAATCAGAGTACTTTTAGAAACGGCCAGAAAGGGGCTTTCGCGCCAGCTTGATTACTTGAAATACAGACATACCCTTGTTTTGGACTCAACCAAATGGCTGAGGCGAGCCAATTTGAGCAATTAAGTGGGTTTCGGACCACGCAGCGACTTTGAGGGGGGGTTGGGAGTTTGGCGCCAGTTTGACTAGGTTCTCCAGTAAAGAGGTTAACCTTAGGGTGCCCTTTTCTTCGGTAGTCTATTTTAGTAGGGGAACCGAATCTCCCACCCAAAACAGGGAGAGAAAGGGCACCTAGCTGGGGGGACTTAGTTGATCCTTCTTTCTACAAAACCACCCCAAACCCCGGGGAAACAGATCCGGTTGTTCGCAAAGAACGATGGCTGAAAAGAATGGACAAGGAATCATCCCCCAGAACGCCCCCAAATGCCCATTTTAGTGGGTTTTCCCCAAAAGGTCATCCCATATACCAGGGGCAGCCAAACAGCTGAACGATGGAAAAGGAATCATCCCCTAGGCCCTAGAACTGCTACGACCCCCGCCCCTGTTCTTTGGACCCAAACACCGCCCCTTCGACCACCGCCCCTTCGACCCCTCAAGGCATCGATCCTCCGCCACCGGTGCCAGACCCGGCGCCAGGTTGGACACGACCACGGAGAGCGCCTGGCGCTGAGAATTTTTCCAGGATTCGAATGGTTGATTCTTGGTTCAACCTGACTTTTGGGTCCCCAAGACAACCACCAATCCAAACCACCAATTAGGGTGGCCTCCAAAACTCACATGGGGTTCTCAGGCTGAATGTTTTCTTGGTCGACGTTGCAAAGGGAGCAACAAACTTTTTTTTTAGCAGCCAAGTGGGATTGGATTTCAACCACTAAACCACAATAAGCAAAAATGCAAAATGTGTCCCAACAACAACCGAGGATTCCTATCAGGGTCCTGCAGGGTTTTCTCAGTTTCCCTTTTGGGGGATCCTGGCAACAAGTGGGCAGTGTTCTAGGGTTGATTCCTTTTCCATTCTGTCCAACCATCGTTCTTTTCGAAAACCGGATCCGTTTCCCTGGGTTTCAAGAAGGAGGCTTTCTAGAAAGAAGGATCCCTGGAAAGAATGGGGAAGGTAGCACTAGAAGGATGTCATTCCTTTAGGGACCACGTTAACCTGTTAGGGCATGGACGAAACATGGACAAAGAAGGCTTCTTCAACTCAAGAATGTCATTTCTGGGGTAAACCAAACCATTTCGTGGGGAGCAAGGATTGCATTCCAAGAAACCCAGCCAAAGGAATTCACAAAGGCCCTCTCACTTGTCCAAAGGACCTGGAAACACAGGGTTAACCCTTTGGGACATGGACCCAAAAGGTTTTCCTAAAGGAAAACATTCCAAGAAACCGGCAAAATCTTATACAGGACATCAGCTTCTTTCTGGCTGGATGGGAATCCCACTTCCTGTAGAATTCCCTGCCGGCTTCCATGACTCATAAGACCCTCACACGGAGTCTCAGATGCCCAGTGGCCATGGGAAAAAAGGGCACCCTTTTTGTTTGGTTGAGTTTAAAGGGGAACCCTTCCCTAAAAAAAGGAAAAAAGGGCACCACTGGGCAACTGGGGAGTCTAAGGAATTTTTGTGGACCTGGGTCAACGCCTCCATATGGCTCCGTGCTTTAAGAACTCCCGGATGCTCTGGACAAAATCACTCGGGGATTGATGTCCGTGGCTGGCGGTTCCCCATTCAAATTTATCGCCATGGGCATTCATCGCCTTTTCTCTTGGGGGGGAGGATTTGGAGCTCGTCACCCCATGCCTTTGTTAGACGAATCATACTGGATTTGTTGACCAACATCGTGCCATGGTCAAGGCTCGTTCGGAAGTTGGGACATGTCAGGGTTCATGACCCCCCACCCAGCCACCCCAAGTAAAGGGGTGGTTCTGACCAAGTCAACCCACCGAGTGGTTTCCACCACATAGCCACTATGCTGAGGACCTGTAAAAACCATGGTCCAACCCTGGCAACGGACAATATTCACTGTGATCTACTGCAGTGCAGGGGCGGATGACATTATTTATGTAACAACACTCATGCACCTCACTACTATGAGGGAAAACAATCAGCTAGGTCCTCCAGTAGAGAGGTTAGAATAAGGGTACCCTTTTTTCTGTAGTCTCTTTTAGTAGGGGAACCCTCCCCCCCCAAAAAAAAAGAGAAAGGGCACTACTGGGGGACCTAGTCAACCAGGATATACTGGGCGCACCAGAATTCCAAGGACTCCTCAGTTCACAAACCCAAGCCTCCGGTGGATTCCAGCGGCAAACACAAGCTGATTCCTTTTTCACCCAGCCCCCCAAAGGAAAGAAAGAAGGGGCACAGGGCTGGGCAATCAGCATCCTTCAAAAGCCCGCAGCAGGAAGCTTTCTCACTTTCTCAGGGAGAAGAGGACGAAGGCAAACATTCTTATGTGTCAAAAGGAACCTTCGCTACGCATGTAAAACAAAAAAAACACGAAAGTCCTCTCTGTCTCTCTCTCTCTCTCTCTCTCTGAAAAAACCGAAGAGATGTCAACCACTTTCTCACTTTCTCGGAGTCCGTCGGCAGCCAACCGCCCACCAAAAACGAAATGAGCTGCATGGGGACACACAGCGTTGCCGCTTTGGCTGAATTGGCAGAGAAAAAGGCTACCCTTTCTGAAACGTGGGATATCGGCCTCTCTGCGACACGGGTTGATTTGAGCCTATCCCCACTACTGAATGTCATGTTGAGGAGTTTCAACAACTGGAAGCTGTCTTGTATTGGGACCCTTTGGTGGACATCATGTAGGTAGGGATATGTCCCCAAAACCATTGAGCCAGTGTTAGTTGTTGGGAAGCCAAAGATAACGCGCTTGAATTTCGTGGCATCCTCGATTGTCTCAAAATAGGCCCTCCCCAAACGGATGATTTCCTTTTAGCGCCAAACCAGCCAACAGGGGATAGCCCCCAAAATTTAGTTGAACCACTCAAATTTGGCAGTGACTGTCAGGCTTCCCTGTTCTTCCGATTTGAACATTATTCCACTCACACAAACGGGAACCTAGCTTTGTGGATCGTATGTCATAATTCGGTCGAAACTCTAAATCATGAAAGGTCTATGTAGGGACGGGAAAGCCAAGATAGGGAACCCTGGGGCAGAAAATACCGGACTGCCCTCAGATCCCCTGCACTAAACGCTAAAAGGCTAAGGGACCGGATGGCTGGGCGCCACCAAGTAGAGGTTTTGTGGGAGAGCAAAGAGGAGAGTTTACCCAAGGGCTTGGATCCTGGGGAGCGGCTTGGAGTTCCTTTCCACACCGCGACCAAGACTAGGTCCTCCAGATTGGAGAGGTTAGAGTTTAGGGTACCAATTCTTTTTTCAGGACGACTATTTTCGTAGGGGGTTTCCCTCCCAACCCAAAAAGTGACGGTAAAAAGGGGCACTTAGCTGAGGGACCTAGGGAACCACGGTGTTTCTTTGCCACTGACATGGTGCAACCCCGAAAAAAGTGACTAAAGTCCATGACTCGGGGAGTGTGGCTTTGCTGGTTGGATACGACCTGGACACACCGCGTTTCGCCGCAGACCACCTCCGCCGCCCTTGGGCGCCTCCGCGCCGGGCGCGCCGGCGGACTCCGCGAGGCCGAAGGCGGCGCGCAGCAGCGCGTGGCCGGCGGCGCCGGGGAAGCGCTCCGGGCAAATCCAGGCCTCGGCGTGTTGCGGTCGTCTTCCGATTGCATCGAGCGGTTGGGGGGTGGTAACCAAAAGACGAGGCTGCTATGTGGACAGGAAGTAAGTGCTGGAAGTGGGCGTCCATTTGTTCGCAAACCAGTTGGAAGCCGAGCGTTTTGGGGGGCTACACCCAATTTGGGTTGTTTTGAGTGTCTTTTCTTAAAGGAGCTCGCTTTTGGGTGGGTTGCACTTAAGTCCCCGGAAAAATAAATAAATTAAAAAAGAAGAAGAACAAAAAAAACAAGGAAAAAAACAACATATGTTCAGTCGTGACGTCATGTGCGGTTCCCTTTCATTAACACCTTTCCACACAAATACACCGAGCCTGAAAAAGAGGCACTCAAGTTTCCTCCATTTGCCCAAGCCCCCTGGCAAAAATTGAGCTGATTCCAGTAGTGAAATCGATTCCTTTTAAAACCAACCATGAAAATAACAAACGTCATAAATGGAAGTAAGTCTTTTCTCTTCTTTTTTTTTTGGGGGGGTTTAAGGAAAAGACAGCTGGTTGAACGAACAAATACTGCTGACTTTAAAGGGAACATGACGTGGATCTGTCTTGTTGTGGAGTTGGTACGCCTTTTTTGGTGGTAAAGGGAAACCAAAAGGAAAACCACCCATTTGTGGGAGGACCCTCTCTCTGGTTTACAACCCCATTAATTAAACTATCACTTTGGAGGTTTCTTTTGTTGGTGGTTTTGATAGAACAAGTCGTCAGCAGCTGGATCAAAGAAGGGACACTGACTTTGTTGCAACCCAGTTGCTCACTGTCAGCTTGCGGCGAGCAAGCCCAGCTGACTTCGACCACCAACAGTTTGAAGCAATGTGAACATGCCCAGTCAGAAGTTGATCTTCGATGCTTTTGGACCTTACGCAGGGTCTGACCCCCCAGCCGCTCAAATACATATATATATATATATATGTATATATATATATATCGTCTTTGGGTATGAAACCATCTCCAGGAAAAGACGGCAGGAAGTTCGCCCAACTTCCCGGGTGCTTTTGTTGCTTTGCGAACTTCCCTTATTCTTATTCTCCCGGGTTTCGCCCTTAGAGGGTACCCTTAGAGGGTTGGTGTTTGTTCCTTATTCCAACTTCCCGAGTTTCTTAGAGGATTTCCTGGCAATGGTGTCTTAGAATCCGACCCAAGTCTCCAAGTCAACAGGTCGATCTGCGCTAGCCTAGGTCCTCCACATTGGAGAGGTTAGAGTTTAGGGTACCGTTTCTTTTTCGGTAGTCTATTTTAGTAGGGAGGTTCCCTCCCAACCAAAAAAGGGGTTAAAAAGAAGGGCACCTAGCTGGGGGACCTAAAAACATATTGTATTTGGCCCCGTTGAGTTGGCAAACTTGTAAGCTTGCTGTTGGTAGATCGCTGTGTTTCCTTGACACGCCCAGCTAAACATCATGGGAGACGTATACGCGCGCATCAGCTTCCCGCTTGAGGCATTGCAGGTGTCACACGCTGATTCAGAGCCATAAGGGCAGCCATCGACTATTCGGGGCTAGTGAACCATGGCTCCCCTTGCTATGGAGCTATGGCTTTTGAAATCAGTATTAGACCTTGGGTCTGCCGCAAAAGCAACCAACGATATTTGGGTGGCAACTGAAGCCAATCGTAGAACCCTTCAGCAGTCGGAGCCACCTGTGTCTTGGGCTTAGTAAGGCTCTGTACAGGGGTGGTTTCAGGGAAGCTAGGGAAGACTCTTGGTTCACTATACTGACCCCGGATTCAACAACACAAACACTGCGGATTTGCAAACTTGGCGCTTCCAATCTCGACTTGGATCCCCAATCAAATGGCACGGGCCTTTCCCTTTTGAGCAGCAGGCTCTAGATTCATCAATCTCGCGTCCCCAAATGGCTGTGGCTCAAATACATGTACACAAATAGCACCTTGGTACATGGAGCCAAAGACTAAAACCACGTAACCCTAGCTCTTGCATTTTGAGCCACGGCCAAATAGTGAACCCATACGTGGTGCTCATCCCGACCCCAAACTTCGAGAAGTGGTTTCCACCTTCAGCTCCGCCCACACATGACTTAAAAGCCATAAACCTTGGCAAGCCCAAAAGCAACGAGCCCGAAGCGCCCCTGAAGCTGCCCTCTGAGGATGCTTTTAGAAGGAGACGTGATTTGCTACGCAGCCCAGTGGTTCCATTCACCACAGGCAACCAAGGGTCCCACCCTTAAACACCTGTCACAAGGGCAGCAACTTGGCCCTGCAAAGAAGAACAACAAGACCCAATACCAGATCTCCGACCGAAAGGTGGTTTGGTCATTTTATTGAGTTGTGAATGATGTCCCTTTAACTCTTTAACTACCAAGAGGGGGTCCACATTTCTTTTTGGAGCTTTGTTTGGAGAGGGTTCCCTTTGAACTCCACCGATTCCCTTCTCCCGTCATTGGAGGTTGGGGACTGCTCGTTGTGCTGGGGACTTGAGCAAGTTAGAAAACGCTCCAGTTTTACCGATGATGTAGGCCCTTTATATACTTGGATTCATTTCTTTTCCTGGATTTGGAGTTATTGTGTGTTTGTGGTAAAAGATGGGGTGTCACAAAATGAATGACAATGCTTCGCCATCAACTTTAAATGGCGAACGGAGTCTTTAATGGTTATTGTATGATAGGCTGCCAGATTTGTTGGACTTTACGCATTCTGGGAACTGGAAACACAATTTGTGGCAAAAAGATGACGGGGTTGTCAGAATCAATAGCCATGTTCAGCACCCTCCTTTTCAGTGGCGGCACAAGCCGGCGCTGGGTGCAACAGGCAGCCATCTGTGGCCTCTCAGTGAGTTCCACCCTTCACATCCCTTTGGCTTGGTGGGTACGGCCCCTTTCATTTTGGCAGCATGCCTCGTGGAATGCTTTCCCATAAAAAATGGTCTTGTGTGTTGACATCATGACTAAATTTGGATCTAATGCACCTCAACCCCCAAATCCCAATCAAATTTTGGCGCACCCAACTAAGGGTTGGAAGCCAACCGGTTTAAGCGACTACACCCAAAGGGCGTGTCTGTAGATAGGGGTGTTAAGGGGACACACAAGGAAACCAGCCATTTATTGGGGGGGTCCAACCTGAAAAAGAACACCCGGACACTTGACGTTTTTTTGGTTTATGTCCAGCATCCCGCTACGTATGGTTCAGCACCCGGCCGGGTTGCAAAAAAAAAAGCAGCCGGGGGAGGTTTTCGGTGGCTTTTCTCCAGTTTTTCCTCGTAGCAAAGAGGCGTCCATGGAGCTGAGCAGCTCCGCCGCCGCCTCGCTGGTCAGCCGCGACTGGGCCGCGTCCGCCTGCGCGCCTGGCGGGTGTTTGGGGCGCGTCGATGCGGCGGAGGTTGGTCAAAGGGAAAGGGAAACTTGGGGACGTCCAAAAACGAAGGTGTTGTTGATTTAGAAGAAAAAAACAGTGTCCAAACTAGGGAAAGGGATTTCCAAGGCGAATTGTTTTTGATTTCCCAGAGGCTCCTGGCTTCAGCTTTCAATGGAAGACCTGACCCCATCAGACACCCCGAGAATTGGTGGTTGGGGGTCTCAAACCTGGCTGTTTGAGGGCCCACAATCAATCGGGAGCCTTCTGATTTAGAAAAAAACGGAGGCTCCAGAGGCTCCCGATAGAAATTTCCCTCCAAGGGGAATTGTTTTCAAAGAAGGTTCAGAGGAATTGGGTTTTACTTAGATCCGGACTTCCCATTCATCTGGATGGCATTTGTTAAAAGGGAAAGGAGTGTAGGGACGTGTTCCCTCCAAGGGAGGGATTTGCCACACGAGATGGGACACCCCACTCAAGGACTTGGATGTCAAGCGACCCGTTTTAAAGATCACTTGGGAAACCGTGGCCTCCCCTTTTGGAAACACTCACAGAGGTATGTGTCAAAACACGTGGATTGAAACCTTCCGAAATGGCGGGCTTTGCTTGGTTTCCCTTTGGAATCTACTAAATATATGGGCGAGTCTTTGTTTAGGAGACCCAACTAATGGCGGTTGTCCTTGCGGTTTCCCTTGAAAACGACAACGATAGGGCACCCTCAAAAACGACACGCCCATATTATAGTTCTAAAGGTTGATCCCTCATTCCTAGCACCCTTGAGTTCCTCGACCCCATGTTGTTCATGGTGCTAGCAATGGGGTAATGCTGCGATGCTCAAAATGATGAGAAACTGTTCTAGTTGTGCTGCATCATTCTCCAGGGATGCTTTTTGGACACATTCCCCCAAATGTTGCAGGAATCTGGCTGCCTTTTGACCCTTTTGAGGTTGGCCCTTCTTGCTGGGAGCGCAGAACTGGGACCTGGTGACCCAGGCCTCTTTGCCGCCACCAGATCCAAGAGTTGCAAATCCCAGCGACAAATCAGGGTCGAGTGCTGCGCTTGGGGAAATAGCGGGCGAGCAAATCCCGGCAAGCTGGGCTTGTGATTCTTGAATTGTTGGATGCTTGATCGGTCAGCTTGGTTCCCTAACCAAAGAGAGGGGTCCGGACCGTCTGAATGTAAATTTACCCTTCTTGGGAAGCGTGTTGGTAACAAAGAAACAGCGACTTGGTAAAGCGGGGATGAGGGATGGTTTGGGAGCAACACCAAATGGAAGATTTCAGGATGACAAACCCCGGGCAGAACAGTACCTGTTCAACCCATCCCTGAGCGTGATCAACAAAGACCGCTTGGTGTGTCTAAAGACTTCTCCCCCATCACTTCAGGAGTGTTTCCCAACTTGATCCGTGGCTTTGTTGCCCAGTGCTGCCCTTTTTCCCTTTTTGGGCAAGGGTTCCCCGTTAAAGTCAACCAACCAAAGAAAGGATGCCCTTTTTTCCCATGGAACTCCACTGGGCATCTCGGAGTGGCCACAGTTTTTCCTTTTTGCTTGGTGGATTCCCACTACAAATAAACTTCAAAGCGGGTCGCTGGGTGCCCCATTCTCAGCCCATTGAAAACAAACCGCACGCAAGGCCGTGAACAATACCCGGATGGACGTCCAGCCACCAAGCCCCGACAAATCTGATGAGCGGGAGACACGGGGTCCAAAAGAATGGCCAGGGTCGCAAATGTTTCAAGTAACCCCGCCACCAACTAAGATGGAATGGGTTGGCTTAAACAAGTCTCTGTGTTTGCCACCAAAATGGGCTTCCCAGCTTCCTGAAAGTATACAGTCCAGAAACTCAGGGTGGAGAAGGGTCAAGGGGTTAACTGGTGGGGCACGAGTCATCCAAAATGGCGCATGAGTCACAACCAAAACCTGCCAAGCTTTAAAAACAGCGGCCGGGCCTATTTGTGTTTGAGACTATGCCTGGCTATTCTGAATCTACCCTCGTCTTTATGTCAGCTCTGGAGGCGCAGTGCCGAGGTTTGGTTCAAGTCGCCCGATGAAGGCTGTGAAACTGCAAGCATGCAATCCTTCCAAACCGGACAGGCGAGAGCCCCGGTCAGACCTCCGGTGACTCCGGGGCACATGCAAAGAAGGCGACCCTTGCTTGGTAGTTAGTTGGCTGTGGGTTAAACATAGGATAGCCCCAAAATGGGTTGCCCTGGTAAATGGAAACATGGACTCATAGAGGCAACCCTAGTCGTTCCTTTGGCGGCTCGACTCTTCTTACCTGCCATGGTTAGGAACTAAGAACTACCAGGGCTCGCTGGATTTCGCCAAAAAGTTGATGAAATTACTGGTGGTTTCCGTTGAAACGATCGCCACTTTTGGAGGAACCAAAAAGCCAAAAGGGGGAAACCCTGTTAGAGGCGTTTTATTTTAGAGGGAATTGTTCTTTTTGCTTTTGGGAGAAAGAAGAAGGCCAAATGTGGCGCAGCCCAATCCCCTTGCCTAGCGCCACCACTTGCGGCAACTGCTCTAGCAACTGCAGGAGCACCTGGCAAGCTTAACCTAGGTCCTCCAGCAGAGAGGTTAGAATCAGGGTACCAACTTCTTTCAAAAAATATATTTTAGTATGGTTCGGAACCCTCCCCGATCGCTGGGGGACCTAGTAACACCTTCGAGTTTTCAGCTCGGAAGACCTTCCGAAAGCCATCGCCTCGTGAGGCATGCCACTGATTGGCACGTGAGGGCCCCATAGACCGCTGGATTGCGTCTCATGCAACTCAAACTACTTTTTCTAAGCGAGGCCTTCAGGGGACAAAAAAAAGAATCTTTCGGTGAGCTAGTTGAAGCCTTGAAAGTTGTGATTCGCCCTGCTTCAATGGGCCTAAGTGGTAAGTTGCCTAGGCCCATTGAATTCTGCTGGCCAAACGCGCGACGCCATGGGGCCCGAGCAGGCGACCGCTTGGAAGGGGGAGGCTCGGAGGGAGGTCTCGTCTCATCCAGGCTGGGAGGGGGGGAGGGTGAACATACGTCTCCCAGAGCCACAGGTGAGAGTCAACTGTAGATGTGGGTGTCTCTTTTAATTCGTGGAAGAACAAACCCAAAATGCTGGGTGTTTCATGGTTTTTCATGTTGGCTTCCCCTTGAAAACCCCACAAAAAAAGGGGGGAAACACCCTGAAGAAGAAAAACTTGCCAACAGGATCGATCCCCTTTCCTGGGATGTTACATGTTGAATGAAATCCCGTGCCACCAAGCTCGAAGCAGGCGTCCACCCCCCCATCCAAGATATTTTTCCGCGTCGAAGACCAACTGCTGGGTTCCGCTTTTTCCATGGAGTTTTTCGGAATTCCCCTGATGTTCCCTCCCCCTTTCCAAGTGTGAGTTGTTTCGATTTCCCCCACAGGGGCCCCTCACTTCCCCCCATACACCCAGGTCACCCAATTGATATCCTCAGCACCCGGAACCCCGACGCGGCGCCTGACCCGCAACCCACTCCCTGCACTCCACGCACTCCACGCACTCCGCGCCTGCGGCACTGGGAGCTCGTCCGCGTCGCCGGCCAAAGCCTCCGCCACCGCGGAGCCCAAGGTCAGGACCATCTCCTTGCGCTGAGCATCGGACCAAGCAGCTAAGTGGCGTGGGGTAGGGGTGGGTGGGGGGTGGGTTGGGGTGGGTTGGGGTGGGCTGGGGTGGGCTGGGCTAGTGGGTGGGGTGGATGTGGTTGGGAGTGGGGTGGGTGGGGTGGATTTGGTTGGATTTGGTTGGCTGGATTTGGTTTTGGCGTGGAAAAAGGGTTGGTGGCAGCCTGTCAGCTTGGTTTTGGGAGGTTTCCTATGTTCGGAAGGAATCGGGAGGCTTGGGGTGGGTGTGTGTCTTTGAGGCTTGGTACCCGTTTTAAGTAAGGGGAGCCCTAAATTCTACTGCATCCAATAAGCGAAATGATCTCAGACCCCCCCCCCTCCATATACCGCAAACGGTGTTCCTGCTTGCTTCCCAGCAAGTGGCATACTACAATGAGAACCGATTGTTTCCCTTTGGTTTCTCTCACCCCCCGAAGCAGCTGAGTGCATGCTACATGTGCGATGTAGCTACGTAGCAACGGGGCGGGCGCTGACCCAGGTGGACGCAATGCGGCCAGTCGTTCGGCAAATCAACGTGAAAACCGCTCCAGGTAGTCTCACCAAGCGGTTTTGTGTCACGCAATCTATAAAGACCAACACGGTTTCCAGTGGGATAGAAACAACATATGGGCTAGCGAATCGAATAAACAGCAATTTGTCCTCCCACCCACCAACATCGGTCAATCCGGACCAAACCCGTGTTTTCTCGAGTAAGAGCCCACAACACCCATCAGGATGTTTGAATTGTATCAAATTAACATTCAAGCAAAGGAAACAATATTCTAGATGCACAAATGCGCTAAACTATCTGTCCAACCTGTCCATTTGAAGCAGCCATCACATAGATACAACGACAACTCGATATTGCAAATCCAGCTTTTTCCCGGTATTGACAACATGTCGAAATGTGGAGTTGTATCTGATGATTCTAGGGGGCGATTCCCCACTATGTTCAACCCTCATTCTTTTCAAAACACAGCTGTTTCCCCTGGTTTTCCGGAGGTAAGCTCTGGAAAGAGAAAGAACGGGGAAAGTACTAATAGAAATTATTTTTGCACGATTGCTGTCGCCCTCTTGGAACAGGACATTTCCCTTCAAACAACACCCGAACCAAACGTCTGAGAGGGGAATACCGGAAGCTCGCAGAAAGTTGGCAAAACATATCGCTCGAAACCTAAGGCCCCTGCTCCCCAGGCCCTTCCCTCCCCCAAATTAATCCAAGGAAGAGCCGAGGCCTGCGGGGAACTGGGGGTGTAGTTAGATTTTTTCTTGACGCTGGCTTGCCACGCCGGCTTGGTACAATCAAATGGCCACTGAACGACTTGCATCAGTGGCACGGTCGCTCGCTAGACGGCAACCAAGTCTTGAGCTCGACCACCAGCACATGGGACCCCACGGAAGGCAACAGGGAGCCACTGAACTAAGCGGCCTGCGCTTCGAGGCTGGAGGCTGATTTCTTGTAGGGGTCCACATAGCCAGACTCAACTTGGCAAACAGCCATCCCTTAGGCTGTTTACGCTGTTTAGATGACTCATATGGGCATGTCTTTTTTGGGGGGGATTCTTGACCAGGTCCTCAGAGGTTAAAATAAGGGGACCCTTTTTCTGTAGTCTATGTTAGCAGGGGAACCCTCCCCCAAAAAAACGGGTAAAAGGGCACTACTGGCAAACCTAGTTGAAATGGTGGTGGTCCTTTTGCACTATATAAGTCGATGCGCGCTTGGTGTTTTTGCCCTGTTGACCTTACACAAAGTCGACCGGACATAGGCGATCGACTTGGAAGATCTGGCCAAGTTGCATACCCTGTCTCTGGAAAGGGTGATTGGGGGTCTCTTAGTAACTTAGCGGAACCCCCAAAATGAGTGGGAAACCCCTTCCAATTTGACTCTCTGTGGGTCCCAGCTGGTTCTAACACTGAACGGCATCTCTATGTTTTGCTGGTGGTTTTCTTCTCGAATTGAGCATTGGATTTCCGGCTGGTCAGTCCAATGGTTGCTGTGCCGTGTTTGAGCTGCATTGTTACACAATCATGACTCACCCTATAAAACTACAAAATACACAACGCCAAAGGCCACCATCGTATGGCCCACAAGCAGACACACCATGACCCATCCAGTCCATCTTTACTCAGCTGGAAAAAAGCTGGGATGATGTTTAGGTTGGAAATGCAGGAAGTTTATTAATAGGGGGTGTTCCCCTCCAATAGTGACGATTCCGCGCTAATCCCAAGGACACCCCCATGTTAGTAAACAGAGGCTTATCTTCCATTTGCTTAAGCCCCCTGGAAAAAATATAACTATTTCCAGTAGTGATAGACTCCCTTTAAAACCAGCAGGGCAAAATCAAAAAACACTTCAGCAAATGGAAGTAAGGCCATACGCCGAGTCTCCAGTGCACCCCAGTCGTAAGCCGATGCGAGTCGTTCCAGGCGATGTACCTGAGACTCAGGAAATCTGATGGCTGCCAAAGGGAGCCGAGCCGAACCAAAGGAGGTTCCACTCAAGGAGGTTCCATGCCGAACCAACCTTTCCTCACTTCCCTACTCGACTGGCCAACAAAAAGTCTGAACTTCCTACTTTCCACTACTTGGCTGCCCGTTTTCTGATCCCCCGCTAAAAGTGACGCACTTTTAGTGGGTTAAATGGAGATTACCACTAAATAAAGGCTAAGGGGATGGCTGGGAGCCACCAAGTATATAAAGAATTTCATAACTTGTTCGTTGATTAGGTTGAAATAAAGGAGAACCAGAGAGGCCCTCCCAAAGAAATTTGTCTAGCTTGGTTGAGACGGAAAATGAAGGAGAACCAAAGAGGTGAAACATTGGAAAGCTAAGCCTGGCAATGTATGTTGTTCCTTTCTTCCGAAATGCAGAATGCAACCCCGATATGTGGCCCTAAAACCACATACGCGGCTGATGGGCAACCACTAGGCCTGCCGCCGACCTTTGAATTTTACGCGAAAAGGGCGCGTTGCTTTTTGTTGGACCTGCAAGGAAAACCCTTTTCCAAAAGCAAAAATATATGTAAAAAATGGAGAACTAGTTACATCTTGTTATCTATAATGTGATTATGATTATTTTATTTGCTCTATAGTCAGAACAATTACACCTCTTCTATTAATCTTTAACTGATGTACCAAAATTTGCCAACCTTTGTCTGTATACAAGATTCCCGCCATGGATGTTGACAACGCAACGAGAGGGGAACCGTACACATCACATTTGGAGCCCCACTTGTCTCAAACCCGCCGCAAGGGTGTGTGTCCGTGTGTGTGTGTGTGTCACAAGACCTGCCGAGTGGTCTCTCAGATGCTGTTGCCTGACATAGAAAACCCACAAAATTGCAAATCAAAACTCCGAGCAAGGTAGACAAGTGGATTTCCGTGAATGGATTCTACAATATATGGATGTGTATGCTGGGGTGTCAAAATAGAGGGGCACGTCCCTTGAAAGCAACCCCAAAAGGTACCCGAAAAGACAAAACAATAAAAGAATGGAGAAAAAAGCAAAGAACAAAACAAACACCCCCACACCCACACCCACACACACAGACATCCTTGCGTAGCAGAATGCACTCGTGGGAGTCCACTTACTTTACCTTGCTCCAAAAAGTCATCCATTACAAGGGCTTAAATTAAACTCACTGGCCAAAGGACCCACGCAAATACAAGGCTAACCGATTGGGGCCGTGACTAACAACCTGGACCAAACATGGAAACACCAAAAGGGCAAGGTCGGCTGTGGGCAAGTGAGTCAAAGAATGGAATGCGATTGAATTGAGATTGAAATGGAATTATTAAACCAACAGTCTCTCATGGTCATCGTAGTTTTTTGATCGGACAATTTTGTCGCCTCTTATACTACACTTTTGCGGATTACCAGGACCCCCCCAAAAAAAACAAAAACAACTAACGGAGCTCCCTCAATGAAAAGCGCCGCATTTCCCTCCGCATGTTCAGCACCTCTCCCTAGCTCCTCTCAAGACCATTGGAAGTCGATGACATGAATCGCCTGAAACGCGCTGGTTGCCTGCTCAGTGGTCATCGGTTCCGCACATTTTGGCGCGTGCCCTTAAGAAAGGGAAAGGGGAGATTCCTGGATGGCCTTCAAGACCAAGAAAACTGACCTGACCTGAAAGATTTCTGTGAGGAACCTCAACCAAGAACCTCCCTTTGCTGAAGCTGCAAAGACACATCACATACCAGTAGCCATAGATTCCCAACCAAGAAAGCTACTCTGACACACAACTGGAAGTGTAGCCGAGACAAGCCCCCCCCAAAAAAAAGAAGGGCAGCTGACTGAGTTCATTGAGCAGGCCCTGGTCAAAAAAAAGGTGATCCATCTGCAGCACCGATGGACCTAACAGGAAAGCTGCCAGGGTCTCGTCGGGATAAAGTTCTGGGCCGTTTCCATCGTAGACATAAACAAATTGAGTGAGTGAATTGTTCACCCGGAGTTTAGGAGAATCAGTGAACCTCGCCATGGTTTTTGGAAAAATGTTCAATCAGATTTCAAATGCCCCGAATCTTCGAATGGCGCCTGCCGGGCCAGGCGGCCAGGCAGTCCGTACACTTTTAATACCGGATGCACAACTGGCATTCCCAGGAATCCCAGTGACAGGCCATTTAAGCCATGGATACAAAAAGTGCTTCCCCAAATGAACGGAAAGAATGAGTCTCCCGACTCTTACGAGGAATTCGCGAATTCACCCTCCCAGTCCCAGCCTTCTACCAAACATACTTCCAGTACCTGCAAAACGATCCGCGGACCCAAACAACCACAGCAATAAAACACGTGAACTAAGTCAGTGTCCCTCCACTTGGTGGTTTGGATTGGTGTTTAGAGGGTTGCCCATCTACTGGGCTTCAATGTCAAATCCTAGTTCCCACCAATCCAAGACCAGAATTTCAGGGTTACCTGACTGATCCCCAAACCACAGTTCAACTCCAAACCACTAAGTTAGGGCTATACCTGACTGAACACGCCCTACCCAACAAAATCAGGGGCCGCAAACGCAGTCCCTTCTCACACCCCCGACGCGGGCCGATCGATCCAGCGCAGAGGCACCGCCTGCTGCTGCCGCTGCTTGCAACACTGCCCCCCGCACCAAATCCTTCGGCCGGGCGGAGGCATCGCCCGGCTGGGAAACTCGCGAAAGAAATTTGGCGCCCAAAAGGCAATGTTCAAACCACCTGCACAATTTTACTATAACTCCAAAAGCTGAATTAAGGGTTGTTCAGGAAAAAATATGCAGAACCATGCAAGGGAAAATCTGGGGATTGGGTAACCCCCAGGATGCAATGCCCAAACCATAGGGAAAGTCTAGGGATGCATGGGCTGACAAAACTAACGAGTAAATCTAGGGATTTAGAGAAATATCTGACAAATAACTTTGGGATGCGGCTAGGCCCGCTCTTCGGAGATGTCTCTACTTTTGTTTCTCCATGGCTCCGTAGCTCCAATTGGCCCAAGGCCATGACGCTGGGGGCAGAACTTCTGGCCCCGGTCGGCGTTTTAGGCTGGCTGAAAGGGAGATCAAACGCCATGTTGCGCTTTGGGGGTCCCCTGTGCCAACCCCCAGCTGTCTGGGTAGGAAACTCAAGGCAAAACACAAGTTCATGACATATCCTCAAAGGGGGCGCATCCTCTTGACAAATCATCCGGATGAATGACTACATGGCTGTGGGTCAAAAATAGGTACCCGAAATGGAACCCTGGTAAGAGGAAATCTGGACTAAAATGTGCGGTCCGGTGGTTGAATTTTGACCCACAGCCTTTTTTTGCTTCACCAACCGACACTGAGGGCATGAGGCCGCCATAAGTTGGTTTTGGCCCAGTGCTTTTGGACCTGTCTTGGCAGCTTGGTGAGAAATTCGGGTCTAGGTTCAAGGTCTAGGGTCTATTAGGGTTTAGGGTCTAGGGTCTAGGGCTGGGGTTCTAGCATCTCTAGCATCTAGGGTTTAGGGTCTACGGTCTAGGCTGGGAGGAGTGTTGGGATGGTGTGTGTTGGACCTTTCGGACTTTTGCACCGATTTTCTGCATCATACCTGGTTTAAATCCTTCAGGGACATGTTCAAATCCGGCAATTGGCTTTCAGACCCATTCTTGGGCAAGCGATAGACCGAATCCAAAGCCCTGGGCATTTTGTTCGACCTTTCGAAGACCCGAACTCGCCCTTTGAAGTGACAGCCTCGTGACAAGTGCCTCCAAACAAGGTGGGCCCAAACAGAATAGGTCTCAAAGCAAATTGGATTTTTTTTTGGGGGGATACCTGTTTTTAGTGGTTTCATTGTGGTTCCAAAGGAAAACCCAAGCGGAAAAACCGAAACCCGTCTTGGGGACCCGGTCCAAGCTCCAAACAAGCAGACCCATTTGATAATGTCTACCCGGGACTACCTGTCAGCATGCAGCGTCCCAATGATTCGGATGGGTTGCAACCCCCTGAGGGGTTGATTAAGCAATCACCTTGTTTGCGAGGGGGTTCATTTGGTACCTGCTTAGGTGAGGTCTGTCCCCAAATGTCCCCAAAAAACTTCAAAGAGCCAAAAAGGACAATAACTCTAGGGGGTGATTCCCCGTTCTTTTCAAACATCGTTCTTTTCCAAACCAGCCGCTTTCGCTGGGTGTCCGGAGGTTTTCTAGAAAAAAGGATCCCTGGAAAGAATGGGGAAGGTATCCCTAGAATAACCTTTGGTACCTCATCTCCGGAACCTTGAAGAACTCACCCAACGGAAGGCAAACAAAAATGGGCACCTGCTTGGACCGGTAGCATCAATGCCACAAACGCCTTTCAAGATATCACTCTCAGATGGTGGTTTCGGACTCATGGTGGCTTGCATAAAACAACCACCCTGCATGTGAGACAGACTGGTCTAATCTCCATACCTCCAAGTTCACCTGCAAAAGTCACTGCGTGCAAACACCAAGCTGCGTGTTGCAACCCAAAGGATCCAAAGGAACAACCCAGCCCCCGTTTGGACCGTTTGCAATGTTCGGCCATTTAACGGCAAGAGTCGGTTTGGAGAAGGCCCAAAGGTGATCAATTGCATAGGGTTGGTATAAAACCCACTGCGTGGTTTGTTAGATAAAAACCTCGTTCTTTGCTGGGAAGGTACTGTTGTACGCGTGAAAGCAAGTAGCTCACTTCCTGAGTAGATGGCCCCAAACAAGGTCCGAATTGGGTGTTTACCACTCAAGTGGTCCAACCCAAAAAAAGTTTCAATGGTACAAAAAAGTGACTAAAGTCCAAGAACTCAGGAAGTGAGGTAACCGATGAAAGTCAACTCCAGAAGGTCCGGACAGCTGAGAAATGTTTGATAACTGTTTTTTCAATCACCCAGCCCAGACCTTCCATCGGCCAAGTTTTTCTCACTGCATCTCCGAAACCTTGGGATGGGAGCCCCTGTAAATTGCCGTGCGGATTGTTTTAAGGGTACCCTTTTTGATGTCGTTCTGGGACACTTAAGGGAAGCCTCGAATTTCGGGTTCTCCTAGTTTAAGACGTAGCCAAAAAGGGTCCATGCCCAGAACAGCTAAGCAGTTGCTCATTTAGGGTGTAATCCCAGAAGGACCATCTCACAGCATAGCTAAGGGGCTCGATTCGAGACGGGAAGTCCTCTACAAGAACAAACTCCCCCAAAACGGACTGCATCACTTTGAACTTCCTGCATTTTTCACTTGGAATTCCATCTGAAATACCTTGGACCCCCAGTTTGGGTCTTGGACCCCCAGCTTTTTGGTCCAAGAGACCCGGTCCACTCCCCCGGCCGAAAAAAAGCCAATCGACGAGACGCGTGAGCAGCTGGCCCATGCGTCCCCGCACCGAGGAGTCGCAGGGCTTGGAGAGCCGCATCGCCTTCGAATTTTTGAGCCGCATGACCAAACCATCATTAGCCTTCGTGGCTTCTGGGGGGGGGGGTTAAACAAAAAAGACAGATCATGTTGACCCTTAATGAATTAATCAACCTGTGTGGCTTCAACATGTTGGCTTCAGTATGTTGGCTTCAAACAGGTTGCCTCTTCAGTATGTTGGCTTCAACAAGGTTGAAAGTAGATGGCACAATTCCTACATGTGGGATTGGTTGTCCCTCTTTACTTACCCAGGTCCGAATTTGTTGACCCCATACTGGTTCTTAATAAGAGGTGTTCTCGGGTTTAGTGGGGTCGTATATCCTCCCTCCTATGGAACCTGAGGGGAGCCCCTTGAAAAATGATTTGTCCTCAGCTTCTGCCAGGCTCCATGCTAGCGTGCCCTCTAAGGTCCTATGATCCTCGTTTGCCCGAAGGAACACCAAAAGGTCAAAGCGTCGGCTTTGGGCAACTGAGATGCGGGCATGTGTGTCTATGTTGCCTGTGGGGCATGTCCACCCCTACTTCAATATGTTGGCTTCAGTGGGAAAGTGGATGGCACAATTCCAAAATTGGGGGTGTGGTCGTCCCAACTTACACTTACCCAAAGGAACTTGTGGCCGCTGCTTTCTCCCAGTCCCAGGCGGTTCGCCCAAAAAGTAGGTCACCAACCAGCTATTTTTCTGTTGGTCTTTATATCGGGTGGTTTCCTTGGTGATCCACTGGGGCTGTACAACACACGGGCACATGCCCGAGTTGCCCGATGGTCTACTTGCAACATTTGCGGCATCCACTGCTCGAAACTCTCGGTTTGAGTTGTTCTAGCGATCTATCTGACTTGCAACCAGTGGTCAGCGGCCATCACATATGTTCTCCTTAAACATCACCCCACTGAAAGGAAAACACAGGGGACATATTTGGGAGCCCGGCGAACATGTGGGTGGCTTGTGTTTGTTTGGGGCCAACTGCAAACAACGTTGTTGCAAGGGGCATCATAATATGATGTGAGCCGTAGTTAAGTTGGGCTGCGACCAGCGGTGAGAGTGGTGTTTCCAATTGCCGACGTTGGCAGTCCAACCAGCAAATGTATGTTTCAACCATTTAGGGTCGACCAGAACTAACCATACTAGTCGTTTTTTGTTGTTGATGAATTCAAATGAAATGAAGCTACTACAGGGCCGTGGCTGCAACAAAGGTGATTTCAGACAAGGGGCTGCCCTTTTGGGTGGTTGCAGTTACTCTGGGCAAGGTTGTTGGTAAGAGTGATGACGAAGGTTGTATTTAAACGCACCATGCATCCGAAGCCCCCGTTACAACCAGCACACCAATTTGCCTATGACCAACCCGAACTGGCAATTATTTTGAGGTCAGGTGGCTTGATCGATGCCGGAGGGCAAACACATCGATGAGGCTACTTGGTTGGGTAGGTATGTCTTTTTGGTTCCCTTCCTATTTGTTGTTCAGAGAAAATATAAATGCGCCACCGGTCAAGAAATAGCCAATTCATTCACTTCCGTTGTTAGGCGATCCTTCTGATCACTTAGACACTCCCAACCGCAATGTTTACACCTACCCAGTCCGCTATGCCCTGAAACTCGCCAGGGTTCGGGCGGGAGTGTACAGTGAAAAGTCAATGCTCCGATAAAGGGAATGGTTCGGTAAAAACATTTGTCCAAAGCGGTTTGGCAAGGCCAACCCAGCAACCAACGGAGTCCGAACATGTAAGGGCTGCCCCGTTGTCCAATGTTTTGGGCCCAGCCCAATCCCAATAACGAACAGGGGGCCACCCACAAGCCCCAAGAGGTCTATGTGTGCCAGCCATGAAACGCTTCAACCACCACGCCTGCAACACCAAAGTATGTCTCGATGGGGCGTCTGTTCTGCTTTTGGTCTCCCTAACCCAACCTTCACAACCCTTGGTATCAGCCCCCTGAACAGAACCAAAAAAGAACACAACAGACACGGAAAAAAACTCGCCAACTATTCGTGAAGCAACCAAAAACCAAGATATTCCCCCTCCACAAACCAACATTTCCACTCAAGCACCCCACCACCCCCCCTCCCTCCCCCCCCGCCCGGCCCAACCGCCCGCCTGCGGCAGGGCCTCCAGCAGCCGCGCAAACGCCTCCGCCTCGAAGTCCGCGTCGCAGTCCTCCCGCAGGGCGAAGGCCAAGGCCTGGCCGACTCGGCGGCTTTGGGTCATAAAACGCGGGCGGCTTTGGGTCGAGTAAAATGCGGCCGCGGAGGCGGTTTTGGGCGGCTCTTTTTTTTCTTTGATGGGCTCTCTCTAGATGGGGTTGTCATTTTTCTTAGACGCGGCATAACCCATTTCTGGGGTGGCTCGCGCTCTCCGAAGAAGGACAGGGGGGTCATTGGTGTTCTAGGTGCCCCAAGGGCTGCCATGAGTTCTCTTGGCTTTCCCCCCGCAAAAAAAAAAAAAACGAAACACCCCCATGGACCGTACAAGGCCAACTGGAACTTTTTGGGGGTTCCAAAGGCTTCCGAGCGCTTTTGTTTGCAGTTGAAACGGATTTCGGGGAACCCACTGAAAACATAGGGAAACGTCCTAACTCTGCGGTGTAAGCCAAAGATCGGATGTTCTGAGCAACAAAGACACAGCATGCCAATAACACTGAACAATGCTATTTGAAAAAGGGTTTCGGCGCAGGTCCCGAATCTGCGTCGACACTGGGAACTAGGAGCCTTGGGACCTTGCATCAAGGTTCCGCTGCATGTAAGCCAACCCATCACTTGTATACATTCCATGAGAGACTCCCAGCTGAGCAGCCACGTAAATAGTTCCCTTGGTCCGCAGTCATCTGCCAGCTGGACGGTTCACTTGCGCCAGCATCCCAGAATGTGCGTGCAATCCCTTCAGGCTGCTGAAATCAATGGTGCTAACCCTAAGTCTTTCTGCTCCTGTGTCCTCATCAATGTGTTATTGTTTTATCGTTTGAGTCACGGGCAAACACATTAGATGCCCCAAGGTCACTTGGCCTCGAGCGATTGCTTCCAAAGCTAGGGATGTGACTGGTTTCCCTCATGAATGAAGAGGAATCCTGTCTACGGCACCCTCTTGGCTGGAATTATCAATTCGCCCGGGAGCTATGCATGACCCCAACAAGGAGAATCAAAAGGACCCTTTCCAAGTATGGCCCCTTCTGGTCAAGCCGTGTGCGTCAGCTCCTTCATATGCGCAGAACTTTCCCATTGCTTCGAACGCTGAATCAGATGCAAATGCAGCTACTCCAACAGGAACTGCGCAGCATGCTGCAGGAGGCGCAGCCTGGAACGCCTTTGCAACACCACGCTGGCCGATGTCACAAAGGTCTCTTTATCCAAGGCTGTATAACGAAGGCATTCAAACCCCGTGGTCAAAATGCTTTAGTTGATGTCGACGGGGGCCAACAAACTTCACGTTGCTCCAATCCGGACCTCAAGCGACAATTCGGCGCAAACGACTTCCGTGCTTGGCACTTGATGCTTTGGGGAAACCCTTTCCAAAACAGGATGCCCGAAATTTTCCACAGGATGGCCCTGATGGACTGCAGGATGCTACGGGGAAACCTTTCAGGAAGGCCGAAACACCTGCAGTCTTGTCAGGCCCTGCGCTAGTGCTGGGTGTTCCAGCCTCCCACGCATCAAAGCACCGGCCCAGAAGGCCGCCTTCCACATCCACCTGGCGACAGCGGGAACGCGTCCGTGGCCAAATTGCTTTGAGGCAGGGAAGGACTAGCTGGCAAGTTAAGGCCCCTGGGTTTTGCCGGACTGCACAAATTCCATGCCGCCCGGACGTGGCAAACACAGGATGCAAGCCATGACTTGAGGGAAGGAAACATTTATGTTCATTGCGGCCCGCGTGCCCTGTTCAGCAACACTGCACGTCCGCTTTGTTGTGGACTGATTCTCGCCCCAGATAAGTGAAAACACATCATTTTGGAACGTTGAGCGCCCGGAAGCCTTGGCATGATTGGGATGCAACGGCAGGTCCACCCGCAAGCCGGCTTGCCGGCCTGCAACGCCCAACGAACGTCCGGGCCGAGCCAACGCGTAGTAAAGTTCACGTCGCCCCCTGACAAACTACTTGCAAGCCCATCTTCCATGAGAAGAAGGGTGACGCTGTCTTTACCTTGTTGACAACATGGTTAACGGGAATCATAGGTCCTAGTGGAAAACCACCGCTTCAGGTTGGGAAGGCCCCGTGACTTTGCCACTTTACAGCTGCAAGTCTTGCCAATTCTTCAAACATCACCAGGAAAAGGGACTGGTTGAACTGGGTTTCCTTTGCGAACCCCCATCCGCTGCCGAAAGTGGCCAAATAATTACCCGCCTCCAAGCCGCTGCTGGGCCCTGTGGCCGCCAAAAGCCGCACGCCCAGGTCAAGCCTGGGCTGGGAAGCACAAAGCGACAACAACGACACTAACGGCAACACACACACACAAACACAAAAAGCAACCAACAAACAAACAAACAAAAACAAACACCCGGAACACGCGAGAAAGAGAAAAAGCACGCGCGAGCAAGCAGGCAAGCAAGCAAAACAAGCAAGCAAACAGACTCACAACAAACGAGCAAGCAAGCAAGCAAGCAAGCAAGCAAACAAAGGGCCAAATGAGCAAGCCACCTGTCCACCTACCCAAGCAACCAGCCAGTCAGCCAGCCAACCAACCGACCCGACAGAATAATAATAAGAAACAAACAAACAAACAAACGAACAAACAAGCAAACAAACAAACAAGCAAAAAAACAAACAAACAAACAAACAAACAAACAAACAAACAACCAACCAACCAACCAAACAAACAAACAAACAAACAAACAGACCGCGCCAAACCAAACATGACCAAAACCACAAGCGGACAGGCACACTGCAAGCCCGCCAACCAGCAAGCAACGGCCAAAAGCAACGTGACGCCATGAAGTCGAAAAAATGTGGCGTGATGCGCTGGGAGTGGGGCAAGGGATGGCAAGCCAGCGTTTGATGTTCCAGGGGGTTCTGTCCGTGCCCAAATTCTTGTTTTAGTGGGAAAGGGCAAATCCAGGAATCAAAGCCCAAGCCCCCACGAACTGCAAGCAATGTCTTGGGGGGGGATGATTGCGTCAGGGCAGCCGGGGTCCCGAAAACATCAGGGAACATCAGATCAGGGACACCTAGGCGAAGTCATTTCTGAATCAGCTTTAGGGGAAGGCTTCAGACAACTTGACAACAGCCGCAGGTCTGTCTCGCCCCTTCCACCAGCTTGTGACCTCTGACCTGCTCCTCTTACACTTCGGTATCTCCACCATCTGGGCGACTCTGAGGTCTCACCTGACCAACCCTCTGACCTTTCACTTCGTACCGGCCATCTGACTCTGACTCTCGGCTCATTGCCGGTCCTCGGCTGCTCGGCTGCTCGGCTGCTCGGCTGCCCGGCTGCTTGGCTGCCAGCTTCACTTCCAATCTCCATCGCCGCGAGAATCATGCTCAAGACCGAAACAAGCCCCGGGAAAGATTGGAATCTCTCTGGTGACCACCTATCCAAAATGGGAAACCCTAACTTGTGCACACTCTGAATCACTTAAGGTGCATCACAACACATACTGTTTATATCCCATGGCTATATACCCCTCACAACCAGCTCGGAAAACACACACACACACACACACGGCCCATTGAATCCGCCGTTGCAACGCTTGATGTGCGGATCTGGGATTCATACAAGTCGAGGGGTAGCGAATGGCACTGCCTTCTTTTGATGGAAGCTTCAAAGGACCCAGGGTCCCTGGTTGGACGTTTGGGGCCTTTGGCCATGGCCGCGAAGTTGACTGGCCGGCAAGAGTTTAAACTTTTGGAGCCCCGGAAAATGAAGAAAACGCTTACCAAGAACAAGTTTAACATTTGCCAACTGATAGCAAACCAAACTCAGAGTTTCATGGAGCATGGAGAAACAAATTAACATGGAACCGAGGGTGTGCCAGAAGGAAATTCCTCAAACAATCATGCCCTATTGGGTTCCGTGCTAATCTTCTCAAGGGTAAGAGCACGTCGCACACCAACACCTTTTGCAAGGTCGCACACTCATGTGCAAACAAGTGTATGTGTCTTTTCGGGCACGACAGGTTTGGTTCCTTCATGGAGGCCAAAAGACAGCTGAGGGGGAAGTTTCAAGACAGATCGATTCGAATGTGTTCAGGAAGGCAAGCTCGCGCCCGTATGTGGAATTTGAGGACAAACGCTGAAACACACTTTTGCTATTCTATCCCAAGGACACATGTCCAAACTCTGCGAGGAAACCAGGCAGTCAAATCAATCAGTATCCCCTGCTTGTCATGCCTTGCCTCATGTTATGCTACGTGTGTTTCACCGACCGCAACACGGCTGCGGAAAACGCCCTTGGCACCAAAGTAGGCCATCCTCTTGACCACTTCACTTCAAGCAGGGCTCCCTTATCACAGAAAGCGATCCGAAACCCAAGTTTTCTCACATGTTTCCCTGAGCCATGTCTTGGTTAAACCCCTGGCCATGTCGCTTTGGGTGCCAAATATGAAGAAAAACAACGAGCGAAGGTGCTCCACAGCCACGGACCATAGTCTAAGGGCCAACTTGCATACCCCAAATGGACATACCTGCCTCTAGGACTTGTATAGCGATAGATTTGGGGTATGTAGCCCGTATAACCGAAATATATATATATATATATAACCACTACCTCCGGCGTATGTCCATTTGGTGTATGCCAGTTGGCCTGTAGACATAGGCGTCCTGTTGGGACCATAGATGGTAGATTTTAAACCCAGGTCAACCAGGAATCGCAATCAAAAAAAGAACTGGTCATAAGTGTTTTTCTACCAAACCAGGCAAAAAGGACACCCTATGGTTCCACAACCTACCTCAAATCGATGGGCCCCACCGCTCGGCCAGGCCGCGCGAGCGGTCGCAGCGGGGGGCGCCACGCCACGTTGGGCTGCGCAAAAGCGCCGTGCAGCGCTGAGAGCAGCGGGCCCAGCGCCGCCTCGTCGCCTGCGGGCGGGCTGGAGGCGCTGGGCGTGTTGAGAGCCGGGCCGCTGCTTCAAGGCAAAACTGGGCTGCCCGATATCTGATCCCCCGCTCGAAGTGACTAACTTGTAGTGGGTTCAATGGAAACTATCACTAAACACCAGAAGGGTCAAATGCTAAGGGGATGGCTGGGAGGCACCAAGAAAAGTCAAGGGAAGCCGTACCCAAAGAGAGAGCGAAAGGGGTTGGCTAATAAAGTCAGGTTTCCGGAATTTCCCGCTGAACAGTCAGTTCTCCTCTTGGAAGGTTGGTTGGAAATGACCCAAAAGAAGACCAACCGAAGAAATATATGGAGCCCTGGAAAAAACAAGCCAATGTATGCTTCTCAAGCCTTCAGGAACAAAAACCAGCTTGGGAGCTTAAATTGGACCCACACAGTTGGACCAGATCCATGTTGGTTTCACAGGAGCAATGACCCTTTTTGATATATTGGGCTTCCTCAACATGAGTTGAGTCGTCAACTCAAAACCCTTTGTATTAAAATGGTCGATCCCCAGAACAATGCTTCAGGCATAAAGAAGGCGGATATCCGCAGCTATTTGTGGCTGGGATTGTCCCTAACCTTCATCTACCCGGGGTTTGATTGTGGCTCAGCTGATCTGAGCATCCGGTCAAATGGCAAAAGTGATCTGGATATCTCGGCTCATACCGGCGAAATCCGGCAAACATCACTGGGTTGTGCTGGAGTTCTGACTATGTGGCACTGCATTCTGGAAAGCAGTTCGGCAAACACAAGTAACTGGTGCCAGCTATATGGCACGCATGCAAAATTACAGCATGCGAGGGTCAGCTTTTCTGTCATGCAGAAACGAACCCATCGCCAAGCAATCCAGCACTTTCTGAGGCAAAGCTATTCGTGCATCTACATGCCTCAGTTGCGATAGGTTTGACCGCTTCCATTCAACCAAAAGAGCAGAAAGCTTCGCCGAGCCGAAACGTGCCGAATCATCCAGACATGAAACACCCGGAAAGGTCGAACATGTCAACCGATTAACAAAACACAAATCGTTCCCCATTTCTAGGGAAAGCTGCGAGGCATGCTGCCTAACTGAAACCTCTGATAACACAATACAAACGCCTGGTCCCCACAACCCACGTTCATCCTACGTATTGATCAACCCGCACCCTTGCATCGGAATACCGCCATGTGACACCACCCGCTTGAGTGAACTTCGCCGAACTTGGGCTTCTGCCTAGCAACACGCATGGATAGGTCTTCAAAGTTGGGGCGCAACGGCCTTGTTCAACTTGGCCGTAGGTGGGTATGGGTCAAAATTAAACCACCAGGGGACCGCAGGTTGTAGTCCAAGTTTCCATTTACCAGGGCAAGCCAGTTTGGGTACATGTGACAATTAGGCCAATGAACATCCTGATGACTCGCAATCTTTACAGCTACGCCAACTCTCCCAATGCCCCAGCCCAGCACCGACTGCATGGTCCATCCGAATTTCAGGATACCCCCACCACGATTTCTATCAGCCGAGTCCAAACACGCAACCTCGGAAAAGGCAAGCAACGAATCAAACAAAATCCATGCCGCCCCAAAAAATGCGCAAACTTGTGTGTTTGTTGTGCGTTTCTTGCTTCATCAAGAGAGTGCTTGGAAGAATTCCCGCAAAATTGCGCAAACTTGAATGGTTTTTTCATCAAGAGCTCATCCTACGACACACCATATGAACCCTCCAAGCAAGTAACATGGAAGCTGACGTTCATGTTCCCTTTAAAGGGGGTTGTCAGGTGTTCTGTTACCTTTGCTCCCACCTTGCCAAGGCACCTGAGGGGAGGGTACCTGGAAGATCAGTTTCTTAGAAGGACCGGGTCCCTGTGAGGTGTCATGGCAACGTGGGAGAGAGGGCAATTCTCGGCTGCTTTCTGCTCCCCTGCTAAAAGCTTAACTTTTAGTGGTTCAATGGAAAACCCACTAGTTGGCAACAAGTTAAAGTCCTAACTCCTAACATCCAAGCAGAATTCACCAAAGGATTGGTGGGAGCGGGACGAGGCAACAAAAAAAAACACTCCCGTGGGTTTCACTTAACCCCCCCCGGCCCTCTTGGCCTGGAAGCTCGGTGCTCAGCTGGTGCAGAGCCGCCAGCAGCGGGCCCACGGTCCTGGCGTGACTTGAGACATCTGGCGTCCGGCCGTGGTCCCCTGCGTCAAGCGCATCCAGGACCCTGGAGGTACAACCCACCTGGAAACTCTCACTGAATGCGGTCGTGTGAGATGTGTGGGGTCGTTATAATTCACCCAGACACACAAAGCACGTGCTGCGCCAAGGGGCAGGGGGAAGACTGGGTGGATTTCCTGGTTTGAGTGGAGAATTCTGGCTGCCCCCCCCCCCGGCGTTTCTCCCCAAACCAGCGGTAGACTGGCGATGTTGTCAGTCAAAAAGTATGTTGTATTGCTGACCCGCTCTTCGGCGTGATAGCTACTGACAGGAAGAATAAGGTAGGGGGCTCTGCAAAACACTGTGCGCTCCCCGCGTCAAATACTTGCACGCAACAACAATGCATTTCCAGGTCAATGCTTCCAAAGAGTTCATTCAAAATATTCAAGCGGGCTTGGCAAGCAAGACGTTGCGCCGGCTGCAATCAGCCGGCGGATGTCATCCTCCCGCGACAAGTTTTGAGCTTCTGTGCTCTTGATGCGATGCTCATGCTGAAGCACTTGAAGCGCATCTTCCAATTGCGTAGCCAGCCCCACCTGATCGGTTCGACGCGCATAGCGAAGACGGCCCCGATGCTTTGATATGCATCTTGCACGCTGGCAGCCATCAAAGTCCAGCCTCCGGTGGCGAGATTGATTGCCGCTAATGTACACCTGCAGTTGGTCACGGATTTCAGCATGCTTCTCAGCAGACAGGTCAAGCACACAAGTTGCTGCTTGACGCTTCACCAAAAGCCCAGCTTGCAATAACTTACGGAGAGCGTGCGTGCTGGTGCCATGAGTAGTGATGTCTAAAGAATACGCCTCACCCTTTGCCCTTAGTTTCATGCCAGTGTGCCCCGGCATCTCGGCCGCCAAAAAATCTAGCGTTTTGTGCAAAATAGCATCATACTTTTGCACAATGAACAGATGCACTGAGGCGTGCGCCGCGGGCACATGTACGTAACCGTCGGAGTCAAACAAGCCAGCAATATACGGCCATGTGATGCTTGCACATCCCATCAAATTTGGAGCAGCTCTTTTCAACATATGCAGCTCTTTTGAAGCTGCTGCTCTGTCGTTCGCTGTCTTTGGCCATTTGGCTGCCAGCCTCAATTGCTTTGCCTTGCCTGAGCAGTAGGCACTAAGCAATTCTGCGGCAGCAGAGGCAGCCGAGCCGCTTACATACCATTGCAAAACTGGCTGTCGTACTCCCTGGCCATCTCTTTCTGAACAAATGCCACCTCCAAATGCTCTCCTGAACATGAGAACCACGGTCGCATTTCTTGCAAGTTGACTGATAGACAGCCGGCACAAGGAAGACGAATACGTGACACATCCGTCCCCATCGAAGAATCCGCCCAAGTACCACATTTCAGCCTCTGACGGCACATGGCTGGGACCTTGCGTCTTCAACGGCAGCGCATACGTCTGCCCAAACGCATCGAAGCTTGTGACCTTTGGCCAGCTCAACGTCTTCATGAACGCTTTCAGCTCCGTCGTGCGCTTCTCCAACCTCATCAACTGATCCGCCCGTGCGTCGCTTGCGACGGCAATGCTCACTTGGCGCCGGCATCGCCATGGCTGCTGACATAGGGTGCGGATCGCTCTTTGGCAAAGGCTCCTCATGTCGCCAGTCAGGGTCTAAGCCGGCACTTATATGACAAATTAATGATTGACTTGGAATGCTACGCTTCAAACTGTAGCAAATGAAATGCGCTTGTGGCCGAGCAACGCCAGGCCTCAGCTGGCCGAATCATCGGTTTCGTGGGTTTTACTCTCATGATGCCCTCAAAGCTGAGACGCCATGGATTGGACACTCCAGTGCAAGCTGTTCTCGCCTCGTTGGGCAGCCGTTGCCAGACCCCTAGGTCGCGATCATGCACAGAAGGGTACAGCTTCAGTAACATCCTGAAGACCATCTGCAACTCAGCTGAGGACAAACATCTGTATGCGTCGCTTTTTGGGCAATCAACTTTTGGGCCATTTCTGCTTGAAATGATCTTTCGTCGGTACTTGAATTTCTCCTTCGTAGGGTGCGTAAACTCGCTTCCCGAGTTGACTGGCCAAAACAACTCACCAACTATTTACCACTAAGCCGGTCTTTCCGGGGAAACAAAAAGAAAAAGTCCATGAACTTAGGGAGTGAGTCCAGGAGAAATGTAAACCTTGCGCCATCTTCTTCCGCCTGGCGTTCCCCTCTCCGCTTTCACCCCGTCCGTGGCCCTGGACACCGCCCCCCTCTTCTCCCGCCCCCCGCCCCCCGCCCGACGGATCGAGGATCGAGCCTCACGGCCTCCGGGTGGGTGGCCAGAGGCAGCGCCGCCTCCAGCACCTGCGATTGAAGGATGCCTCGCCTTCCATCGGATTTGTGCCCTGGAACAAAACTCAACCAACACATTTAGTAGGTTCCCTTCAAACGCAACACGGGAAGAGATAGTTTTGAGCAAATGGAAGTCGCCCTGGCGAAAATAATTTATCTGGGGTGGGGAAGGGAAACAGGGGCGAAATGGGGGCAAACTATCGTGAAAGTGAAAAAGGGGCGCTTCGAAAAGGATGATGGTCGTCCAAAACACTCCTATCCACTTCCATGATTGTTGGAAAGAGGGTAAAAAAGGGTGGACAACCAACATGTCTCTTTCCAAGCATCCATAATTGCAAGGGAGTCTATTTAGATGTACACATGATCAGGATTTAGAGGGTTGTGGGTTGACTGAGCGTCAGACTGAGGGTAGCTGGGCGCTGCTAACCGTTTGGATAGCTACAGGTGAACTCCCAAGATACCTCTGGAACTGAGCGTTTCACCAGCTTACCACCAAAACTCAAACTAGCAACGAACTTGCGCAGGCCGTGGAGCCTAATTACTCAGTTTACCATGTTTACCCTCTCAGCTTTGCTATCTGGGCAACCCTGGAAATCCATGTTGGATGGGAATCTTGGGCACCCAACAGGAAAGCCCTCTTATCCATACGCCTTTCCAGCGGTTCTTTTGGTCAGTCAGCTTGCGAGGAGTTCCAGCGTATTCAACAAGTTGCCGCGCCCAGTCGGGAATCACCTTGGAGCTTTGGACAAATTTGCCTATCCTCGTTGAGGAAACCACACAGGGACGCTTTACTGGTGTTTTTCCAGAAGGGAACTACGTGTCCTTTTGGAGAGCACTCCCTTTGCGTGTTCAATAGGAAACCAACGGGAGCATACTTCCCCGATTTGGAGACAAACCCATTCTTCAATGGTGGTTGACCAAAATCTGCATCATTCATAATGAGCTACAGGGTGCAGGAGGGTCCAAAATCATAGTTCCCCAGTGGATTGCCAGGACAAGCTAGACGTTTTCCTTTACAGCCAAGATGAAGTTTCACCAAAGCACGTCCAGAAACTCGGGAACAAAGTTTGTGCATTCTTCCGACATGAGACTCGATGAAACTGGTCCACGACCGGGTCATGAAATCCGCTCGCAGCCCAGCTCAACTGACTTGGGAGTATCTACTGCTTTACAGCCGCCCTTGGTATGATGGAACCAAACCTGTGCTTCCTGCGGCCCCCTAGCCAAAATGAACAAAACCGGAAGGAAACAAACAAATGTCAACAACGGCGAGGTAGCTACCCACCCTCCTTCCCCCCGAAAGATGAGCAACTCTCTGCGCCTGCGCCGCCGCCGGCAGCACGCAAAGCTGCCGAGCAGCCTGTGGCACCTGGTAAGGCTTGGATCGGCTGGAGCTCTGGGCACTGCGAATTGTTTGTCTCCTCCAAATCCTTTTCAAGAATAAGGAAGTAAAAAATCGACCCTCTGGGCACTGCCCGATATCTCTCTCCTCCAAATGCGGAGATTCCCTCCATATGCAGTTGGGACTTGGGTAGCTGCACATGAAAGGAAAACACACAGATCTCGCCAACCCCGACTAATTAACCCCCAAGAGGTGCACGCATGCTTTCCGCAACTCACGTGTCCAAAAGACTGAAGCTCCTCAGCCAGTAGATCGTCGCAAAGGGCAAGCAGCGTTGCAAATGTAGTCACCCAAATATCCCACGCGGATGCAGGCAGCACGAGCAAAGCGGAGCCTAGGAGCCTATGGCTGCCACTCTAAGTGTTTCACAATATTCAGCTGGGAAACTGCCCCATTTCGGATCATTTTCATTCAGGCCCAATACTTGGCCAACAAAGACCCTCACTCTTTGCGGTGCCCCCCTCTGATTGGACAAAATTCCCTTTCCGGCGCAGGGTTTTGGGCTGGGCGTCAGGGTTTGGGGCTTGCAGGCGGGGCGTCGAGGGGGCTGGGCCCAAACTTGAAATGCTAGAAATATAAACTTGAAATTGCCAAAGCTATTGCCATTACTTTGGCCAATAACTCCTTTCATAGTCAAGGGTTGAGACTACACCAAAAATTTGGAGAAAAAAAACGCCTAGCCGCAAACATGAACATTCTTATTACATGTTTTTTACCAATGAAACGAGGCTTGAGAAGCTCGTAAACAGAACCCCCCCTTCAAGGCAAGGCCCTGCCAATAACACACACACAACACCCCCCTTTGATGAATCAAGTCCCTCTCCCAGCCCTGAAAAATATACAAATGCAATGGTCCACAAAGGAAAGGACCGGAGAGAACCGGCTGGGTCCGGCTTGCGGCCTAAGACCAAAAAGCCCGGGCTTTCCAAAAAAAAAGTCGGGGGATCCCGGGGTCGGATCCTCCCACTTCCCCCTGGCCCATCGCCTGGTTCTCCAACGCCGGCGCCAAGACCCGCAGTGCCGGGTGCATCCCATCTGCAGCGGAGCCCACGCCCACCATGGGCAACCAATCCTGGCCGCTGGCCGTCGGCGAGGGTCCATTTGCCACATGGGTGTGGGTCAAAATGAAACCACCAAGGGACCGCCAGTTTTAGTCATGGCCTCCATTTACCAGGGTTCCATTTTGGGTACCCATTTTTGACCCAGAGCCACTTGAAAAAGCAAACTGAAACTGCTTTGGGGGGGAATCCAGGATGCATGAACTCCTGGTTGATTCGACTAGGGGGGGGGTGTCCCACTTCAAAAATAATCCAAACCACTTTTGGGGAGCAGCCGCCAGTCATCTGCGGGGTTGATCAAGCCGGGGGCCCACTGTTCAACCTAGGCACCAGAACACGTCCACCTAATCCATCCTAAGCCCATGAGGAGCTTGCCTCGGAGACATACGCAAGCCCTTTACTGGAGCACACGAGCCATTAATTGTGCTTTCTGTTTCTTGGGTGTGAGCCAAAATGGAACTCTGCGTCGGTTCCCTCTGGCCTTGCCCCGTTTAGAAAGGGACACATTTCACACCACACTGGTCAGTATTCTTGGTAAGCGGGAGCGATATTCGCCTGTGCTTGGCATGGGTGTTGCCCTTGGTGACTGGCACTGGGCATCCGCATTCCACAAGTCTGGGCCGCCCTCAGATCTCCTGCTTTTCGTGGGTCAAAAGGAAACTGCCACTAAACCGAATCAGCCAAAAACAAGCTAAGGAACCGCATGGCTGGGAGCCACCAAGAAGTCAACCCATTTTGCTCGAAGCACCCTCAGGCTGACTTCTCACGCGGGCCTCTCTGGCCCTTCGAAGGTGTCGGGGGCCGTTCATTCCCCAGTTCCCTCGGTTTGCTGGAATGTGCTCCGGCCTTGGAGAATCCGGCAGCCGGGACGTGGGATTCATGGCATGGATAATTTTGATGAACCGGGGATGTTCGGTTGCTCCCACATCCCGATCGATGCAAGAGAGCGGAGAGGGAAAAAGCAGCGCCTCTTTCCGTCCCCATGGAGAGCTCAAGGTTCCGATCAATATCACACCCAAGAACCAGGGGCCAAGAGTTGCAATCCAAAAAGGGCGATTCATGGATCTGTCAAAAAGAAGGCAGTACCTATTTGAACAGTCTCAAAATGTCTGAAAGGGAAGCAGCCAGCACCCCCAAGGGCGCCGAAACCGAAACCGAACCCTCGCGCTCCTCGTAGAGGCCCTGCGCCCGCAGCCACGCGGCAGCGCAGCCGAGCTCCGCTTCCGAGCAGCGGCGCCGGAGCGCCTCCGGCGGGGGTTGGGGCGGGGTACACGAATTGAAATGCGAAATGCGGGGTGGGTTGGGGTGGGGTTGGATAGTTTGAGGTGAGAGTGAGGGTTGGGTGGGTGGGGGTGGGAAGTTTGAGATGCGTTTTTTTGAGGTGTGAGGACATGTCGGGGGGAAGTCGGCATGTTGAAACATGCGAGATTTCGCATCTGACCCCGTGAACTGCCCTGAAAAACGTCTCAAAGAACAACAAAAGAAACACTCCAGCCGTTTTGGCGCCGCCGCAACCCACTGCAGCCGACACAAACGACGCCCACGACTCCGCCTCATTGATGGCCGCCAGGATCTCCGGCTCGCGCTGCCGCAGAGCCATCAGAAAGCGGCTCCTGCCGCGGCCGCGCTTTCGAAGCGATCGGGTCAATGCCGAACTTGTGAGCAAAAATTGGGACACCCAACCGCTAAACCAAGTTGGTGAAACCTGAAAAGGTCAAAACTTGTGGTAAACCCCAAAACCCAACCCAAAACTTGTGGTAAACCCAACTTGTGGCAAACCCAAAGCTTCTAGCGGGTGAATTATTCGGAACCCCAACCGCCCAAACCTTCGCAAAAACAAAAACAAAGTGCCGAAGAAGAGCTCCGGGAACCGGATTCCGGACCTGGCAAAGGACCCGGTCTGGTGGGTTGCCCTGGACAAAACGGGCAGGGGGAAACGCCGCTGACTTCCCGGAGTTGATGGGCCAAGGCAAGTGACCAATGTTTGTTCGGCTTTCCATGAAGATGGTCTTAACAACAAGCTGAGAGTCCAGGAACTTCGGGGAGTGAGACCAGAGGCCGAATCCAGATGTGCTGCGGTTGCAGGTGAGGCAGGCAGTGAGATGAGTGTGCCATCCTGACAGCAAGCGCCGAAAGACACCTGTTCGGTAGGCTCTTGAACATGCCGAATGCCCAAAAACAAATTACTAAGCAGGTTCAAGTTACAACCATGGTTGAAACTGGGACAGCAAGAGAGCTGGTAAGTGGACTTTTCTGTTGCCATGCTTATTCTAAATCTAACCTACTTAGCAATGTGGGTTGACCATCCAAGGGCAGAGGGGCTTGCTGATGTCCTCCTCAGTATATAATTGCTTCTTCGTTTCTAAATGGAACCCACTAAACAACCCAATCTCCAATCTGAAGCAGTTCTCGCCAAAAACCAGTGGACTCTAATAATTAAAACAAACCCTCGGAGTCGCAATTTTCATGTTGCTCTTTAAAAAAACAACAACACGTATGGGGGGGCACCGTTTTCTTTTATGCGGCCCGGACTAAAAAAACAAAATCCTTGGAGCCTTTTCTTCGTTTAAGGGGGAAGGGGACCGTTTAGAATCTCGCCGGCTCGGATTGAACGGGACGCCCGTCGTCTTCCCATTTTCCCCTTCGCTCGCGTCCGCTGCGATCGCTCCTTCGGGAGCCGTCCACCAGCAAGCGCCGGCTGAAGGGCTCCTCCGACAGCGCCTCGCCGGAGCCGAAGTCGTCCCGGAAGCTTCCGGTTGGGTGGAGAGACTCGCAGGGAATGAGGCAGGGAAAGGCCGAGGAAAGGCCGAGGAAAGTCCGGAGACTTGTATGTCAATTGTTGTTGTTGTTTTTGTTATTTCGTTGGGGGAAAGAACGAAAAATATATAAGAAACACCCAGCTTTTAAGTGGCCTGGTTGAAGGGGAAGCCTTTTGCTCAGTGGGGAAGTCGCCACACCAAAAGGGGGAAACGGGTGGTGCACCTGGACATCCAAACTCCGGGACATTTCACGAGGAAACTGCGTCTGTTGCTTTTCACGAGGAAGGTCCATCCAACCGGTGGTGTCCCGCTTCGATTTCATTCCAGAAGCTGCCGACTTGAAAAACACGCGGAAAGTAGCTTACATCTCCCAGCCAGAGGATTCCCAGACAACCAGACAGGTGTTCGAGTTGAGGAAGTATCCTCGGCCATGGAAGCTCCCAGGACTTCAGACATTCTCACGTCCTGAGTTGATCGGCCAAACTTAAGCCAAAGTCCAGGACCTCAGGAAGTGAGTGGAATCTCGTGGGACTTAAGACATTCGTTCCGCACAGAGTCGGATTCACCCAGTGTGGGCAACGAGCTCATGGGCGTGCATGGGATCCCAAAAGGCTTTCTCTCGCTTGAGGTTCCAAAGCCTTGGGTCGTTTTTATGAGCGTATTCCACTGCGCTCCATCTAAGAACCTCCCACTGAAACCAACCAACTCCTGTCCGACGAGACCGCGAGAACGGGTTCCCCAGAGGAAAGCCGGCTCGGGGCCTAATGGACACATTGGGGGGGGTTCCACAAGGTCCGATTCAGCACAAACAAAACCTTGGCATTTGATACATGCTCGTTTCGCAAAAAAAAAGAAGAAAGAACTCAGGCACTGAGAACCCACCAAACACCAGGTCCTAAACAGCGGGTTGCCCACCCCCCGCCCCCCCGCCCCCCCGCCCCCCCGCCCCACCGCCCCACCGCCCCACCGCCCCACCGCCCCCGTCCGCTCCCAGCCCCCCCGAGCTCCCGGCCCTCAGCTCCGAGATCTCCGAGCGGACCCTCCGCGCCTGGAGGAACTCCAGCAGCGGCAGCATCTCCGCGCCCAAGCGCCCCAGCGCCCCAAACACGAAGTCCGGCGCGGCGTCGCCTCGAAACGCGCGCGGCGCTTCGCTTGAGACGAGCGCGGCAGGACCTCCACTAAGTCTTACATGGAAACGGATTCCGGAAGGCATCGAAAAAGCGGGCGTGTGGGTTCAAGCCGTGTCTTGAAAAACCGAAGCTGTGAAACATCTTGCAGTGGAGACCTCCACGGTATTTGGGCCGTATAGTTTTGCTCGTGGCTTTCCAAAACGTGTTTTGGCAGACAACCACGATCAACACAAGCAGGGACCATCCAGGGAAACTTTAGGACTCACTCTCATAAAACCACAACAGCCCAACCCCAACAATGCCATGGCGCTGTTTTTGCGACAATGAAATGGGACTCCTCTAGAAAACCAGGGATCCTTACATACACCTGAACATTGCCTTGCAAATGGTGGTTTCCTTTTATTTTGGTGGAAAAAGCCATGCTTCAAATGGGCGAAATGTGTCTTTTAAGGAGCCCTAAAAACCCACTGGCAGTTTCAAACACGCCGCGACAACTCGATCCCCCGGGTCCCCAGGCACAGCAGCACCGCCGCCCGTGCCAGCGCGCAGCAGGTTTGCCGCAGCGCCGGGCGGGCGAGTTGCGCAGTCGACAGCAGCTCCAGCAAGGCTTGGGAGACCTGGCCGTGGTTGTCAAAACCGTTTTGGGATCCCATTTTGGGGCTTTCCGTGCACCCATTTTAGAACCTATTGTAGTGGTTGGATTGAATCGGATGTTCACCGGGGGCTTAAGGGGGGGTTTACAGGCGCTTTCCCCCAAGTCCTAGCGGGTGTGTGTCAACAGGACCATTCAAGCCCCAAAAGAAAAGGGCAAGGACCCAATTTGGAGGCCAGCAAGTATAAAGTGAACTCGGGCAGTGAGACTCGCTAACTAACAAAACAAACACAGTTTTGGTGTTTGCCCGGGGCTGAGCGGCTGAGCTGTTGGCATCTTACTTGGCTAGCTCAGCTTGTTAACTATGCTAACTTGTATGGAAGGTTTAGGCCATGAATACGCGGCACTTGAACCCAGAAAGCGGCTTTCTTTGTGGAAACCAGCATAAAGGTCTACCTCGGGCATGGTTGTGTGGAAACAACTTGTGTTTTTTTGCTGTTTGCCTTCCCCAACATGGGAAGCAGCATGTAAAAGACTTGTCAATACTTTCTGTGATGCAGTTGGTTAGTGTCCCCATATGGCTAAATGCAGTGGTCTGTTCCCATGGTCACTTTAAAGCCTCGGCCACCCTCAGAAGCTTGAAAGCTTGAGCTGGGCACTTGGACCGATCATACAAACCAGCGTTTGTTGGGTGGGTCTCACGTACCCATTTGTGGGGTTCAAATGAAGAAACCAAGGGACAATCACCCATGTTGAGCCCATTGGTCAAATGAAGGTTTCGAGTTCTTGGCCTGTTGGTTGGCAAACCGGACTGGACCTCTTCAGCCCAAAGTCAAGGGATTCCCGCCAAGTGGCTGAAATAAAACACATCCCAAAGACTCTTTTGAATGCCCCTACACCAAGCAACATGATTTCAGATGAACTTCATACCCTGTTTAGCCCCCCCAAAAAAATAGATCACGCACTTCTTGAAAAAATGAACCCCAAGACCAGCCTTTGCTTTGGCTGCCCTTCACCCGAACTCCCCCACCCCCAAACTAGCCCTCAGCACCTATCCCCCCCACCCCAGACCTCCCAACCTCCCAACCTCCAACCAGACCCCTCAACCCACCCTCTAGAAGTTAAATCCCCTAAACCATCCAAGCCACAAGAAAGGGTTTCCTCATTCATGTAGCTCACGCCCAGGGGGGATTTCCTTTTGGGGATGCCCAGGCGCCTCAACCCAGCCCTAGGTCCTCCAGTAGAGAGGTTAGAATACGGGTACTCTTTTTTCTGTCAATTTCGATGCGGGCTGCCGTCCAAACTAACGCAACTTCCATGCATACCACCAGGCCCGCAGCGCCAACAAGTGAGCGTCGCATCATGTCCATCCACGCGGACTGAGACAGCGGTCAGCAACGCTGCTCCCAGTACTCCCTGAGGGAGGAAAAACTCCGCCAGCAGAGAACAAGGTGCAAGGAACCGCCGAACCGCCTGCCTGCAAGGCACTTCGGATCAGTAAAACAACAACCTGCCAACCAAACAAAAAAAGGGGGGAGACAAGGGCGCCGAATCGCTGCTGGACCTACCCTTACCCCTTAAAACTCCAAGCCCTGGGGAAGTTAATCTTTTACAGACATATAGCCCATGTTACCCCCAACAAGTTGAAAAGTTGAAAGTTTTTAAGAGGTAAGTACCCAACTCCCCCGCCTCCCCCGCCTCCGGCCACAGCGGCAGATCCTCCTGCCGCCCCAAGCGCGCCCGCTGCGCCAAAGTCTGCGCCGCGAAGGCCCCGGCGAAGCCGGCGCCGCTGGCCTGCCATCCGGGCGCCACCGGAGCTTCTCCGCTTCCCAGCGGCAAAAAAGCGCCGGTTTTTGTTTCCTTCTTGTTTTCTTTGTTTGTTTTTATGGTTTTTGCTTTCCTCTTCTTGTTGTTCTCCCCCCATTTTTTGTGTTTTTGTTGTGTTCTTGGCTTTTTTTTGGGTGGTGAACTGTTTCCCATGAGGCGGGCGCGTCTTCTGGTGCTAGTGTTTTTTGTTTGTTTTGCTTGTTTGTTCCCCCGTGAACCTCGGTTGCGAAATCTGCTGCTAAGTTTAACTTTTAGTGGTTTAATAGAAAAGCCATTAGTTGGCAAAACAAAAATAGTCCAACATGCACCCAAAGAACTGTTTTTACCCGGAAATGTCCCCAAATCAAAAGTTGATGGACTTTTTTACCGGGGTTCTCTTTTAATTGAAACGATGCGTGTCCACAATGGTGAGCCTTCGCTTCACATGGGCCAAGCCCTGGAAAATTGTGAGCAACAATCGAAAGAGAATGGGTGAAAAGAATGGGGAATCAAACCTTATAGAACAAGGTGGACTGCCCACATCAAATGATGAACAATTTTTGCCAGTGGCTTCCCTTGAACAGATCGCCACTTTTGGTTGATCCATTTGCGGGTGGTGTCGCTTGCAACGAACGATTTCCGCTTTTGGCGGTTCCAAACGATTCACCCATTGAAACGATCGATTTCCACTTTTACTCCCCCAAATCAAAAGTTGACCCCAATTTGCTGGTTGTTCCCCTCGAACTTGAAAGGATTGATTTCCACTGTTGGAGGTACCCACTTCCTGAGCGGACCGGCCAAAGAAGTCCAAGCTTATTTGCCACTAAAATGGTCCAAGCCCAAAAAGTGACTAAAGTCTAATGACCTTAGGGAAGTGAGACATGACCTTGAAACGATCGCTTTGAGTTGATCAATTGTGGTTTCCCTTGAACTCGAAACCATCGATTTCCATTTCTGTCGGTAACCCAAAACGGGACGACCCACACATCAACCTTTTGGGGGCACTAAAAGTGGGTCATGGCCAAAAGGTCCTGGCCCCGGTCGATTCGCTTTGAACTGCGGGCACAAAAAAACCCAACCGGCCTTAAGCAGCGCCAAGGACAGGGGCAGCGCATGGCCTCGGACGAAAAACACGCGCCGATCCCGAGGTGAGAGACATGGACCCAGGGACCCGAGCGTGGGTTGTCCTGTTGGTTTCCCTTTCCTCCCCACCAGAAACATAAATCGCGAAAATCGCGAACCCCCCCGGAAGAATTTCTCAGTTGCCCCAAGGGCGCAACATGACAAAGCGATCACCTCTTTTGGCCACGAAACATGGCTCAAAAGGTGAAAATTGGTTGATTTGCTTGGGGCAACTGAGGAATGGGTGGGAGTTGTCCTCTTGGTTTCTCTTTGTTCGGCGCAGGGTGCTTGATATGTTTGCCAGGTTCGGCGGGTTCTATAGATTCAAGGGTTACCGGTTTGGGGCCCAAAAGGAAACAACAAACCGTCCAAGTGCGCTGCTCGCACATTTTCACGCTTGAACAGCCACACTGCGGATGCAATGGATGTAAAACCCCATACTGACCGATCAAATTCTTCACCCCCCTCTGCGTGTTAAAGGGGCCTTTCACAAAGCAGCCAAACAGTAACACAGAGGGAGAAGGTCAGGGGAACCATTGACACATGCAAACCATGACAGTTGCGCTTTTAGCGCCACTGCCACGTAGAGTAGTTTCCGCTACTGTTGTCCCATCCGCTCCATCCAGACCAGTTCTGCCAGCTGCCTTGGCTCCAATGCTCACCCTCGCGGGCGGCGGGAGCACGTGTATCGGCATAGCGAGCGGCGTTGCGAGCGAGGTGCTTGCTGCTCTCGTTCCTCGAAAATTCAATCGAGTTACGAGCATAACGCTCATTCTGGCTGAAAATCCAGTCCATCTCGTTGCGGAGGTCCTCCAACGTGTTGCTTCGCAAATGGATGATGCCATTCCAACAACCAATGCTGCGAGGCTTGTCTTGTTCAAAGACCACGTTGATAAAAGCCCTTGGGCTATAAGGCATCCCTTGGAACATAATGATCCAGCGAGAGGTAAGCGCATCTTGGAGTTCGTTGGGCAAGAACTCCAACTCCGTCTTGATATACGCGAGCCTTGCGATTCGCGACTCCGAAGTTGATCCAAGGCCAACTCCCAGAGTGCGCTGGGCTTGCGACTGCTTTGGAGCAGCCAAGACGAGATTTGCACTCAACTCCATGCGGAGCATGTCCGCCTCCCGACGGCCCACCTCAAGCATACGAACCCTGTATTGAAGGTCGAGTTCATAGCGATCAAGCAGAGAGTGGTAGCCGTTCTTCAGAGCGGACTTGTGCTTCTTCCGGGCCTCCTGAATAACAGCACTGTCCGGGGAGTTCAAGCCACGAATGATGCTGCTACGATCCTCCTCGCGGAGGTCAAAAGTTCCCACGGATGCCAAAACCTGCGCTGTGACATGGGTGCTGAGGCCCATCTTCTTCAGCAAATTGGAACGCTGCACAATGTAATTCCTCTGCTGCTCTTTCAGCAGCCGAGGATTGAGGGGAGACAACTGCCCACATGACGAGCAGTGGACCTGCCCCTCGAACACACTGTTGTTGCAGACCGGGCACGTGGCGACATTCAGCTCAACGTTCTCCATTGGGTTGAAAGTCTTCTGTCTCTTCGCTTCCCCTTGCGGGGCGCGAGGAGACGCCACATTGGTGCGGGTTGTAGCAATACGTTCCAGCGCTGTAGATCGATCATCAACCACGGCTTGGTCGCGCTTCATCCCCTGCGATTCATCCTCATTCGCCTCAGCTGGTGCACCTGCATCCGATTGCTCGGAGCGAGTGTACCATACATCGCCATTTGTAGCGTCCAATACAGAAATAATCGTGTAGTTGGGCACCTTGTCGCGCGTAAGGACGCCATCGCTCTCCGTCTTGAAAAAGCAAAGCCCTGCGCGAATGGCCATCCTGAGGTCGATCTGTATCTCCAAGGGCTTGTTAGCACGTACACCTGAGATGTAATTTTCATTCGTGCTCGGAATGTCAGCGAAGAAAACGTGAGGTCTGCCTGTCTCGTGCTGGTCCCCTCCTCCTGGAAGCAGTCCGTTTCGCATTATGCTGGCGAAGTTCCGCTTATCGGTGCGATGATAGAGCACCGTAGGAGGGTTGCTGCAGACGTTCCAGCCAGACCAGCGCCCGAGGTCAGTCCCCGGGTTCACGTACCACTCCTTTGCGATGCCGGAGTCGTCGATTTGGAGCCAGTCCTCATGTCCTTGAGAGGCCTTTATCTTGAAAAGCCAATGCGAACATGGGACGTCTCCGCACCGGCCTGCGTCCGGGCAACCAAGCGCAATGAACCTCTGCTTTTTGTCCAGCTTGAAGATGTCCATGATATTCTGAATATTCCAAGGAATGGGATGTCGCAGCTCCTTGCGAAGCGCGAGTCCCAGATCTTCGAGGTCCATGTAGCCGTCCTCATCCATCACGTACCCACATCCTTCTGTTCCACGACCACGGAGGATCTTGGAGATGCACGTCAGGGAACTGTGGTACTCATTGCTGATTCTCCTGACAGAAGGGTCGTAATCGAAAGAGGGCTGCTTGATGATGTCGAGTCTCTTGGGGCCCTCACCGTAGTCGACATACTTCACGCCATCATGAATACTATACACCCAGCAGTCGTAGTGGCCTCCAGTCACGTTCCTCCCGTAGGAGTCGAGTGGTACCGGTCTGCTTGCCGCCTCGTCCCTCTGTGCCACTGCAGCCGCCTTTGCACCGGCTTGCGCCGGGCGAACACTTTCGGAAACATCTGCACCGGAAGGCTCGCCTGAAGTTGCAAACTCGGCTGGGTTGACGGGGGCGAAATCGAGGGGCTGCCGGACCTCCACTTCTTCACGGGTGAAAGGGAGCCCAATCATCTCTGACAAGGAAACACCGCACTTCGTTAGCGTCTCCTTGCAGTACGCGAGAACCTCAACGTTGACTGTGCAATCCTCTTGGTGGCGCACCTCGAGCACATCGATCGGTCGCATGGTGCAATCATGCGAACGTGTCAGCTCGGCTACGCTGCCCATTGCGGGGCGCAAGATGGAAAGCATATACAACATGTGGTGGGTTCCGCGCATGAACTGGACGGTCTTCGTGATGTTGTCGTCACTGAAGCACATATGATACCTGTCCAGCAAATCGATGGTCTCGACAAAGGGTGTAGCATCTACGTACACAAACATTTGATTGGGGTCGCCGATGATGTAATCCCGGACTTCCGTCATGAAACGGTCCCAAATCATAGAGAAGCCGTAGAGATAGCTTTTCGCGCCGGTCATGGCTCCAAGGCATGCGCAGCCCTTGCGGGCCGCGAAGTCCCTGGTCCAAGCCAGGTGCCGTTTGGAGTCAGCAAGAAGTTGTTCGGCGTCGCCGGTGGGGGTATCATAAGGATATGTACCAGTGGGCTCGAGGCCGTCCTTCCCGACGAGCTCGTTGCCATTCCAGTAAATCATCGGAATGATGGTGGCAGCTGGGTGGTCGGTACGCACCTCGTCGATGAGGGCGGCCAACCGCTTGCACAGCTGCTGTAAGCCCTTGCCCCAAAGCATTTCTGACCTCCATGCACCGACACGCGCCGGGCGAGAGGCATCCAAACGCTCCGCAAAGTCGTACTTGCGAAGCTTGCGCTTCTTGCCCGAAACCATGGACAGTCCTGAATCAGCGACAGTCACATAGATAAGGAGGTCGCGATCTGGTACACGTGGGGCCTGCAAAACCTTCAAGTACGGTTCGCTTATAGTTAACAGGGGTGTAAGCAATTGCAGGTAGTGCGGTTGGTCCTGCACCCATGTATGAATAAGCGACTGTGCAGAGGTCGTCTCGAGGAGGCCCTTGACCGTGGCGGCGAGGTTAGCGTCGTATTTGCCGTTCGTGCATACCGATGTGGTAGCGACATTTTCCATCCACCTCCTCCATGCCGGATCGCAATCCCTCGCGGGATGCGCCATAGCCGTCGCGCTGCTCATTGCGAAAAGGGTGCAGCACAATCACTCGAAAGCAACGGCTGCATGGTGGCATGTTCGGAAAATGCATTGTGAACGGCATCAGTGTAAACGTACGTGTATCCCTCGGCTTCCTTCAAATACGTGCCACGGCTTTCATCATGCTCGTGAGAACCATCACACTTGAAGTACTCAACAACGGAAATAGTGGGCATGTTACTGGCAACGACCCATTGCTTTTTCATAGGTTTTCCATTTCTCCCTTTAATGCCGATTTTGCAACCGTGGAATTCGTACTTGTTCATCTTGTACTTAGTCAAGAAACTCCATAGTTCGGGCCATTTCCAATAACGACACGCCTTGGGGAGTTCGAAGGCAACTCTAACGTCATCAGAATAGACATCATTGAGAATGCGTTTGAACCCTCTCAACAGTGATCGGAATTGCTTGATGTGGCCCTCAATCTTGGCGGCACCTTTGGGAGTTTGCTGGTTGACATAACCCCACGGGCATCCTCCAGTGCATGGCAACGAGACATAGAACATTATTGCACCCTTAGGATTCTTGCTCCTGAATTCGGCAATTTCATGGACTAACCACTGCCTGCACGTATCAGAGCACCCGTCTTCGGTTTCAGTTACCCGAATGACACGACAACCTTTTGAAGAGTCTCTTGATTCGCCCAACCGTGAGGTCGTCGAACAACAGAATTCAATAAGGAGGCGCTTGGGCTGAACGTTGCATAACGCAGCGATCTGCCCCCCCTGATCACTAACTTCTCCGGCCTTGGCGCATGGGGAGAGCAGCAAACTGGTGGCACAGGCTCGCGCCTGGCGATTGGGGGAGATACCGATCAGCTCAAGTGCATGGTGCCACACTGGGGTGCTGTCAAACGCCTTGGTCAAGATGTCTGCAGCTTGGAGGGTAGTGTCAACATTGATTAATTCGAACTGCCTATTCACGAATTGCTCCTGGAGCCATCTAAAGCTAATGCGTTGGGTCCTATCCGTGTGCCTTAGCTTCTGTGAGTGTCCCTGCTGCAGGATAGTGATCGTGGCCTGATTGTCTTCCATCAGCTTAACTTTCCACTTATCACTGAGATGCACAGTGAGGGCATTGATGTTCGCTA